AGTTTTTATTTCGTTTTTAGAATTTGTATTCTAATGTTTTGTAAATCGGTTTTTTAATAATACATATTTCTGGTCACAAGGCGAATGAGAACTGCAGAACACAGGAGACTTTAGTTTACGAAGTGACGCGTCAATCACATATTTATAGTAATCCAACGCTACTATTACGTTGTTGATTATTCCTTAAATACCCTGAAACATCGCCTGTTAACTTCATTCATTGAGGACAGTCTGTAATTGAGACAGATGGGCTGTCAGCCACAGACAGAAAGCAACAATGATACAGTATAAGTAAAGTTTAAAGCCAAAAGGAATAGTAATGATTTACATGATGAATGAGGTTCACGGTTTGAGTAAATTATGTTTGGTTGTGTGTTTAAATTGTGAACACATTAGGCAGACTTCATCATTCTGTATTTCACTTTGCAAATGGTTACACCCTAAAATGTTACACACAGTTTCTGATGCAATTAATTTCAAGACGTTAACATGACATGCATATTTTTTTTAAGTTTGAAAGATGGCTATGAAACACCAGATTAAAGAGGCGCAGTAATCTTTCTTCTCCGCATGTATGGGCATTATACCAAATAAAAAATGGACCGTGTGGTGTGTGTAAAGAGGCTGGGGATAGTTTGTATCCTGGAATGTAATATAATGTGGGTAAACACAGTGGGTGTCCATGTATAATGGCACTGTATTCTGGTGTGTAACTTCTTCAATTTAGACGTCTGCAGGGATTTAATGAACTGAAGTAAAGCGGCTTCACATGCACTTTAAGGCAGCCGACTTTTACCCATTTACTGGTTTGAAAGCATGGAGAATATTTACATTTTTTAACGTTATGGCCTTTTTTGTTGGCTAAGCAGGAAACAAAATACCCCACAGACAAGATAGGTTCATGTAAATGTCAGGAAAACACCACACTGTCATTGCTATACCATGATAATAGGGGCCCAATCTTGTAAACATACAGTTAACATTTTTGCTACGACACTAAATCCCCATGTCCAGACATCTGTATTGTCAAATCCAGAGCAAAATGAAAAAAAAATCTTTAAATCCTGAGGTAGCGATACATCTTTGTGCATCTTGAAAGACTGGAAACAGCTTCTCTGTATGAGTTCCGGTTGAGTATTAAACTGTAGCCGAGTAATATTATAGGTCTGATGTAAAGTATAATCAAAACGTGCTGTGTTGATGCCTCTTTACTAAAAGACACTAGGACCTAAGTCGTGGCTAAAACTGTATTTTACATAAATCGTTGTCTTTGAAATTTCAATGCTCAAAGATAACATGATTTCAGCGTAACAAAACTGAGAACTGCTTTATATTGATCATTATTAATTCTTCTTTTCTGCTTTCTTTGGAATAAATTAGCCAAACTTAAATTTAAAACTCAGCATGAATATTGCTTCAGGCAACATCCCAATTTAGAAAAGATGTCCTCCTTCCATATGTTAGAAAGTTTGAGAGGAAAATAAGTAGTTCTGCTTAATTAAAGAGACAGTCATGCTTTTTCAAAGAGAGCTATGTTACTAACCTGGTTCCAACAAGAACAAAACTTTAAAGAGTAATGTAATAACTCATCTGCAGAGGGACTGAACTCAGTGTTGTAACACAGGCCCTATTAATGGTGGTTCATCATTATCGGCATCGTATTGTTTTACGATATGATACGATACGATAATACTTTAATGGTCAGATCAAGTCTGAAATTTGACTTGCATCACAGCAGCTCCGTGTAACATCAACATGGACAAATATCAAGACACAATACATGACAAAAAGCCAACCAAACATTTAACATCACAATCACTGAGAGAAAACATGCTCAAAGACCCTTTATCGTGCATTTGATGTAGGATTGAGCTCTGTATTTACTGTGAGGATTGACTGGTGCACAAAGGAGTGCTTCAGTCTGACTTTATTGATAGTAAGTATGATGATCAATCATTATCTTCATCAAAACATCAATGATGACTATTCATCCCCTTACAGAAGTCCAGGCCTGACCAACCCCACGCTTGATTTTCCACCTTTGAGTTTGGTCCTCAGTATTTCATCAGATCTTACAGTCGTGCAAAAATGAAAGGTCAATAAAATGACTCAATTGTGCTTAAATGCCATCCACATCTCTGTGTGCCGCACCAGTGGCATTATCATTAGCTCTGGGGCAAAGCAATGAGTCCTCTCTTCGTGTGCTTAGGCTTTACTGTACACCTTTGACATTTAAAGCCTATTGGCATTCAAACATAGGCCTTCTTCTTAATGCTACGTTTTTATTTGGACATTTCAGATGATTGCATCTTAAACTGTATTGCAAAACTGCTCTGAGTGTGAAATCCACCACGTAATCAGTCAATGACGTGATGACGCATGAATGACTGAGTCAATGACTTTTGTGATTTCTTAATGGACAGCATGAGCATTGGCTCAGAACAAAAACAACCTTGAGTCACAGACAGAGTGTTATTGCCACTCACATTTGCAGATCTCAGTCAAAAGTCACATAAACAAAGGTAGAACTGAATAATTGTGTTTTTTATCACTTCTTGAAACCTTAATTCTTTGTAATCATTAATAAAGTCCATTTAAGGCACTATATTTTGAATCAATGTACACCGGGTTAACCTGCATCTTTGCTTAGATTACATCTCTTTCCTGTACTGTATTCACATGTACTGACATTTCCATTACTCATCGGTTTTCTTTCTTGGAAAAATGAGTTCATTGACCTTGCGTAATTCCCAGCATAGCTCACACCACCACAGAGATGTAATCAGCCAAAACCCCTGAAAATACTTGTACGGTTTGGCAGGGACTTTAAGGGAAATCTTACATATTGTGTTTTTTTTATTAACGTGTTGCAGAGAGGTCATCTCATAAAACTTTGGATAATGCAAAACATTATAACTCTACAGTATATTGTAATTCAAGTGGTAGCCAAGTGTTAATGCTCAAAAGGTTTAATTATTTGATCAAACCGTGTGATTACAACTTAATTGAGAGCGGACAGTATGCTTAAAGTATGTGGGCACACCTGGCAATATTAACAGCTGGGGAATATAGTTTTACAGTAACAGTAGAAACCACTTAAAAACTCAAAGGGAGTTGGCTCAGTCCTCTTTTTTTAGAGATTTGTAATGGAATGTTAAATCCCTTTAGTTGGTCAGGGTTGTGAAAGCAGACCTCATTATTTTATTATTATGCTTCCTTTAACAGCGCTCTGTTCATCAGCCGGATCTCATCGTCTGTAAGTGATCTCCACAAGAGCAGTTGTCGCATGAGGTCATGTTTTTTGGGGAAAAACATGTTTAATTCTCACAGGAATGTGTGAAAGAATATTCTGATCTCCACGGGAGTTACACCTTTCATGTGAAATTACTGAACTCTGTGTGAGCGTGTAATTACAACTTCATGGTCTGTCAAGTGATGCCATTGGGCCCAAAAAAATGTATTTCCCTTAGTTAATCCGTGTATATTTTTTGCGTCAGAACTCAAAATGACTTGATTCACTATCAGAACTCTGATATCGATATCAGAAAGTCTTGAAGAGCTGCATGATTGAATTATTTTCTAGCCGGGTATCATTATACTCAGCAGTGGCAAACATTCATAGGACTGAATGGGGCTAGATTTTCTAAAGCTTGGAACCAGAGCCAGTCTTCTCTCAGACCACTTGAATTTAAATATGGTGAAATGTATTTGATTATATCTCTGAAAGATAATGTTAACTGATTAATCCAGCTTTAATAGACATCAAATAGTTGCAAAGTTCACAACTGAGATTCAATCCTTTATTACATTTTCTCAGTTGTTTTGTTGTTTGTATGACTTAATCAGATATAGATGTTTCTTTATTTCTCCTTCTAAGGGCTGGTCCAGTTCATACAACTTATTCATTTACATAATTTTATCTAACTTTTTCAACATCATTTAACCTAACTTTTTCCTTGTAAACTTCAAATCTGTTGCAACATCCCTGACATCTTGAAGAATGTCTTACTCAAAATACATTAGTGTGTTTCCTCTTGTTTGAAGGGCTGTTCTTCAGATCTGATTTATCATACAGTACGTGGTGAGTGCTGAGTGATAAGACAAAGAAGCCACCGGTGATGTTGACATTATGTTAGGTTACGGGAATTTGCAATGCTTGGAGGAGGGAATAATAACTCACATAACCCTTTTTTTCCCGTTTCTTCGCAGTTTGCAGCACACCTGGTCAAGGTCAACTTCCCACGAGTTTGTTTCCTAGATGGAGGGATCAACAAGCTGAAGCCCACTGGACTGCTGACGGTCCCCTCCCCTATGATCTGACCTCGAACCTCAGCTTCACAACGGGACGAGTGGAAAGACTGTATATTGTGTGTGAGCTGTTATTGAAGCAAACACACATTCAAGTTTAACTGAAAAACTGCATTGAAGAATCCTCCTCCTAATCCACTGTCATCACCAAATGTTGTTTTTATTTTCTGTCTCCTAACAAGAATGATCAATCAATTTTTATTTCTGAAACAATTCCTTTGTACAATAGCTTTTGACTAATACATTGAGCCATCTGTGTCCGATATGCATATCTTGATGTCTCTTCTGAGCCAGTTGATCTAGGGAACTGCCATTAAGTCTGCTTTTATAATAATTTTGACTTTGTTAACACTGTGAGAGAGGCGGATATGTTAAATGTTAAATGTTAAATGTTTTAGCAACCACTAAGCTTTAATTGGTGCTTGTGTTAAAAAATGTGCTAAAATTAAAATATCTTACTAAAAAAAAACAGTACAACATGACCTTTAACTTTATCTTCAATAATAATCAAATAAACACATTTTTGACCATGTCAAATATTACAAACGTTGTAAGGCTATAATTTGTGAGCTGTCGCAATATATTGTAAAGGTGTTTCCAGTTAACTGTAAGGTTGTCTTTGAAAAATAAGACAACATGTATTTGTAGTTGACTGGATGTTCTCACATTTAACAGTAAAAGGTTTGTGTATATGTAATGATGAAGTACTGGAACACATCACATTTTTTACCCAACTGTAAAACCTGCTCATACATGTTTAGCATTCCATCATCTGATATTGTGTTTACCGACTGGATATACCCAAAAGGTGTATGTATAAAAGAGGACTTTCATCATTCATGTCAGTTCAAAGGAACTCAGAACAGGTAAGAGATATGCTTATGAAATTGAAAATTCACATTCAAAATCTTTCCCAATTATTGCTGAGAATGTATTTTATAACTCTCCTCAACAGGATTCTTCTTCTTTTTCATAGTCAAAATGGTGAATTATAAAGTGACTGTTTCCACCTCCGGACCGCTGGATCACAGACAGCGAGGTGCAATGCTTCAGAGAAGGAACAGGTATTTGAGAATTAGCTTTTCTGACATCCAGTACAGAAGAATACAAGTTCTGCGGTTTAAAAGTGTATCGGTTTCGGGCTCCGAAGCCGCGGCTCCGTTTCGGGGGCTAAGGATCACCAAGTCACGTCATTATTAACGACACTTTGGGGTCCATTAGTCTTTGTATAAACTAAATTGGAGAGGGGGACCGTGGTCAAAATGCTCACATGGTCTGGCTTCAAAAAGGAAGAATCAGTTCATTTTATCACAGTATGACTGGTGGCTGGATGCCCAACACTCCCATCTCCCTGCAACTTCCCCCACCAACCACAAAGGGGACAACAAGCGAGGCCACGATGCTGAACACTCTGCCTGACATCGGTACATCAGGCTTGCTGCTCGGCACGGCCGAAAAGACACGACGGTGCGGGACACACCAAGACACACCAATCTGAGTAGGGCGACACGACGCTCATCGACGGCCCGATATCTTTCGACATCTATCGACCGCCGAAATCGGCTTGGTGTGTAAGGGACAAACCCCCCATTGTCAGTAGCCTCTGAACTTCTATCCACCAGGGCCTGCAATGAATTTGCCTCCTTCTTCACTGACAACATTCTGAAATCAGACAAGCAGTCAGTATAAAACATGTCATTGCCATTGTAGCCATGCCTCATAAGCACTTTGAATTGCCGTGTGCTGAAAGGTGCTATATATATAAACTTGCCTTGCCTTGCCTTGCCTTACCCCTCTATTTCAGCCCTGTTACATAAAGTGCTGATTCTGTGTCCGGCCCTTTAGTCCGCAGTGAGCTGTGTAAAGAGAAGGCTGTCTACCAGCAGAAACTCAGCTAAACGCTGCCGTGATCAAACACCATATTATGTTCCAAACCACACCAAGCATTATTTCCAACAGTATGGAGCTCAAACGCTCTCGCTCTCGTGGGTTTACCACAAGGAGAGTACCTTTTATATCTGGCTTTATTACACATACTCTCTCCAGTACAGCGTTAGCTCTGAGTGTTAGAGATGCTTGCTAACGTGATGACAGACCATATGACTTCCAAAACACATTGTGCATTGTTTGTGGGTTGTATTTTCTGACTGGGACACATTTATGTATAAAAGACATCAGAGAGTACCTTTTGCATAATAGGTGACCTTTAAGTTTCCAGATTAATCACATGCTCCTCAGTTTCAGGGGATGCCTCGTTTTCGTCCGAGTATGACTCCTCTCTGTCCCCTTCGTCAATGGATGCCTCAGTTGGAAGTGCGAGCAGAGTCTCAGGCGCAGTGACTGTTGCTGGTGTGGTGGAACTGGATGGCTGGTCAAGGTTGTGCCGGTGGAACTCCCTGATAAGCCGGGGTTCAAGGATGTGTCGATGTTGGGACCCAGGATCTCTCTTCTGTATATAAACTTCCTGGTCAAACCGATATTGCAGGCCTCTCCAACAGCTACCTGAACGAAGCAACGGCAAATTGTGTAGGTTGGTCCTCCATCTTTCATACGAGACGGTGGTGGAGGTGTAGCATCACCAAATATGTATTATTGAGAAGAAGATGATCATGACGTGACAATCGTTTTCAGAACCATTTCTGGTCTCCATTCTTCCAGCCTATGGGAAATTGTGCTGGCCAACCCTAGCACAATATGTTATATGTTTTAGCATCTACTAGGATCTAGTTAGTGTTGTGTTGTACCCACTGCATTCAGAAATTAGCTCAAATTAAAAACACTTCTTACTAATGTACAGTACAATATAACCTTTAACAAGGTCTTCAGTAATAAACAAATAATCAAATTAACACATTTCTGACAATGTCAAAAAACATCATAAAAGTTATGAAAAGGTTAAAGTGTATGGAAGAGCTGGTGCACTATATTGCATTACATGTTTGTGTTTGAAAGATGTATAATATATATATATTATTTTTTTAATTGTGCATTTAGTTATCATACAATTTGGTTTTTACATTCACCTTGTTTCCTTGCTATTGAATTGTCCGAATGCATTTGCAATGGTATAGAATGGTACATGTTACATGTATTTGTAGTTGACTGGATGTTCTCACATTTAATCTGTTAAACCCCAAGCCTGTTTTTCAGGTCTCTGGCTCGAAAATGACATTTCCAGAACAAATGACCATAACTACACTTCTAAAAGGAGAAAATGAATAATCTTTTTTCTCAAAGTAATGATAAACATGTGAGCTGGATGTAGAAAAGTCAGAATCAATATAGATGTTTTTTATTTTAAAGAAAATTCCGATTGAACATACTGTAGTAAAAAACTGTAAATTATAGTGTCCGTCCAAAAATAATTGTTTACTTATAGTGAAAACCACCCTTGAATGATGGGATGGTACTAAAAGCTTTAGGAATCCAAAGTACAACATATAAGTACCCTGTATCAAGATTGATGCAAAACAAGTGACATTTGACCTTTTTAGAGAGGTTTAGCAAAATAAACTCCACCTCTGAGGTGATTTGGGTGGAAATGGGCGTTTTTGCCGTTTCTCTGGAACCCATTGGTCGATTTTGGTGATTGACATCTCTTTTTAACCGTTAGAGCCAATAGAATCGAAGGGGAATTTCCACATACACACCAACGTTACCAAAAAAAGTGGGGGCTTCACGCATGCAGTTGGCCGTAAACAGATCTCACGCTCTGAAATCTGAAACCGGAAAAGTAGGTTTATTGCTTATGGATTATCAAAAATCATTTCAAAGTGACACAGACACATTGGATTAACCTATGGATTAACCTTCAGCAGCGTTTTTATCGTTTTAATGCCATTGAAGACAACTTTTGATCAGACAACAACAAAGGTAAGAGATATTGCCGTTTTTGCGACCTAGCGCCAGGTGTTATGATGTCTGTTTTTGTTTATTATGTCGCGAGTCCAGCGGTCTAGTAGTTAATAAAAAACAATAATATCAAAACAAATTATTACTACTAACTTTATTGTGAAATTACAACAGAACGGTAAAAGAATAGTTTCCGGTCTATTCTGAGGCCCGATCTCTGTAGATAAATAAAGAACTACGACAGATGTGTAATATTTAATGCAGCCAAACCATTCATTACAATGCATTCATGTGATGACTTTCAAAGAGTAAAGCAAGCACTGCTGAATAAAGTATGATTTTATCTTTTACGAAACGTTTTTTTCATATGGAATGCAGTTGGAGGTCAACCAATCACAGAGCTTGAGGCAAAGCGGAACAATAGCTGAGGATTCTGGGTAGTGTAGTGTCTTCGGCCATCCTAAACTCTGAACAAATATTTGTTTCTCCGAATCGAAGGGGAAAATTACAAAAGCATTGCACACAATTTAAACCAATCAATATTGTGTAATTAACAAGGATAATCTGGTGTTTTTGAGTTGATGAGTAGTGCAGATATCACTGTAAAATCAATCGACAGTAAGGAGAATACTTACTTCCGGGTGTAAAATCCTCCGTTATCCAATGGGAATGGACGCTCACATTGCTCTCTGCGTCCGTAATACAATCAAGGGGACATGATCAAATAGGAATATAATTATCTTTTAAATAACGTTAACTAAAGGGAACAATCTATTTGACACAGCTGAAGCTCTGGCCTTCCTTAAAAACTAACTAATTTAATAAAAATCACAGTTGTATTACACACAATGCACTGTTTTTTGAGAACAAAAATTCGTAACTAATGCACCATAATACATTCTGACGAAAAATAAAAATTATTATGAATACAAATAAAATAAAAGAAGCCTCCCGTGAGTTACTACAAGCTATAAAGTAGATTTTAAAAACGTTTTATAGAATAAAAGCTCACTGCTGGAAGTTGTAGAAATGTGTGTGTGCACCACGACAAAGGAGCCTCATTCACTTTACATTGGGGTTGTTTGCGTGGTGCAGACACGTAAATGTAGCAAAGTTTGTGACTCCACCACGCACTGCGGTGTTAAGGAGTCGTGGTGGAGTCACGCATTCTGGTGAGACCAGGTTGTATGAGTGAGTTAGCTTTGTGTTTTTTTTTGCAAAAATAAATAAAAATGATCAGTTAGCTGAGTTTCTTCCCATTACATGGATATGAAACATTCATAGTTTATTAAATATTAAGAAGCCCTCAGACGCTGTTTCCTGCAGATTATGCGTTTTTCCGCCCGGGGGTGGGGTTCAACAGGTTTTAACAGTAAAAGGTTTGTGTATATGTAATGATGAAGTACTGGAACACATCACATTTTTTACCCAACTGTAAAACCTGCTCATACATGTTTAGCATTCCATCATCTGATATTGTGTTTACCGACTGGATACACCCAAAAGGTGTATGTATAAAAGAGGACTTTCATCATTCATGTCAGTTCAAAGGAACTCAGAACAGGTAAGAGAGATGCTTATGAAATTGAAAATTCACATTCAAAATCTTTCCCAATCATTGCTGAGAATGTATTTTATAACTCTCTCAACAGGATTATAATTCTTTTTCACAGTCAAAATGGTGAATTATAAAGTGACTGTTTCCACCTCCGGACCTCTCAATGGCACAACTATGAACAACATCTTTATTAAGCTGGTGGGCACAGATGGGGAAAGTGATCGCACATGGCTCTGCAACTTCACCGGGCCATTAGCTTTCATCGCTGGACAAGTAAGTCAGAGATACTCTCTAAAAATATAACACTGTTACTCAACTTTGCTTATAGTTTTGGGATTATATAGGGATATTGCCTATCAATTAGGTTAAGCTGATGTGAACAAAGCTAACTCTGACTCAAAACATGTTAATTCTGTCATTACTCCAGGCTTCCAGTTTTAACGTCTCCTGTCGTGTCTCTATTGGAAAGCTGATTCTGATAGAGCTCGACAAACAGGGTCTCCCACTGATCCCTCAAGACAGTTGGTTCCCTGCCAAAGTTAAAGTGGAATCTCCTGAGGGAGACACTTACAACTTTCCCATCTACCGCTGGATCACAGACAGCGAGATCAAACGCTTCAGAGAAGGAACAGGTATTTGGCCATTTGCTTGTCTGACATCTGGTACAATGTTCACAGACCAATGAATACACGTTCTGCAAGCCATACTATAAGGAGGTCGGAGTACATCTGTGCCAAAATACTGTACATATCAACAGTTTGGAACCTGTGATTCTTTCCTTAAGCTCTGAGAGTGTTTGAAGACAGCCATCATCTTGGCAGGTACAGTCGGGAGCAGGCGCTGAAACAGCGAGAGAAAGACTATCGGTGAGCGCCACTCAGAGGTTGTACACATTTTAACTTCATGCATCCCGAAATCTTTTCAAAAATGTGACACTTGCAAAGCTTTATGTAATGTAATAAACCTCAATATGTTGCAATATTGAATACTTGTCAAGTGCCTGTGTACTCTAAATTACTATCGAGACTGTCAACAGTTCCTCACCTCTCTGCTTCTCTCTATTACTCCCAGCTGGGATGTGTATGCAGAGGGATTACCCCACAAGATGAAGGTAGAAGGTCCTCTTTCTCTGCCTTGTGAGGTCCGCTTCTCCTTCACCAAGACCACAGAGTTTGGATTCACAGCATTAACTGGGTGAGGTCCTGAAATTATGTCAGATATCAAAGTATCAATATAATGTTGTACCTGCCTCAAATCAATGTAAGGGTATCTGATAAAGTTACTAATTGTGTTTATTTTCTAGGCTGGCTGAGTTGGGACTAAAGGGACTCTCTGATTCCAAGAAGAACTGGACTAATTTGGATGATCTCAACCGTGTGTTCTGCAACAAGCGGACTCACATATCAGGTACAATCATATACTGCATGTTTAAATAAAAATCACTGCAGTTGTTATTCCTGAGATAATACATTAGATTCTACTGAAATCCTGAAAACGTATCTAATAATGTCGTCTACACCTTTCCTTTACCTTTAATTTACTTTGCAACTGAATTAATACAATGAAGACTTTTTACTGATAACTGATTTTAACCCTCCTGTTGTCTTCGGGTCAAATCTGACCGATTTACTATACTTTCATCAATCATAACTTTTTTGTTTTACATTCGATTGCATTAAGGCTTTATGATATCCTTCACAGTAGACATTTGAACATATAAAATTGCTGATCACCACTTTCATTGAATTTTGGATGATTTAGTCAACTTTGTAACACCCATGGTGTTCCCGATCTAGATGTGTTCCCCCCTTATGTGCCCATCCCCCCACATGGATCACACCTGGCACACGCAATACATGTTCAGTGTCTATTCTTTGTATATTTACTGCAGTTTTTCATGTATACCAGTAGTCTGATACAATATTTACAGTTTGAAAGGGTGTTAAATGAAATTTGGTGATGATTAATGGTTTTTGTGTTAATGTAATAGCAGTTAAAACAGGACCGGCCAAATTTGACCGCGAACACCAAAGTAAGGGGGGGGAAACGAAGACAATTGAAGGGTTAAAACAATTATGACTCAAGTGTAACACAATGTTTCCCATTTACCAATTTCAGAAGCAAAGTACAGTTAAGCTGAAAACAGTGCTACTGCAGTCTCAGTTTCTAGGCCAAAGTCTGAAATACAATAAAATTCTAATCTGTTTGTTTTTTCAGAATATGTACAGGAACATTGGAAGGAGGACACTTTCTTTGGCTACCAATACCTAAATGGTATCAACCCCATGTTGATCCGACGTTGTACAACACTGCCCGAAAACTTTCCTGTCACTGATGAGATGCTCTTCCCTGATGGTCAGAGTAGTTTGGCAGATGAAATGAAGGTGATTATCTTTACCAGAATTGAGTTTAGAGCCATGTTTTGAATTTCGAATGACATTTTGTTGTTCACATGTTTGGTTGTGTGTCATATCCACACTGTGTGCATGTGAGTCACATCATATCTCATCCTCACTCAAATGTAAAACAGAATGGCAACATATTCCTGTTAGACTACAAACGTTTGGATGGACTGAAAGCAAATATGATCAATGGGAAGCAGCAGTACTTGATGGCTCCCCTTGTCCTGCTCCAGAAAACACCTGATGATAAGCTGATACCGATTGCCATTCAGGTAAGATTAGCACTAAAATATAGCTAACACGTAAATTGATGTTAAGTTGTGATTCATCTTCTAGGATGGACAGCGATACGATACAATAGATGTCATATGTACAGAGAAGACAGAAAATCATTAGTAACTTTGAGTATTTTAATTGTAATTGCTAGCCTGCTATTCTCTTTTCATTTGTAAGAAAATGGATACATTAGATATTCAAGCATTGGTGTAAGACTTTAAGAGGAAACTAGGGCTTTTGTCCTGAAGTTTACCCGAAGTCTGATCTGGGGTTCAATTTAAGTGGTATCAAACTGAAAAGCACATGTAAATAAATCCTATACTAAATGGGCCCAATATACAGAAATCATTGAACATTTTTAAACATTATGGACCAATACTGGCACTGGATCATATTGAAAGAACTGCACCGCTATTTCTCCCCGTACAGCTGAAGCAGACTCCAGCAGATGACAACCCCATCTTCCTTCCTACTGACTCTGAGTACGACTGGCTAACAGCCAAGATATTTGTGAGAAGTGCAGATTTCAGCGAGCATCAACTAAATGTTCACCTGCTGCGCACTCATCTGCTGGCTGAGGTTTTTGCTGTGTCACTGCTGCGCAACGTGCCCATGGTGCATCCACTCTACAAGGTAAATGAAGGGGAGAAAACTGAACTTACTGTAGTTGGGTTTTTTTGTCATAGTTTTTTCAACTTTTCGCCAATATTTCAGTCTTCTATTTTTGCAACATTTTTTGTAAAGTAGCATCAATGTGTCTCAAATAGTTTGAATATAGTTATATATATATATACATGTTACAAACAGTGTCCCCTGTCTCCCTCAGCTCCTCATACCTCACACTCGCTACACTATACAGATCAACTTCTTAGCTCGACTTGCTCTAATATCTCCAAGTGGAGTTTTCACAAAGGTACGTCAAGACCAACACGCTCAATACACCATTAACAGTACTACCTTCTTCTATATCATGTACATCATATATTTCTAAGGGTATTCCTTTTATATTTGACTGTTTTCTAGTTTGCAGCATCTGGTGGCGAGGCGATGGTCACAATCCTGAAGAGATCCTTGTCCTCAATGACCTACAGCTCCCTCTGCATGCCGGAAGACATTGCTGAGCGTGGGATGGAGGATGTGCCGAACTACTACTACAGGGATGACGGACTGAAGCTTTGGGATATCATTCAGAGGTACAGTATGCATTTCCATTCTTCAGCTTGATTATAATTTTACGATGTTGTGCAAATATTGTTATGTCTATCTTCTAAACAACCAAGCCAGTGAGCATGTATCCGAAAATGTCAAACTATCCCTTTAATGTTGCATGATCCACTGTGTCCAAAATTGATCCACATGTGGCCACTAATTAGTTTTCCATAATAGTGTCTGCATTGTGTATAAAGAGTATAATTCAACTACAATAGTGTTTGTAAAAATGATAAATGCTCTCCAAGGTTTGTGGAGGGAGTGCTCAGCTTCTACTACAAGAGTGATGAGGAGGTCCAGAAAGACTCTGAACTACAGAAGTGGATTTCTGACATTTTTGAACATGGATTCCTTTCACAAGAAAACACAGGTAGGCTTTGGAAAAAACGAAATGCTGATACACTCCCACATTTCACTAATAAAACAAATTCACCTATTTCAATTTATTCCGGTAACACTGTTTATTTCCACTGATTTTCAGGAATTCCCCAGAGCTTTACCTCTGTGGCTGAGTTGGTCAAGTTTGTCACCATGGTGATCTTCACTGGCTCAGGACAGCACTCAGCTGTGAACACTGGACAGGTGAAGCCTTTTCATTTACTTGTATTATCCGTTATACAGTTGCTGTTGTAAAGATTGTCAACCCTTCCAAGAGTTGCTGCCTTTATGTGGTGTTTGAATTGTTTGTGTGTCCCTGTGATACTGGATGCTGTATTGTTGGTGGAGAATATATTTTGTTAGGTTAACCCAAAGCAGAGTGGTCCAAGGGGTGAAGGCAGCATAGGATTATATCACAGATAAGGTAAGAGACCCTGAACTCACTGGAGGGATTCAATATATTACCTGGCCCCAGAGAGACCCACCTGGCTGATTCATTAAAGGTCCCCTATTACACTTTTTTCATTCATATATTATAGGTCCTAGATATACAAAACATGTCTCTGAAGTTTTTGGCTCGAAATACCAAACAGATCATTGTAGCATCCCATAATCCCCTCTGTTTCAGCCCTGTTTCAAAAGTGCTGATTCTCTGTCTGTTACTTTAGATGAAAATAAGGAGCCACTCCCCACGCCCCTCTGAGAGATATTTGGTTAAAAAGAACACAATGGTGCTCTAGGAGGAGATTCAGGTGATAAGGTGGGGGGGGGGGGGGGTTTACCTTGGTTGGTTATTGGCTGATGGTTACTCAAGCCAACACATCGTTATGACATCATAAAGTGGCCAAAATCTGATCAGCTTATTGTCAGACAGGTTTTTATATAAATGGATCAGGACAAAAAGAGAGCGAAAAAGTGATCCTGAAACTTTCAGAATCTCTTTCCACAGAGGGGACACATGTTGATGTAGAAAAGACATGAACAAGTGGATTTTGCATAATAGGAGACCTTTAATGGATATCCTTGTGTGGAATGCAAAAAATGCTCATATACTGTAGTCACAATGGTCATGCTTGATGATGATCATTGGCAAAGATGATATTTACTGAGATCACAATTTTTGTTTACCATGTTAACATGAAAACATGTGTTAACAACTACAAAGTACAGCTGAGACTGAGGGGTATGTAATAAGTGTTGCACATAATAAGTCATAAACTAAACTTATGAACAAATCAAAACTTTTTTTCTGATGTTTGTGCTGGATGAAAGGTCAAAGGATTACCAACAGTATCACAGTTTACCCTAAAGTACGTTTTTACACATTTATCTTCCACTGGGAATCAACAATCTCTGTACAAATGTAGTATCCACATTTAATAGTAATACTTTCAATAGTTGGAAAATGTTAGTGGGGGACCAAAGTATTTGAATGACTGATCAAAAGACTCCCATGGTGTAGCTTCAAAAAAACAGTTGTCTGACAATCATTATTTTATCACAGTTTGACTATGGTGGCTGGATGCCCAACACTCCCATCTCCCTGCAACTTCCTCCACCAACCACAAAGGGGACAACAAGCGAGGCCACGATGCTGAACACACTGCCTGACATTGGTACATCAGCTCAGGGAATGGCCACCGTATGGCTGCTCAGCAAGCCTTCATCTGACTTCGTAAGTGCCCAAGACTTCCTTAAAAATGTATTAATAGTTAAAGTGGTGTATGGTAGTTTGATTTAAGCAAGAATATCTTATTTGGGCCACTAAAACCCTGATCTCTAATTTACATTCTATTGTCAATTGTCTGTTTTAAGACATATTTCAACTTTTATTTTTTATTGTATCATTGATCTCATCAGGTCCCTCTCGGCCAGTTCCCAGAGGAGCATTTCAGTGAGGAGAATCCTTGGGAGCTGATAAAGGATTTTCAAGGAGAGCTTGAAGTGTTGACTACAGTCATCAGTGTCAGAAACAGGAAGCTGGAGATCCCATACACATACATGGATCCAGCGGTGATAGAAAACAGCGTGGCCATTTGAATGTCAGAAGGTGTGAGCTACTCATCATCTGCTGACCAGATTGAGCTTAATAATAACGAAAGAGAGAAAGGGAAGAGGCACATTTTCAGTTTTAAATGTTTTAACTATAGTGTGCTGTCAATCAAATAAAAAAAAAGAATTGCATTTATCACAATAATTATCTGTGATTTATCACGTTTAATCACAAGTTTAAAATACTAGTGTTAGTAAAGAAATGCAATAAAGAAATGCAGAACAAGCTGATTTTTGCCTAGGGTTTTGATTATAACATACATTCTTAATGACAAGCATTAACTCCGACAACTTTCCGACATGTAAAGTACAGACGAAGCCACCCCTAAATTGTACGAGTGCAGTCACAATTTGGATCAGGTGTTTTGTGGCTTCTAACTGAAGTCCCTTATTTTTCAGGGAGTTCAATACATTCCCCCGCTTTACTCGCCGTTTCACTGCTTATTGTAAACATATGTGCTGAAATTATGGGAGGAAATTATGGGAGGATGTTTGGGTGAAATGCTCTCTCCCCTCTCACATCTTTCCTACTCCCAACAAGACTCGCCATTGTTTTAGAGATCCCTGTCAAGAAGATGTGATACCCTGAAGGCCTATTTGGCACCATTAGTTTAAAATATATTTAAGGAAATTACTGTAATAAGTAATATGTGAACATTTTTGAATTGTTGAGCTAAAAGAAGCCAGCAGTAGTAGGAGTGAAAAGCCCATTTTGTTTTAATATGAGCCCCTGTTATCTCATGTTTTGATGGCAGGAGCTTAGCTAAGGAGCTATCTTTTGTTTGGTTTTGGTTTTTGGTTAGGTTACTTTAGGGTTCTTTTTGTTTAGAAGTTTTGTTTATTATGTTGGCATTTTTCTCACATTAATAAATCAAGTATCATTTCCTCCAGAGAAATTAAAGCAGCAGCAAAAACTATGCACTTGTAAATAAATAGGAGATTATCCATGTTGGACAGGCCAGTTTTGATATGTTACACATGCATGACTTTTTCTATATCACCTGTTAAAACAGTGTCATGACCATGGTCATGACATACAGTTTGCATTTTTTTTAAATGCTATATGAATGTAATAACTACAAGATCCTTAATTCTAAATGTATAAGTGACAAAACCCTCCTTAATACTGCATACTGTGCTATTACTTTTCTCTATATATTATTTTACATAGCACAGTGTAAGACTTTTTTAGTTTTTTGACATTCTACATTCTGACTTTTTAAAAATACAATACTATCACTTTTTTTCTTAAAACAATTCGACATACCTTCACCAAGCTAACCAACTAAAATGGGTTAATAATGCTGGTGGCTCAAAGTCAAAACATCTCTAACACTGGCTGCTGTATGGCTGTTAGTTTAGAAACCGCTTGATTTGATCTGCAGCAGCCTCCTTTAAGGGCGGAGACACATTTTGCACAGGTTTTTTTGAAGATATAATTTGTTGAAGATGTGCAAGTCTGATGAACAGCAGTAGTGGTCTACTGGGCTCAGCCCCCAAGGGCCATGTCCCAATGTAACCTTAAAACACCACCCTTAACTATAACCTCAGTAATATGGATATAATCATTTAAATACATTTTTGAAAATGTCAACAAAAACTGTTACCTGAATGAGCTGCTCCGACTGTCGGTCCTGACGGACTCCAAAAGTCCGACATTATACAATCAAACAATAAAATGAACACACGGATAATTGTGTCTTATTGTTGAGTAAATAACAGTGTGTGGTTTAGAAAATAATAAAAGGTTAGAAGGAAAAAACGATGAAACAATACCGATTTCAGTATTCTGAGCCCAGCTATACTCTCCCTGACTGACGGCAACAAAAGTAACACATACATAAATAACATAATACAATTAAAATAAAGACGTAAAAACAATAAGTGTTGCATGATATTGAGTAAGATAAGGTTGATAAACGCTGTGAGAATGGCTCGGCGGAGAGCATTTCTCCGCGATCTCAACTCGTCTAACGTTCAGGGAGCTCTATGCAAGTCTATGGGAGTCCCTGATAGTTGACGCTAAAGGGCCCCCCACTGCGTTAGAAAGTAACGCCAAGGGATCCTGACGTAACGTCAATATAGGACGAGTTGGGAGTGAGAATGTGTTGTTACTACCATCGCATATTTTATACTATATATTTATAATTTGTGTATCTAATAAATTCTGTTTCTATTGGAAACAATACAATCTTGTAATTGGTATCTTTTTCCCTGCCATTGAGTTTTCTGTACATATTTGACATGCTGTAGAAATATGCTACTTTATTATTACATATTTTTGTTTAGAAGTTTTGTTTATTATGTTGGCATTGTTCTCACCTCGTATAATTTCCTCCAGAGAAATTAAAGCAGCAGCACAAACGATGCACTTGTAAATAAATAGGAGATGATCCAGAAACGGTACAAAAAGAGGCAAGTGATTTACATAGACTCCCTGAAAAATAAATACGAGAGATTGCAACAGAGTGAAACCCGACAGCTGAGGACATTTGGGGATTACAGTACATTTAGTACAGTCAGGATGTTGGACAGGCCAGTTTTGATATGTTACACATGCATGACTTTTTCTATATCACCTGTTAAAACAGTGTCATGACATACAGTTTGCGTTTTTTTGAAATGTTATATGAATGTAATAACTACAAGATCCTTAATTCTAAATGTATAAGTGACAAAACCCTCCTTAATACTGCATACTGTGCTATTACTTTTCTCTATATATTATTTTACATAGCACAGTATAAGACTTTTTTAGTTTTTTGACATTCTACATTCTGACTTTTTAAAAATACAATACTATCACTTTTTTTCTTAAAACAATTCAACATACCTTCACCAAGCTAACCAACTAAAATGGGTTGATAAGACGTGGCTCAAAGTCAAAACATCTCTAACACTAGCTGCTGTATGGCTGTTTGAGAGCTTGATTTGATGGGCGGAGGACGCATTTTGAAAACGTTTTTTTGAAGATATCATTTGTTGAAGATGTGCAAGTCTGATGAACAGCAGTAGTGGTCTATGTGCCAGGGCTCAGCCCCCAAGGGCCATGTCCCAATTTAACCTTAAAACACCACCCTTAACTATAACCTCAGTAATATGGATATAATCATTTAAAGTGGACCTATCATGCTATATTTGAATAATATAGTGTAGGACCATACCTATATAAGGCATATTTATACTTTTTTTTCAAAATACCAAACAGATCATGCATTTTAGCCATGCCTCATTTTGCTCAATTTGACAATTTCTAGCTCTGTTTTTGCAAGGGCTGATTCTGTGAGAACAGCACCATCTACTAGCCTGGCATATGTACTACAGCGTCTCCAGCGCTTTCGAACGGCAATGGCCGTGGCTGTCTCCTCCTGATAGGTGGAGAGTTGGCCCAATAGCCGTAGCGCCACTGTCCTGACGTCAGGACAGTGTTCAAATCTGGATCAGTTTTTATCAGATCCGTTGCAGCCCCTTTTTTTAGAGATTTGGGTATGGACGAAAATAGAGAGGGTTGTGTTTTCTGACACTTGGTGAGTTCCCTGGAACACCGGGGACACATATTCATGTATAAAAGACGTACAAAAGTGCATTTTGCATGATAGGTCCCCTTTAAATACATTTTTGAAAATGTCAACAAAAACTGTTACTACCACCACATATTTTATACGTGTATCTAACAAATTCGGTTTCTGTTGGAAGCAATACAATCTTGTAATTGGTACCTTTTCCCCTGCCATTGAGTTTTCTGTACATATTTGACATGCTACAACATGCTGTAGAAATGTGCTTTAATATTACATTTGTTTGTAATAAAACTATCCTATAAATGTCGAAAAACTGTGTAAACTAATCCTTTATTTGTTAATTTCTAATATGTGTAGTTGACCTAATGCTGTCATGTTTAATGCAGGAGAAGCAGGTTATCTGGGTGAACCAGTCATGAGAGATAATGTTTTATCATGTAACTCACTGGACACACCCAAACATGTGGATGTTTTAAAAGAGGAGGATCAGTGGTGAAAAACTACAACGGGCAGTTCGTCAGAGGAACTCAGGTCTCAAGAACAGGTAAGAACAATGCTTCTGTAATTTAAAAGACACATTTAATATTTGTTGTTTCTTTAGATTTGCCACTGCCTTTTTCTTTCTGATACTAGTATTTAAACAAATTAATTCAAATTAAAACGGTATCTTACACAATAATGGCTGAGAATTGTGAATATAACTCTCTCCTCAACAGGATTGTTCTTCGTTTCGGAGAGAAAATGGTGGATTATAAAGTGACTGTATCCACTGGTACACGCGTCTTTGCCGGAACTAAACACCACATCCATATTAAGCTGGTGGGCACAGATGGGGAAAGTAAACGCAAAAGGCTCAGAAGCATCGCCGTGCCATTACCTTTCAGTCGTAAACAAGTAAGTCAGACATACGTATCTCTCTAAAAATATAACACTCTTACTCAACTTTGCTAATAGTTTTTAGATTATAAAGGCATATTAAATATCAATTAGGTAAGGCTAATGTCAATTTAGGCATCAACACAGTATTATTATCTTGTACTTAGATTAAGTTGACTGACTTGCTTCATCTTGCAATTGTGTGTTTGTAACCACACAACTATTGTAACTCACATGGATTAAAAGAGTTATTTAACTATATTGTAAATACATGTATTGTATAATTGCTTTCAAATCCTTTCTGTCATTACTTCAGGTATCCACTTTTACTGTGTCCTGTCCTGTCTCTATTGGAAAGCTGATTCTGATAGAGCTCGATAAAGAGATTGTACTGGTCGTTGAAGACGATTGGTTCGTTGCCAAGGTTGAAGTGGAGTCTCCTGATGGAGAAACGTACAACTTTCCCATCTACCGCTGGATCACAGACAGCGAGGTGCAACGCTTCAGAGAAGGAACAGGTATTTGGAAATTAGCTTTTCTGACATCCTGTAAAAAAATGTCAGACCACAGAATACAAGTTCTGCAAGCTGGACTAAAAGGAAGTCAGGGTCAATTCATGCCAACATACTGTGAATATCAATATTATATTTTAACCTGTGATTCTTTCTTTAAGCTCTGAGAGTGTTTGAAGACAGCCATCCTCTTGGCAGGTACAGTCGGGAGCAGGAGCTGAAACAGCGAGGGAAAGACTATCGGTGAGCGCTCAGAGCTTATGCACATTTTAACTTCAGGCATCCTGAAACTTACATCCATCCAAACATATTACAAACATATGACACTTGCCAAGCTTTATGCAATGTAATACAGTATACCTAAATATGTTGCTATATTGAATACTTGTCATGTGTTTGTATACTCCAAACTAAAACTTATACACTAGTATCTAGAATGTCCACATCTCCTCACCTCTCTTCTCTATTACTCCCAGCTGGGATGTGTATGCAGAGGGAATACCCCACAACATGAAGGCAAAAAATGCTCTTTCTCTGCCTCCTGAGGTCCGCTTCTCCTTCAACAAGACCATAGAGTTTGGATTCACAGCAGCTGCTGCGTGAGTTTCTCAAGTCCTGTTAGATATCAAACAATCTACAAACTATGTACCTGCCTCAAATTATTTTAGGGCATTATAATAAAGTTACTTGTTGCTTTTTTTCTAGGCTGGCTGAGTTGAAATTAAAGGGCATCGCTGACTCCAAGGACAACTGGACTGATATTGATCATATCAATCGTGTGTTCCGCAACAAGGACACTGACATATCAAGTACAATCATCTACATACTATATATAATACTTTAGATTCTACTGAATACCAAAAATGTATCTAAAAAAGTGAGTTTTATCTTACTTAGAAGAAAACTATTTATTTAGTATTTAAATAAATACCAGTAAAACTGATAACTCATTTTAAAACAACAAGAATGACGGGGTGACTTTATATACAGTTGAACATGCAATATCCCAGTTTTTAGCCCAAAGTCTGAAACACAATAAAATTAAAATGTATTTTTTTTTCCAGAATATGTCCAGGAACATTGGAAGGAGGATGCCTTTTTTGGCTACCAGTACCTAAATGGTGTCAACCCCATTTTGATCCGACGTTGTACAGCTCTGCCTGAAAACCTTCCTGTCACTGATGAGATGCTCTTCCCTGATGGTCAGAGTAGTTTGGCAGATGAAATGAAGGTGATTATCTTTACCAGAATTGAGTTTAGAGCCATATTTGTTTAGAATTTGGTAGTCTTGGAAGTTCTTCACTGTGTTTCATATTGCACTGTTTGCATGTGAGTCAAATCATATCTCATCTTCACTCAAAACAGAATGGCAACATCTTCCTGTTAGACTACAGACGTTTGGATGGAGTGAAAGCAAACATGGTCCATGGGAAGCAGCAGTACCTGATGGCTCCCCTTGTCCTGCTCCAGAAAACACCTGATGATAAGCTGATGCCGATTGCTATTCAGGTAAGATACACGCTTAAATAAAGCTAACATCTAAGATGTAAGGACGGACTAACATTCAATACAGTACATTTCATATGTACAGAGAAGTAAGCAAATAGCTTAACGGTCACCTATTAGGCAAAATGCACTTTTTATGTCTTTTATACATAAATATGTTTCACCTTGTGGCTACTCGGCAATGCTCCGTTTGACTTTGTGCCCAACATTTCATAAAAAATTACGTTATTAAAATTCAAGTATACACATAGTATTTTCATTAAAGGTCACCTATGATGCTAAATGCACTTTTCTATGTCTTTTATACATACATATGCGTCCCCGGTGTTTAGGGAGACTCACAAAGTGTCAGAAAATACAACACTCTCTCTTTTCCTCCTTACCCACATCTCTAAAAATGGGGGTACAACGGAGCTAATCCAGATTTGCTGCAGACTTGACGTCATTACTGAAATGTGGGCTGGCTTTACATTGAACTCCTGGCAACGATCCGCCCACGGCCCTACCTATCGTCTCCATATACAGTCGCTAGCTGAATCCCCCCCCTGCAGCTGTGTGTCTGTGTATTCAGCAGGATGTCTTCGGGAGGGACTTAGAGTAAAGTTGTTATATATACTATACATACAATGGCACAGTTCTAGCGGTAGACCATGGGCATAATTTCCACTGGAGACAGGGGGGACATGTCCGACCCACTTTTCAAAATCTTGTGAGGCACTGATTACCTCAGCTCAGTGAGGTAAAGGACTCTCTGAGGGTTCAGATAGTTAATTTTAGTTAATCTCAGTGGGTCTCAAACGGTTTGGTCATCTATGTAAACACATATTTCCATGGCACACGTTTATATATTTCATATAATTGTACAAAATAAGGTAAGAAATCATTCCAATGTGTAGGCTACTATAGGACAGTAAAAAAAAAATGTCATTGTGGGGGACAGCCAGACCCCTATTTTGTGTCCCCCCCCACTTCTCAAACCAAAGTTACACCCTTGCGGTAAACACTAAATAAAGAACATATCAAGCTATGTGCTGTATCAGAAACAATGCGCAATGTGTTTTGGAAGTAATATGGTCTGTCATTACGTTAGCAAGCATCGCTAACAATCAGAGCTAATGCTGTACTGGAGAGAGTATGTGTAAAAAAGCCGGATATAATAATAATAATAATAAATTATATTTATATAGCGCTTTTCTCAAACTCAAAGACGCTTTACAGTCGGGGGGAGGGTAGACAAACAAGGACAGGCAAAAACAAACAAAAACAACAAAATAAAACAAATCAAAACAAAACAAAAAATAATAATAAATTAATAAAATAAAACAAAACAAATAAAAGCTTTTAGCTGAGTTTCTGCTAGTAGACAGCCTTCTCTTCACAGAGCTCACTGCTTGCATGCTTGCAACGTTGTGTGCAAACATAGAGGAAAATTGTGAATCACCGTAAAAACTATACTTAACCTGTTAAGCCCGAGAGACAAAAACGGACATCAAAACAGGTGACGCTAGGTAGCTAAAAATGCTAACATTTTTACTTTGGCTCTGTAGTCTCTCCAAAGTGGTCTTCAATGGCATTAAAACGATAAAAACGCTGCTGAAGTTAATCCATAGGTTAATCTAATGTGTCTGTGTCCCTTTCAAATTATTTCTGACAATCCATAAGCATTAAAACTGCTTTTCCGTTTCCAGATGTCAAAACTAGAGATAGGTCCACTCTGATGCAAAATTATATGCGCGAAGCCCCCACCTTTTCTCTTCACAACGTGTGTGTATGGGGGACTCCCCCTTCGATTCTATTGGCTCTAACGGTCAGAAAGAGGTGTCAACCATCAAAATTGAGCAAGGGGGGCCAGAGATATGGAAAATCCACCCAAATGACCCCAGAAGTGGTCTATTTTTGCTAAATCTCTCTAAAAAGGTCAAATGTCACTTGTTTTGCATCAATCTTGATACAGGGTACTTATTATATGTTGTACTTTGGATTTCTAAAGCTTTTAGTCTACTAACCCATCATCCAAGGGTGGTTTTCACTATAAGTAAAAAATAATTTTTGGACGGACACTATAATTTACAGTTTTTTACTATGTTCAATCTGAATTTTCTTTAAAATAAAAAACATCTATATTGATTCTGACTTTTCTACATCCAACTCACAGGTTTATCATTACTTTGAGAAAAAAGATTATTAATTTAACCCTTTTAGAAGGGAAGATATGGTCATTTGTTCTGGGAATGTCATTTTCGAGCCTGAGACCTGAAAAACAGGCTCAGGGCTTAACAGGTTAAAGGACTTTTTGGCAATTATCAGCCTGCTTCCCATTTTCTTTGTCGAAAACACGATAAATTACACATTCAACTATTGGTGTATGTAAGGCTGAAGAAAGTAGGGCCACTGTTCTGAAGTTGACTGTGTGTATAAAACCTATGGTAAATAGGCAAATTATTAAGCATTATTGAGCAAAACTGTCACTGGATCAAATCGATTTCTCCCCGTACAGCTGAAGCAGAATCCAGCAGAGGACAACCCCATCTTCCTTCCTACTGACTCTGAGTACGACTGGTTAACAGCCAAGATGTTTGTGAGAAGTGCAGATTTCAGCGAGCATCAACTAAATGTTCATCTGCTGCGCACTCATCTGCTGGCTGAGGTTTTTGCTGTGTCACTGCTGCGCAACTTGCCCATGGTGCATCCACTCTACAAGGTAAGTGAGAATACTGAACTTACTTTAGTTTTTTTTTAATATATATATGACTCCTGACTTTTCCCTGTGTTTTTTTTTATATATCTGTTGTAATTTATTGTCTTTTATTGTGATTGTAGTAATGTGTTTTTATGTGATTGTAGTATTTATTACATGTACAGCACTTTGGCCCAACCAAAAATCGCTTTTAAATGTGCTTTATAAATAAACTTGATTTGATTGATATAGTTTTTTGATCTGCTGATTTTTGTATCTTCTTCTAGTTTTGTGTAACACTGATAAATGTACAGTAGCATCAACATGTCTCACATGGTTTGAATGTAATAATGTTGCTTACAGAGTTCCCTCTTCACCTCAGCTCCTCGTACGTCACACTCGCTACACTCTGCAGATCAACTTACTGGCTCGAAATGTTCTAATATCGAAAGAAGGGTTTTTTGATGAGGTACGAATGGACCAATATTATCAGAAAACCGTTACCTACTCTGTTTTCATGTCATGTACTGTATAGTGTTTGTCTCTAACTTTATTCATCACATATTTGACTGTTCTCTATAGCATGTAGCTTCTGGCGGTGAGGCTCTGTTCGAAATCCTGCAGAGATCCACGTCCTCAATGACCTACAAGTCTCTCTGCATGCCGGACGACATTGCTGAGCGTGGGATGGAGGATGTGCCGAACTACCACTACAGGGATGACGGACGCAAGCTTTGGGATATCATCAACAGGTACTTCTGGCACTGGCAATGTGATAATACAAAACAGTTTAACTTTTTTAAACAATCTAACTATTTTTAACATGTTTTGCCAAATTTGCCAAGTGATTGTACTTTACTAAAACAAAACATAAATCTACATCTAGATACAATGTGAGGTTCCTGGTTTAGTTTAATTAATTCCCCTGTCACAAGTAACTAATGCCAGAAAGTCTTTCCAGTTCCCACGTGAACAAGCAGAGATGAGTTTTACATAATAAAGAAAAACACACAAGTTACTGAGCCAAGTTTAGGCAAATGATTACCAAATAATGTTTGGAAGGTCTATATGTCAAGAAGCACAATAAACAAGCTTCTTTCACACATTGAAAATAACTCAAAGAGTTAGCAGAAACAATTGTTTACATTTTACTAAGCAAAATAATAATCAAACCTCAACAAACCCCCAAACCTCTTGTTAACAAAGGTTCTTGCATATTCTCTATATATATACTCTCATATATGTGTCAATTTATTTCATGCTTATTTCCTATGTTTCCACAGAAGGGAGCATCTCCAAGATGAAACTGTTTTGCTCTTTTCATTTGCTTTGTGACATGAACCAGAATAATTTCAAAGTATTGATGTAAACTTTTAGAAAGAGCAAGAACTAAATGCCTCAGAAAGGGTTGCATTGTAAAGTGGTGTAACCATTATTAAGATAAGTGTTGTAATTTATAAAAACTTAAGATTCTACTTGTATTACAGGTTTGTGGAGGGAGTGCTCAGCTTCTACTACAAGAGTGATGATGAGGTCAAGCAAGACTCAGAACTACAGAAGTGGATTTCTGACATTTTTGAACATGGATTCCTTTCCCAAGAAAGCACAGGTAGGTTTTGCAGAAACATTCAGCGTTACATTTCCATTGTTTAGGAAAGTAACATGTCCCCATTTTGAATTCTTTCAGTAACGCTTTTTATTGCCTTTTAATTTTCAGGAATTCCAAAGGGCTTAAGCTCTGTGGCTGAGTTGGTGAAGTTTGTCACCATGGTGCAGAGATGGAGTACTCGAGTCCTGGACTCGGACTCGAGTCGGACTCGAGTGCCGATTTTCGGGACTCGTGACTCGACTCGGACTCCCGCACTGATTGACGCGACTCGGACTTGGACTCGTGAATTCTCGCGCACGATGACTTGGACTCGGACTCGGACTCGTGAATTATCGCGTACGCTGACTTGGACTCGGACTCGGACTCGTGCATTTTTCCCCCCATGATGACTCGGACTCGACTTGTACATTGACGCTCCGACTTGGACTCGGACTCGGACTCGAGCAAGTTTTCTATGGAGTCTGATGTCCTCTATCCTGGCGTGTGCACCGGCCGCGAGGCGAGTTCACGTACTGGGCCCCGCTATTCCAGTCTAAAGATGTCTAGAGACACACCCCGCATCGTGCTGTATGCTTTCACACATTCTGCTTCCACATTGGAAAAGAGCAGCGCAAAATGCTCTATGTGGAAACAATATTGAAGAGAAGGCTCCGGAACACATTACTCTAAACATCGAGTTCAGACATATAGGCTGTCTTGAACACTATCATCAGAGTAACGTCATCTAATCAATACATAAAGATTCAGCCGATAACACGAAAGCATATGGCTACTTAACATGCAGAATGACGTCATTTTGCATGCTAAGTAGCCATGTGCTTTCTGGGGCTAAATCTTTATCAGTAAACCGATTTAACCGGTAAAAGTTCCTTCAAAATAAGAGTCCCGATCTTATTACTATCAAAGTGCAAAACGAAAACTTTACCATAGGAAAATATTGGCATACAAATATAATCACTTCTCTAAAAGGTAACTCATTTTAAACATAGTTTATATATAATAATAATAATAATATTAGTAATAAGCTTTATATTTGTATAGCACCTATTACAAGAATTGTAGCCAAACTCGCTTCACAGCAGTTCAATAGACAGATTAGTATAACATGACAGGATAAAAGCAATGTAGAGGAGCAGCTACATTTCAACACATATATCCATGAAGATTAATACATGAAGACTTGTGACTCGGACTTGACTTGGACTCTTCTTAGGTGACTCGGACTTGGACTCGGACTCGAACACAGGTAATGATGACTCGGACTCGGACTTGACTCGGACACTCCTTGGGTGACTCGGACTTGGACTCGGACTCGAACACAGGTAATGATGACTCGGACTCGGACTCGACTCGGACATTCCTTGGGTGACTCGGACTTGGACTCGGACTCGACTACGACTCTCCCTTGGTGACTCGGACTTGGACTCGGACTCGAAGAGTGGTGACTCGAGAGTGACTTGGACTCGTGAATTGGTGACTTGACTACAACACTGCCATGGTGCTCTTCACTTGCTCAGCACAGCACTCAAGTGTGAACGGTGGACAGGTGAGGTCTTTTAATACTTTGGATGTTCATTTAAAGTTGCTATTTTAGAAATCGCTAGTATGCCAGAAAATCGCCACCTTGGTGTGGGTGCGACAAGGATGATATTTACCATTTTAGTTTACCACATGCAAACATGAAAACGTTGGTTTATTGCAAAGTATAGCTGAGGCTATATAGCCTGAAACTACTGGAGAAATAAAAACGATAATCTGATGTTTGCTCTACCACATTCATCACTGTTTATCCTGAGCTCAACTTGAACGTCTAAAGGAAAATGAATTGTCAATGTAGCAGAAAGTTATTGAGGCATTTATCTCGAAACTAAGAACGTTAAACCTTATGGGGGTGTTTAAGAAAAAGTCAGATGATCTCCAATGTCATTAGTATGAATCATCTGGGGTCAATTCATCTCTCAAAAATGTTGTTTGTATCCACATTTATGACAATACATGCAATTGTTGAACATTACTGTGCCAAAGTAGTGGACTGTTATCACAATAATGACATGGCCTGGCTTCAAAAAGTATTAAACAATTATTCATTTTATCACAGTTTGACTATGGTGGCTGGATGCCCAACACTCCCATCACTCTGCAACTTCCCCCACCAATCACAAAGGGGAAAACAAGCGAGGCCACAATGCTGAACACACTGCCTGACATCGGTACATCAGCTAATGGAATGGCCGTCTTGTGGCTACTCGGCAAGCCTCCGTTTGACTCTGTAAGTACCCAATATTTCAATAAAAATGTTGTTACTCAAATTCAAGTACACACATAGTATTTAATGAGTTTTATACATAAATATGTGTCCAAGGTGTGTAAGGAGACTCACAAAGTGTCAGAAAATACAACCCTTTTCTTCCTTCCCCACATCTCTAAAAACGGGGGTACAACGGAGCTGATCCAGATTTGCTTCGATCATGACTACATTACTAAAATGTGGGCTGGCTTTACATTGAACTACTGGCAACATTCCGCCCAAGGCCCTATCGTCCCCTATCAGAAACATTGCTGTATCAGAAACAATGTGCGACGTGTTTTGGAAGTAATATGGTCTGTGTTCACATTAGCAAGCATCGCTAACACTCAGAGCTAACGCTGTACTGGAGAGAATATGTGTAAAAAAGCCGTATATAAAAGGTACTTACCTTGTGGTAAACCCGCAAGAGAAAAAGCATTTGAGCTCCATACTGTTTGAGAAATAATCCTTGATGTGGTTTGGAACATAACATGGCATTTAATCACGGCAGCATTGAGCTGAGTTTCTGCTGAGTAGACACTCTTTTCTTCACACAGCTCACTGCTGGCCACGCTCCAAAGGGGCAGGTTACATTTGAAGCTACAGACCCAGAATCAGCACTTTTGTAACAGGGCTGAAATAGAGGGGTATGAGGCATGGCTACAATGCATGATCTGTTTGGTTTTCTGAATACGCTCTTTGAGCCCCAACAAAACTTGTGATTACAACAACTGTACACTATATTGTCAATTTTCTGTTTCGAAAAACTTTTGAACTTTTATTTTTGAATGTATCATTGATCTCATCAGGTCTGTCTTCGCGAGTTCCCAGAGGAGCATTTCAGTGAGGAGATTCCCTGTCAGCTGATAAAGGATTATCAAGGAGAGCTTAAAGTGTTAAGTGCAGACATCATAGCCAGAAACATTGGTCTGGATATCCCATACACATACATGGATCCAGAGGTGATGGAAAACAGTGTGGCCACATAATTATCATAATGTGAGACCCTTAGCTATCTGCTACATTTCGCTTAATATTAGCGGAGAGAAAGGGAATAAATTAATATTCAGTTTTTAAGTATATACTGGAATGAAGCTACTGCCTGTTATATTTGTATGCATGTGATTTATATAGCATATTCAAGTTAAGTGTTTTTTAAGTTTTAAATCAGAATAAAAACGTATTGGGCCTCTTTAATAATCGAGATACAGAGGGATCCTTTTTGAGCCTGTTTGTTTTATGCCAGTAAGTCTACAGAATATAATTATATATTTTTGTGAAAAAATACCAGCATGGTGCATACACGAAAAATTGCAAATACCCCTTTAAAAATCACAACATAGCCCAAGTTCCAAGCAAATTTGATCAGCATATTCTCTGGATTGATTGTCTCTTAACTTGTTAATGATTTTTCTCTATAATCTACAATTTCTTCATATTCTAGAAATGTTTTCCAATTTTGCTTTGTTGTAGAGTGAATTGTCAAGTTTGTGTCAGACTGTCTGCATGTAATACCTCCTTTGAATTGTATTAACTAAGTATTTTAAACTGACCACATTTAATCAAAATAAAGTTTGCTTATTCTACAATATTTCAAGTGTTTGGGAGATCATTATTATGATTGTCATTACCTATCTTTATCATATGTTATTGTTTTATCTGTAAAAATGTTGCTCTGTAGTCTGTTATAGGTTTGTAAATGTATAGGTATCAATGTATAGGTATCAATGGTCTGCAATACATTCCCCCGCTTTACTCGCCTTTTCACTGCCATGGGATTCAATGTAAATAAATGCGCAGAAATGATGGGAGGACGTTTTGGTAAAGGCCACCATTAGTTTAAATTAGATTTAAGGAAATTACTGTAATAAGTAATCTGTGAACATTTTTGAATTGTTGAGCTAAAAGAAGCCAGCAGTATTAGGAGTGAAAAGCCCATTTTGTTTTAATATGAGTCACTGCGTTCTCATGCTTTGATGGTAGGTGATAGCTAAGAAGCTTGTCTTTTGTTTGGTTTTGGTTAGGTTAGTTTAGGGTTCTTTGTGTTCAGAAGTTAGTGTTTATTATGATGCCATTTTTCTCACATCGGATGAAATTAAAACTGCAAATTAGATTTTCTATGTCACTGACTGAGTATCGAGTGTGCATTTCATGGTATTTCTAGGTTCCCCTAGACCAGGGACATAACATGAATTGGTCACAGTCATTTACTTGGCGAGTTGTAACACAAACGACTAATCGGGTGGTCAAACTTTCTGCTAAAGCAATTGGCTGAATAATGGTAGAAAAGCTAAGCAAAATAGGGATGGCAATTTAAGAAAAAGATACAAGGCTTGACGCAAAGGGGAAACATTCTCAAAAACAAAATGATGTTAAAGGTCCCATGTCATGGCCATTTCTACTGATCATAATTCCATTGTTGAGGTATACTAAAATAGATTTATATTGTGCAATTTTCAAAACTCACATTGGTTTCTCATAGAGCAAGTATGTGTATTCACCCGTATTCACTCTCTGTCCTAAACGGCTTGTTGGAGCTCCTGCCCCCCCCCCCCCCCCCCCCCCCCCCCCTGTGAGCCCAGTGTGCTCTGATTGGTCGGGACGTTGCAAGGCTCGCTGCTCAGTGAGCTGGCTTACTGGTGTGGTTTCTGGGTCGGCGATACAGCGGGACAGAGCGAAACTCATCCTGAGCACACACAAACACTCACAGCCGAGATAAAAACAATAAGTGTGGCTTGATATTGAGTAAGAAAAAGGTTTATAAACGCTGTGAGAATGGGTCTGGGGAGAGCATTGCTCCGCGATCCCAACTCGTCTATTACCAACGTTCAGGGAGCTCTATGCACGTCAATGGGACTCCCTGTTAGTTGAAAATGTACGCTAAAGGTGTGAGGAGCTCCGCAGATTGGTCCAATTTGACGTCATGTCATGCGGTTCCCGGAAGAAACAAATGTAAAAAGAGAAATCTCCAACGAGGCGTTCTGGGGCAGCATAGACAGGTATTTTCTGTGTTAGAGTTTTATTCGCTACAGGGTGTACTTTGAGGGTTTTTGACTCTGCAGACCGTTTACATGCAGAAAATCCTTCATAACACACAAGGGGACGGGTAATAACCAGAAAAGCATGACATGGGACCTTTAATAGTTACAATAAATTGTGTGATGAAACAATGTGATTGCTTGATTCTCCGATGGGTTGATTGCCACAGGAGGGAAAAAAAGACATTAAACATGGTTCAAGGCAAAAGTGTTGTTAATGATTAATTATTTTTAAAATGAAACGGTGGTTGTCTAAATGTAAAGATACTTAAGATGTCAATATTGGTGGGGATACTCATGATGCGTGCATTCCCAATCCCAGTGTTTCCAATGGGGGTTAACATACCTTCACCAAGCTCACCAACTATAACTGGTCAAAAAGACATGCTGATGGCTCAAAGTCAAAACATCTCTAACACTGGCTGCTGTATGGCTGTTAGTTTAGAAACCGCTTGATTTGATCTGCAGCAGCCTCCTTTAAAGGCGGAGACGCATTTTGAACATGTTTTTCTGAAGATATCATTTGTTGAAGATGTGCAAGTCTGATGAACAGCAGTAGTGGTCTATGTATGTGCCAGGGCTGAGCCCCAGAGGGCCATGTCCCAATTTAACCTTAAAACACCACCCTTAACTATAACCTCAGTAATATGGATATAATCATTTAAATACATTTTTGAAAAGGTACAAATAAAATGTTGAGTGAAAGTTATGATTCATGATTATGTTTCTGTTGGGAACAATACAAATATTATTAAAATAAATAACATTGTATTGTTATTTATTGTATTAAAGGTGGGGTAGGTAAGTTTGAGAAACCGACTCGAGATACACTTTTTGTTATATTCCATGGAATGCTCTTAACATCCCGATAGCTATGAATATCTTAAGTGCTTTGACAAAAAATCCATAAAAAAATGTCATCTGTGGAAGCCGTAGTACTGTAAAAAGTACGACCAATCATTTTAGCCGGCCCGGCTAAAATAACTGGATGGCCTACCTGCCTGTCAGCCTTCCATCTGTGCACAAACTTATCTCGTGCCCTCATTGGTCATGTGCGCGTTCATGTGTGTTGGAGGAGGGGCTCTATAAGGAAGTGGCAGATTTTCTCCGGTTGTGTATTTTCAAATTCTACACTGTAAAAATTTACCAGCATTTCACTACATTTAACAGTATTATTTTACAGTGACATATTGTAATCAAGGCCCCCTGTAATATCCCAACAAATACATGTAAAAAGGACTGTATCCTTGGATTTCACAGCATTTAACTATTATTTCACAATAAAATACTGCAATCAAAATCCTCTGTAATATCACAACAACATTGTAAACATTGCAAGGATTTCACAGCATTTAAGAGTATCATATTACAGAGAAATATTGTAATAAAAAGCCCCTGTAATATCACAACAAAATATCTATAAAACTACAGTAAAATTGGATTTGACATTATTTAACTATTATTTCACAGTAAAGCACTGTACTCAAAATCATCAAAACAGGTCTCTCTTGGAAATGAGACCTTGTGTCTCAATGAGATTTTAAACCTGTATAAATAAAGGCTAAATAAAAATCTGTAATAGCACAACCCATTACTGTAAAATTTGAAGACATTTGAAGACATTCACAGCAATGTATTGTAATATCATGGGTGTGAAATTACAATACATTGCTGTGAAGACATTCACAGTAAATTGCTGTGAATCTTACTGTGAAAGTCATGCAACATTTGGCCAGGTATTTATTGTGAATTCACAGTGAATATTTTTACAGTGTAGCGATCTCGAGCCGGTTTCTCAAACTTACCTACCCCACCTTTAATCTTGTAATTGTTATTTGTATTTACCTTGTTTCCTTTCCTTTGAGTTGTCTGTACATATTGCCATGCTGTAGAATTTTTTTACTATCATGTTACATTTGTTTATAATAAAACTATCATATAAATGTGAGAAAACTGTGTTAACTAATCCTGTATTTGGTCATTTCTAATATTTGTAGTTGACCTTGTGTTTTTCTTCAAGTTTAATGCTGGAGAAGCTGGTTATCTGGGTGAACCAGTCATGAGAGATAATGTTTTATCATGTAACTCACTGGACACACCCAAATATGTGGATGTGTTAAAAGAGGAGGATCAGTGGTGAAAAACTCCAACGGACAGTTCGTCAAAGGAACTCAAGAACAGGTAAGAACACTGCTTCTGAGACACATTTAATATTTGTTGTTTAATTTAATTTGCCACAGTCTTTTTCTTTCTGATACTAGTATTTAAACAAAATAATTCAAATTAAAACGGTATCTTACACAATAATGGCTGAGAATGGTGAATATAACTCTCTCCTCAACAGGATTGTTCTTCGTTTCGGAGAGAAAATGGTGGATTATAAAGTGACTGTATCCACTGGTACACCTGTCAATGCCACAACTATTAACCACATCCATATTAAGCTGGTGGGCACAGATGGGGAAAGTGATCGCACCAGGCTCAGTTGCATCACCGGGCCGTTAGCTTTCATTGCTGGGAAAGTAAGTCAGACATACAGTACGTACCTCATCTCTCTAAAAATATAACACTCTTACTCAACTTTGCTAATAGTTTTTAGATTATAAAGGGATATTAAATATCAATTAGGTAAGGCTAATGTCAACTTAGTCATCAAAACAGTATTATTATCTTGTTCTTTGATCAAGTTGACTGACTTGCTTCATCTTGCAATTTTGTGTTTTTAACCACATGATTGAATACAACTGTTGTAACTCACATGGGTTAAAAGAGTTATTTAACTATAATGTAAATAAATGTATTGTATAATTGCTTTCAAATCCTTTCCATCATTACTTCAGGTGTCCACTTTTACTGTGTCCTGTCCTGTCTCTGTTGGAAAGCTGATCCTGATAGAGCTCGATAAAAAGAATCCCGTAGTGTTACCTGAAGACGATTGGTTCCCTGCCAAGGTTGAAGTGGAGTCTCCTGATGGAGAAACTTACATCTTTCCTATTTACCGCTGGATCACAGACAGCGAGGTGCAACGCTTCAGAGAAGGAACAGGTATTTGGAAATTAGCTCGTCTGACATCCAGTAAAATGTTCACAGACCACAGAATGCAAGGAGGTCAGAGTAAATTCATTCCAACATTATGTGAATATCAACATTTTTTAACCTTTTTCTTCCTTAAGCTCTGAGAGTGTGTGAAGACAGCCATCATCTTGGCAGGTACAGTAGGGAGCAGGAGCTGAAACAGCGAGAGAAAGACTATCGGTGAGCGCTCAGAGCTTATACGCATTTTAACTTCATGCATCCAGAAAACTTATATCCATCCAAATGTCATATATAATAACTTTAGAAACAGACATTGGCCAATTGTGCAATATGCAAATGTCATATACCAAAACATTTGTTTGTATACTATAAACAACAATTGCAATTAGTATCTGGACAGTGCACATCTCCTCACCTCTCTTCTCTATTACTCCCAGCTGGGATGTGTATGCAGAGGGAATACCCCACATCATGAAGGCAGAAGATGCTTCTTCTCTGCCTTGTGAGGTCCGCTTCTCCTTCAACAAGACCATTCAGTTTGGATTCACAGCAGCTACTGCGTGAGTTTCTCAAGTCCTGTTAGATATCCAACAATCTACAAACTATGTACCAGCCTCAAATCATTTTAGGGCATTATAATAAAGTTAATTGTTGTATTTTTTAGGCTGGCTGAGTTGAAAGTAAAGGGAATCGCTGACTCCGAGAAGAACTGGACTGATATTGATCATATCAATCGTGTGTTCTGTTCCAAGGACACTGAAATATCAAGTACAATCATATACATATTATATATATACCTACATAAAAAACAGATAATACTTTAGATTCTACTGAATATTGAAAATGTATCTAAAAAAGTCCCTCACAAATTCCGCTCAGTTTTATCTTTACTTATAAGAAAACGATTTATTAAGTGTAAGCATTTAAATAGATACCAGGAAGACTGATAACTGACTTGAAAATAACAAGAAAAAGTGTCCAATTATGACTCAGTGACTCTAGATACATTTTCACATGCAATGTCACAGTTTCTAGCCCAAAGTTTTAAACAATACAATTCCAATGTCTTTGTTTTTTCAGAATATGTAACGGAACATTGGAAGGAGGACACTTTTTTTGGCTACCAGTACCTAAATGGTGTCAATCCGATTTTGATCCGACGTTGTACAGCTCTGCCTGAAAACTTCCCTGTCACTGATGACATGATCTTCCCTGATGGTCAGAGTAGTTTGGCAGATGAAATGAAGGTGATTCTCTTTACCAGAATTGAGCTAAGTGTCATGTTTTACATTTTGAATGACATTTTGCACTGAGTTCTTCACTTGTGTTGTGTGTCATATCCACACTGTACGCATGTCAGTCACATCATATCTCTCACATCACTCAAATTTAAAACAGAATGGCAACATATTCCTGTTGGACTACACACGTTTGGATGGACTGAAAGCAAACATTGTCCATGAGAAGCAGCAGTACTTGATGGCTCCCCTTGTCCTGCTCCAGAAAACACCTGATGATAAGCTGATGCCGATTGCTATACAGGTAAGATAAACACTGTCATATGTCATATGTACAGAGAAGTAAGCCAAATGGCTTTAGTAAAAAACACCAGTGTTTATTCAAGAATTTAATTGCCAAGGTACAATCAAAACAGATGGGTTTTCAGTTTGCGATTGAAGATGTGCAGAGTATCTGCTGTCCTGACACATATTGGACTCCAACCACCTATATTTGGAGCATATTAACTGAAGGCTGCTTCTCCTTGTTTGGTTCTCACTCTGGGGACAGAAAGCAGACCCGTCCCAGAAGACCTGAGAGTTATGGGTGGTTCATAGTTTAGCAGTGATCAGAAATGTATTTTGCTCCTAAACCATTCAATGTTTGTCCATTACTACACTTAGATTTCTGGCTATTTCTGTTGTTTTGCCGACTGAGGCCCAGCACTGACTTTTATTTGTTCCTCCTTGGCTCCAAAAACAATTACCTCAGTTTTACCTTTGTTTAATTGAAGTAGGTTCTGACACATCCAGTCATTGATTTGTTCAATGCACTTACTCAGTGTTTAAATTGGAGCATAGTCTCCTGGTGAAATGGTTATGTAAATGTATGTATCATCTCCATAGTTGGTAACTTATTTTGTTGTTTTTCATTATCGGAGCCAGTGGTAGCATGTAGATGTAAAAGAGAAGAGGTCCTAGGATGGAGCCTTGAGGAACCCCACCTGTCATATTTGTTAAATCAGAATTAGTTGAATTCCCCTCCACTTTGCCTCATCGAGACTCCTATAAGACTCTTTTGTCTTGTCTGTCTTACTCCGACAAGGCTGATGCTAAAGCTGACGCATTAAGATACATTAATCTATTTGCGTATGTAAGACTGAAGAAAGTAATGCCACTGTTCTGAAGTTGACTGTGTGTATAAAACCTATGGTTAATAGGCAAACTTTCAACAATCAAATAATTAAGCATTATCGACCAAGACTGGTACTTGATCAAATCGATTGAAAGAACTGCACCCCTATTTCTCCCCGTACAGCTGAAGCAGACTCCAGCAGATGACAACCCCATCTTCCTTCCTACTGACTCTGAGTATGACTGGTTAACAGCCAAGATGTTTGTGAGAAGTGCAGATTTCAGCGAGCATCAACTAAATGTTCATCTGCTGCGCACTCATCTGCTGGCTGAGGTTTTTGCTGTGTCACTGCTGCGCAATGTGCCCATGGTGCATCCACTCTACAAGGTAAGTGAAGGGGAGAAAACTAAATTGACTGTAGTTTTTAGAGGCGTGTGGCGCAGTGGGTTAGTGCGTTGGTGTTCGGATCAGGGGAGCACAGGTTCAAACCCCACAGCACAGGTTCAAACCCCACTGCAGTCAGCATGTCGTTGTGTCCCTGGGCAAGACACTTCACCCCAAATTGCTCCTGTGGGGATTGCCCACAGTATAGAGTATGTAAATTGCTTTGGATAAAAGCGTCTAACAAGTAACATGTAGTGTTTTAGTTTTATGGTCTTTTTAATCTGCTGATTTTTGTATCTTCTTCTAGTTTTGTTTTACACTGATAAATGTACAGAAGCATCAACATGTCTCACATGGTTTGAATGTAATAATGTTGCTTACAGAGTTTCCTCTTTACCTCAGCTCCTCCTACCTCGCACTCGCTACACTATGCAAATCAACTTAATGGCTCGAAATCTTCTAATATCTCCAAGTGGATTTTTTAACACGGTACGAAAGGACCAACATGATCAGAAAACCATTACCTACTCTTTTTTCATGTCATGTATAGTGTTTGTCTTTATTCATTACATATTTGATTGTTCTCTATAGTATGCAGCTTCTGGCGGTGAGGCTCTGTCCACAATCCTTGAGAGATCCATGTCCTCAATCACCTACAAGTCTCTCTGCATGCCGGAAGACATTGCTGAGCGTGGGATGGACGATGTGCCGAACTACTACTACAGGGATGATGGACTGAAGCTTTGGGATATCATTAACAGGTTCTTCTGGCACTGGCAATGTGATAATACAAAACATTATAACTTTATTTTTAAATCTAACTTTTTTAAACATGTTTTGCCAAATTTACCAAGTGATTGTGTTTTAGATGAAAACAAAACAGATAGGTTCCTGGTTTAGTTGAATTATTTTCATCACAAGTAACTAATGCCAAGTCTTTCCAGTTCCTACGTGAACAAGCAGAGATCAGTTTTACATAATAAAGAAAAACAAATGCATGACTAGGGCCAAAAGGGTGGGTGGAGGGGGTCCGGAGGACGGGTTTGGGCTGACAGCCCGGGAGCAAGGCAGAGGCAGAGCAGGGGCGAAGGCCGCGGCTGGGAAACTCCGGGGGCCGGGCAAGAGTGCGGCGACGGGACAGCTCCGGAGGACGGGCAGGAGGGCGGCGTAGGCCGCGATGGGATCCCTCCGGAGTCAGCTGGATCGCCGGAGCAGGAGTATTGGGATCGGGAGCACTTGGAGCAGCAGACTGCGGGACCCCGGAGGGGACAGGAACCGGTGTCTGCATTACCACCGGTGGGACAGGAACCACTGTCTGCGTGATCCCTCGCGGGACAGGAACCGTGGTCAGCGGGACAGTAACCGGTGTCGGCGGGACAGGTGTCCCCGACGGGACAGGACATGGTTTAGGCAGGATCCCCAGCGGAAAAGGGGCTTGAGTCGGCGGGACCACCAACAGGACACAGGGGGCAGGAGTAGGACGGACCACCAACAGGCCTTGAAGGCCCGGCTCCTGGGCCGAAACAGGAGATGGAGGCATGGCTGCTGGGGTTTGGACCGGTAGTCTGGATGCCGGCGAACGAGCTGGTAGCCTGGCCTTGCGTCTCTTAACAAACCGTTGGAGACTCCGCGGAACTCCTAACGCCAGGCGGGACCCTAAAAAGGGGTCTGAGGCTGGAGACTGGCACTTGGGGCTGCTTGAAAATAGTCTTAGCCATTCAGGTAACAAGCTCCTTAGCCATGGCTTGTTGGCCACCTCCATCTGAGCCTCATTAACGGCATCAACTTTGGCCCCTCTAGGAGAGGCTCTCTTCCAGTCTCTGTAAATGCACTCAAGAGTGTGCTTTAGCTCGTACAGCTCTTGGTGAAAAGAAACAACTGCTGGGTCCATAGTGGTTCGGTCATACTGTCAGGCTTGGGGGGAAATAGGACCCAAATGCAGTAAAAGACAAAAGGCATGTAACAAAAAGCAGCTTTAATAAAAAAAAGCCGATGATAAAGAAAAAACAAAAAACAAAAACAAATCGGGGAGCACGAGGAACAGGAACAAACTTACAAACAGGTACAGGCAGGTAACGTGGATGAGAAAGACGACGACCGAACATGGAGCAATGGGGAAGACAAGACTAAATACACAGAAGGGTAATCACAGGACAAGACACAGCTGGGCAGGGGAGGCAGAAACAAAAGGGCAACAGGTGAACACATCGAGACAATCAGACACAGGGAGAACAGAATTTCAAAATAAAACCGGAAAATTGCAACATAAATCCAAAACCATGACAAAACTTGGAGAAAAAGCGAAGACAAAATACCTCAGAAAGGGTTGCATTGTAAATTGGTGTACACATTATTAAGATAAGTGTGTAGTTTATAAAAACGTAAGATTCTACTTGTATTACAGGTTTGTGCAGGGATTGCTCACCTTCTACTACAAGAGTGATGATGAGGTCAAGCAAGACTCAGAACTACAGAAGTGGACTTCTGACATTTTTGAACATGGATTTCTTTCCCAAGAAAGCACAGGTAGGTTTTACAGAAACATTCAATAGGGATACATTTCCATTATTTAGGAAAGTGACATGTCCCCATTTTGATTTATTTCAGTAACGCTGTTTATTTTGTTTAATTTTCAGGAATTCCACAGTGCTTAAGCTCTGTGGCTGAGTTGGTGAAGTTTGTCACCATGGTTCTCTTCACTTGCTCAGCACAGCACTCAGCTGTGAACGATGGACAGGTGAGGTCATTTAATCTTCTTATATGATCAGTTAAAGTTGCTATTGTTGAAATCACTAGCATGCCAAAAAAGCGCCACCTTCGTGTGGTTGAGACAAGGATGATATTTACTGAGATCACACTTTTAGTTTACCACATGCAAACATGTTGTTTTATTATATGGCCATAAGCTAAACTATAATCTCATGTTCAACTTGAATGTCTAAAGGAAAATGTATTGGCAATGTAGCAGAAAGATATTGAGGCATTTATCTTCAAACAAAGAATGTTAAACCTTATGGTGGTGCTTAAGGAAAAGTTAGATGATCTCCAGTATGAATCATCTTGGGTCCATTCATCTCTCTGTTTGTATCCACATTTATGAAAAGACATGCAATTGTTGAACATTACTGTGCCAAAGTAGTGGACTGTTATCAAAATAATGCCATGGCCTGGCTTAAAAAAGTATGAATTAGTTGTCTGGCAATTATTCATTTGATCACAGTATGACTATGGTGGCTGGATGCCCAACACTCCCATCTCCCTGCAACTTCCCCCACCAACCTCAAAGGGGACAACAAGCGAGGTCACGATGCTGAACACACTGCCTGACATTGGTACATCAGCTCAGGGAATGGCCATCTTGTGGCTACTCAGCAAGCCTCCGTTTGACTTTGTAAGTGCCCACATTTCATCAAAAATGACGTTGCTCAAATTCAATACACAAAATATTTTCATTAAAGCAAGAATATCCTATTTGATCCCCTGAGAAAATCCTGATCAGAACAACTGTACACTATAGTCAATAGTCTGTTTTAAAATAGTTTATAAGTTTAATTTTGCATCGATGTCATCAGGTCCCTCTTGGCCAGTTCCCAGAGCAGCATTTCACTGAGGAGATTCCCTCGGAGCTGGTAAAGGATTTTCGAGGAGAGCTTGAAGTGTTGACTACAGTCATCAGTGTCAGAAACAGGAAGCTGGAGATCCCATACACATACATGGATCCAGCGGACATGGAAAACAGTGTGACCATTTAATTTCCATAAATTGAGACCAAATTGAGCTTGTTTGTTGAGCCTGTTTGTTTTATGCCAGTGAGTCTGCAGAATACAATTATATTATTGTGAAACATATTGGAAATATTTCATAACCAACCAGCATGGTGCAAATGCAAAAAAAAGGCTAATATGCCCTTTAAAAATCACAACACAGGCCTCCTTAAACAAAGCTCCCAACACACTTGATCAGCATATTCTCTGGATTGAATATCTCTTAACTCTCTTATGATTTTTCTCTATAATCTACAATTCCTTCATATTCTGGAAATGTGTTCCAATTTTGCTTTGTTGAAGAGGGTGAATTGTCAATTGTGAAATTGTGAATTGTGTCAGAATCTCTGCATGTAATACCTCAGTTGAATTGTATTAACTATCACTAATTCTATTTTAATCTGTGACCACATTTAATCAAAAATAAAGCTTGCTTATTCTACAATATTTTAAGTGTTTGGCAGATTATTAGGGTCTGAGACCAGAGGTCGGCGAAGACCCTATTGTAATCGCTCACACACCCAAAACAGGGAAAACGACGGGCAAAAGCACAGAAAAAGGGACCTAAATCATGTCAATCAATCAATGCTGCTTGTTTTTGTTCTCTTTAGTTTTTTTGTCTTGTTTTGTTTCTTTGAAAGCAATAATTTTGTGTCCTTGTTTCTCTTTATAGTATATTTTAAAGGTCCCATGTCATGGCCATTTCTACTAATCATAATTCCATTGTTGAGGTATACTGAAATAGATTTATATTGTGCAATTTTCCAAACTCACATTGGTTTCTCATACAGCATCTCTGTAAAGTATGTGTATTCACTCTGTCCTAAACGGCTTGTTGGAGGACAGAGTGACCGTCTGCGAGACAGCGAGACACAGCTAATCCCAGCCCGAGCATACACACACACCCGCAGCCTGGCTGGGAGTTTGTGTGTTTATGCTCACACACAGACTCACAGCCTCGCTGTGCGCCGATTGGTCCATTTACCAATGGGTCCATTTGGGTATGGGCACGTCACTGTACCCAGGAAGAAAAGAGAAATCTCCAACAAGGCGTTCTGGTGCAGCATAGACAGGTATTTTCTGTCTTAGAGTTTTACTTGCTACAGGGTGTCCTTTGAGGGTTTTGACTCTGCACACCGTTTACATGCATAAAAACCTTCATAACACACAAGGGGACGGGTAATAACCGGAAAAGCATGACATGGGCCCTTTAATCAATTATTAATGTTATCACAGTTTGACTATGGTGGCTGGATGCCCAACACTCCCTTCTCCCTGCAACTTCCCCCACCAACCACAAAGGGGACAACAAGCGAGGCCACGATGCTGAACACACTGCCTGACATCGGTATATCAGCTCAGGGAATGGCCGCCTTGTGGGTGCTCAGCAAGCCTCCGTTTGACTTTGTAAGTGCCCAATATTTCAATAAAAATGTTGTTACTCAAATTCAAGTACACACATAGTATTTTCATTAAAGGTCACCTATTATGCAAAATGAACTTTTTGATTACTTTTATACACAAATGTGTCCCCTGTTTGTAAGGAGACTCAAAGTGTCAGCAAATACAACCCTCTCTCTTTTCTTCCTTACCCACATCTCTAAAAACGGGGGTACAACGGAGCTGATCCAGATTTGCTTCGATCATGACGACATTAGTAAAATGTGGGCTGGCTTTACATTGAACTTCTGGCAACGTTCCTATCGTCCCCTATTAGAAACGTTGCTGTATCAGAAACAATTAGCGACGTGTTTTGGAAGTAATATGGTCAGTGTTTACATTAGCAAGCATCGCTAACACTCAGAGCTAACGCTGTACTGGAGAGAATATGTGTAAAGAAGCCGGATATAAAAAGGTACTCACCTTGTGGTAAACCCGCAAGAGAAAAAGCATTTGAGCTCCTTACTGTTTCAGAAAGAATCCTTGATGTGGTTTGGAACATAAAATGGCGTTTAATCACGGCAGCATTGAGCTGAGTTTCTGCTGAGTAGACACTCTTTTCTTCACACAGCTCACTGCTGGCCACGCTCCAACGGAGCGGGTTACATTTGAAGCTACAGACCCAGAATCAGCACTTTTGTAACAGGGCTGAAATAGAGGGGTATGAGGCATGGCTAAAATGCATGATCTGTTTGGTTTTCTGAATACCCTCTTTGAGCCCTGAAAAAACTTGTGATTACAACAACTGCACACTATATTGTCAATTATCTGTTTTGAAATACTTTTGAACTTTTATTTTTGAATGTATCATTGATCTCATCAGGTCTGTCTTTGCGAGTTCCCAGAGGAGCATTTCAGTGAGGAGATTCCCTGTCAGCTGATAAAGGATTTTCAAGGAGAGCTTGAAGTGTTAAGTGCAGACATCATAGCCAGAAACATTGGTCTGGATATCCCATACACATACATGGATCCAGAGGTGATGGAAAACAGTGTGGCCACATAATTATCATAATGTGAGACCCTTAGCTGTCTGCTACATTTCGCTTAATATTAGCGGAGAGAAAGGGAATATTGAATATTCCGTTTTTAAGTATATATGCTAATCTGTGATTTATATAGCATATTCAAGTTAAGTGTTTTTTAAGTTTTAAATCAGAATAAAAACGTTTTGGGCATCTCTAATAATCGAGATACAGAGGGATCCTTTTTGAGCCTGTTTGTTTTATGCCAATAGGTTTACAGAATATAATTATATTTTTGTGAAAAAATACCAGCATGGTGCATATGCGAAAAATTGCAAATACCCCTTTAAAAATCACAACATAGCCCAAGTTCCAAGAAAATTTGATCAGCATATTCTCTGGATTGATTATCTCTTAACTTTTAATGATTTTTCTCTATAATCTACAATTTCTTCATATTCTAGAAATGTGTTCCAATTTTGCTTTGTTGTAGAGTGAATTGTCAAGTTTGTGTCAGACTTTCTGCATGTAATACCTCCTTTGAATTGTATTAACTATCACTAAGTATTTTAAACTGACCACATTTAATCCAAATAAAGTTTGCTTATTCTACAATATTTTAAGTGTTTGGGAGATCATTATTATGATTGTCATTACCTATCTTTATCATATTTTATTGTTAGTTTTATCTGTAAAAATGTTGCTCTGTAGTCTGTTATAGGTTTGTAAATGTATAGGTATCAATGTATAGGTATCAATGGTCTGCAATACATTCCCCCGCTTTACTCGCCTTTTCACTGCCATGGGATTCAATGTAAATAAATGCGCAGAAATGATGGGAGGACGTTTTGGTAAAGGCCACCATTAGTTTAAATTAGATTTAAGGAAATTACTGTAATAAGTAATCTGTGAACATTTTTGAATTGTTGAGCTAAAAGAAGCCAGCAGTATTAGGAGTGAAAAGCACATTTTGTTTTAATATGAGTCACTGCATTCTCATGCTTTGATGGTAGGTGATAGCTAAGACGCTTGTCTTTTGTTTGGTTTTGGTTAGGTTAGTTTAGGGTTCTTTGTGTTCAGAAGTTTGTGTTTATTATGATGCCATTTTTCTCACATCGGATGAAATTAAAACTGCAAATTAGATTTTCTATGTCACTGACTGAGTATCGAGTGTGCATTTTATGGTATGTCTAGGTTCCCCTAGACCAGGGACATAACATGAATTGGTCAAAGTCATTTACTTGGCGAGTTGTAACACAAACGACTAATCGAGTGGTCGAACTTTCTGCTAAAGCAATTGGCTGAATAATGGTAGAAAAGCTAAGCAAAATAGGGATGGCAATTTAAGAAAAAGATACAAGGCTTGACGCAAAGGGGAAACATTCTCAAAAACAAAATGATGTTAAAGGTCCCATGTCATGGCCATTTCTACTGATCATAATTCCATTGTTGAGGTCTACTAAAATAGATTTATATTGTGCAATTTTCAAAACTCACATTGGTTTCTCATAGAGCAAGTATGTGTATTCACCGGTATTCACTCTCTGTCCTAAACGGCTTGTTGGAACTCCTGCCCCCCCTCCCTGTGAGCCCAGTGTGCTCTGATTGGTCGGGACGTTGCGAGGCTCGCTGCTCAGTGAGCTGGCTTACTGGTGTGGTTTCCGGGTCGGCGATACAGCGGGACAGAGCGAAACTCATCCTGAGCACACACAAACACTCACAACCGAAGTAAAAACATCTGGCTTGATGTTGAGTAAGAAAAAGGTTTATAAACGCTGTGAGAATGGGTCTGCGGAGAGCATTTCTCCGCGATCCCAACTCGTCTATTACCAACGTTCAGGGAGCTCTATGCACGTCAATGCTTCTGTTCGTTGAAAATTTACGCTAAAGGTCCTGGTGTGTGAGGAGCTCCGCGGATTGGTCCATTTTGGTTCCGGGAACCGCATGACGTCATGCGGTTCCCGGAAGAAACAAATGGAAAAAGAAAAATCTCCAACGAGGCGTTCTGGGGCAGCATAGACAGGTATTTTCTGTGTTAGAGTTTTACTCGCTACAGGGTGTACTTTGAGGGGTTTTGACTCTGCAGACCGTTTACAGGCATAAAAAGCTACATAACACACAAGGGGACGGGTAATAACCAGAAAAGCATGACATGGGACCTTTAAGTCTCTTTGCAGTTGTTATGCATTTATGCATCACGTTATATTCATTCTGTGTCTCTTTGTCGTAATTTTAAGTTTATTTCTTAGTCATTTTGTCTCTTATTTGTCATTTGAAGTTAATTTCTATGTCATTTTGTCTCTTGGTCGTCATTTTAAGTAAATGTTTGTCATTATGTCTCTGTGGTTATCTTGACCCTTATATTTTTGTTGACCCACGCAGATTTCTTAAACTCATTCCAGCAACGAGTAAAAGGGAGTCGAACATCTGTCCTCAGTTCCTGTTTCTCAGATGTTTTGAAACCATTTCACAATATTTAATGGAATTACAAAACCAACATAATTAAATAAAAGCAGTTTTATTCCTGTGAAGAGCATAGTATAAAACCATTTTATGTTGTGCCAATTGGATGAAATAACACCTTATAAAACATTTAGAAACAGGTCAAAATGATTTACTATTATAATTGTTATTTTTGTATAATTGTATTATTATTCAAGTCTTGGTGTGTCTCTTTTAAGTCATTTTGTTCAGTAGTTGTTTTGTGTCTCTTTGTAGTCCCTCTGTCTCCAGTGACCGTAGTTTATTTTTTTGTCTCTATTATTTTCTCTTTGTTGTTTATTAATGTGTGTTTTTTGCAGTCATGTTTTATCATTTTGTGTCTCTTTGTAGTTTATTGTGCCGCTCTCTTTGTAGTTTCTTTTGTCTCTTTATAATTGATTTTGTGTCTCTGTAGTCATTTTTAGGGTCTGAGACCAGAGGTCGGCGAAGACCCTATTGTAATCGCTCTCGCAGCGAGCGATAAACCTGCAAAACCCACACAAAACTGGGAAAACGACGGGCAAAAGCACAGAAAAGTAGCCTAAATCATGACAGTAGGTCGCCTAGTGACACTAGGCTTGCGCATTATTGATATTGAACGGATTATTATTATTATTCAGATTTACATTTTTCCACTTTGAACGCAAATTTGACCCCCACAACATATATGAAAACTCACCAAATGTTGCACGTGCGTCAGGACTGGTGAAAATTGCGATGTGTAATTGGTTCCGTAAAAAAAATGCGCAAGCCACGCCCACTTCCGTTTTTAACGTAAACTCCCCCCACTTTAACTTTCACGTAAACGAACGAAACTAGCTACGCATATTTAGGGTGCGGTGACGAACAAAAAAGCCTCTTGAATGTCTGAATGACTTTAATTTTGAACTTTGGTTCAATGATTACATTTGATAGTTAATAGGAAGAAATGTTTCATTGTTTTATATCATCAAACAAAAATGAAGTGGTCTCATTGTTTTTCTGCAACAGTTTGTTGGTGATTCTTTGTAACATTAACCCTGACAGTTTCATCTCTCCTACTGGGTCATACCGCTCAACCAGCAGTTTTTGGCATTTATTGTTTAAATGTCATCATATGTTGACCTGAATCTAGTATTTACACTATACATTGCTATTTTTCATCCCTGATAAAGATGCATAACATTCACACTGTACATGTTATATGTATACTTAATTTAATATTCCATTCCATGCACACTTGATGTAAATAATATCCTGTTTATATTGTGTATATTGTGTTAACAGAAATTGGCCCTTCAACAGTGTTTTTATTTCTCAGACAGTTTATAGATTTTTTTTAATCTTCACGGTCATCTGTATATTTTTCTTACTCTCTAATGCTGGTTTATTTCTCTTTCAATTTTGAGATGTTTCTATTTTAGAATTGTTTATTTCTACTCTTTTAATTTACATCTTATCTTATCTTATAAAAGTTATGTAAGATGGCGTTACTCTGTGCTTGGGCTGCTTCTTTTTTTTTTTTGAGTCATTTTCTCAGCTTGACCACTAAGTTATGGAGTAACAGTAAATGATCTAGACACACCTCCAAACCTGTTCTGTGCATATAAAGGGAAGGGAAACGACTGCAGGCAACAGTTGTTTGAAAGGTGACTGTAAGGTAAGAAGGTTGGGGATCTGAATTGCTAGTATGTTGACCAAAATCTATTTTTTGTGTTAATTTTACCTTAGTATTTGCTACACATTGTATCTGCTGTTGAATATGGTCTTTTCCATATTATTATGAACATCATTGACTCTGTTTTTTTCTCTCTTTATTCTCAACAAGGCTCCAACTTCTCTTTTAATCCAAAATGGTGAAGTATGAAGTGACTGTTACCACCTCAAGTCTTTTACATGCCACCACGACAAACAATATCTTCATGAAGCTGGTGGGCACAGATGGAGAGAGTAAACGCACGTGGCTTAAAAGCATCAGAGGGACCGCCACCCTCTACCTGGGAGCAGTGAGTGTGCATTATATATATTGTTTTTCTTTAACCTGTACATTATAGGCTAATATTTTAACACAAACGAGTCATTATATCAGTGCGTTGTTATGATGAACCTTAATTAAATCATAAATTGCCTACTCAGTTAAGCGTATCAACCTCACACACAAATGTATTATTTTATTAAATGTATCTGTATTTTTTTAAAGATTAATACTGAAAGACTGAAAACATTTCTTATTTATAGTCAGTACAGTTTGTGATGAATAAATCGGATTTCTCAGATTAAAGCCTCAAATTAGTCTGTTAACAATTTCTTCCTCTTTCCTCTTTATTCTGTTGTTAATCTCCAAATTAATCTCCAGTCAATCTGCTAAAACAAAATTGCCATCTTGGGTCTGATTTGTTCATTGTTTTATCATCCTAAATTATGTTCCGTGCATGGGTTCAGGGAACATCCATTATTTACGACAATGAAAATACTCTTTTGTTAAAGGAAAGTATAATGCAACATTAAAACATTTGTTAAAAAATGTACTGTCAAAAATCAGATATGTATACAATATGTCTGTATGGTGATTTATATTTAAGATTTGTCCAAATGAATACCACAACCAGGCGAAAAAGGCAATAACGTTCATGGTATTTGGCAGTGTTCGTCTTTGCCAAATGCACACACTAAATTGCTTTTTTGCACTTGTGCTTGTAATGAGCGCAGCAACCCTGATTTGCATAAGTACACCTTAAGGTGCAAAGAAATGTAATTCTTACAAAATCCTATTTACATTTGATACTGAGCCTTCACTGCACCTCTCTCATATTCTCTTTTGCTCTGTTCGCAGGTGTCTACATTCTCTGTGTCGTGCCCCACCTCTCTTGGAAAGCTGGTGCTGATTGAGGTCGATAAAAAACCTCTCCCATTGTTCCCAGAAGACGCCTGGTTTCCCAACAAGGTGAAGGTGAGGTCCCCGGAGGGAGACGACTACAACTTTCCCATTTACCGCTGGATCGCTGACAGCGAGGTGCACCTGTTCAGAGAGGGAACAGGTCTGTGAAACTGTACTTGACTGTCTACACTTTTACCACCCTCTAAACATAAGTGTACAGAAATGGCTATTTTCAATTTATTTTTCTCAGCTCTAAGAATCTTGGATGACAACCATCATCTTGGCAAGTACAGCAGAGAGAAGGAGCTGAAGTTGAGAGAGGAGCTATATCGGTGAGAGCAGCGCTGTGTGTTCATGTATAATATCACACACTTCACAAAGAACACACACCTGTGATAGTGTTGAAATCACAGAAACCTCTTTCTGTGACTTTTCAGTTATTTATAAAATCTTTGACCCTTATGATTAAATTGAAAATCAGTTTAGAGTTACAAAGATAATTAAGAGAACGTGTTTTATTTTCTTCTACATAAGCAGTAATATGCAGCCTTAGTCTTTAATTTCTGTATTGGATTTTCTTTCTCACATAATTAAGAACTTTATCGCAAAAAACAATTATGTTAAATGTCATATAGCAATGTGAGGATTTGCAAACATGAATCATATATGTTAACAGTAATTTCGGTAATTGAGATGAACACAATATTTGTACAGGATCATGCATGTAATTATTTTTCCTTTTTCTTCAGATTTTTAAAACCAAATCATGTCACAGGTCAATTTAACGTGAACAGTAACAAAGGTTCCAACACATGAACATAATACCATTTAGTTATAATATGTAACGTATTATACTGTACTTGTACCATCATTTTAAATTGCTGTCCTCCACAAGTCTGTTTTATCTTTCGCAGCTGGGATGTTTATAAGGAGGGAATACCTCACTGCATTAAAGCAGAACATCCTCTTGCTTTGCCAAGCGAGGTCCGCTTCTCTTTCACCAAGACTTCAGAGTTCCTCTTGACTGCAACCACGGGGTGAGGTCTTTCAATTCTGACAGGAGTTTACACGTCCAAACATTGATGAATCTTTATATAACCATTTCAAAGATTAGAACAGAATGTCATGCAAAATAAGGACGTTTAAATAAATGTTAATTTATGTACATCAAAACGCTTCATGTCTTGATTACGTAGGCTGACAGAGCTGAATCTGAAGGGACTGGCTTTTAGCAAGAAGAAGTGGACTGACATTGATGATATACGCAAAGTCTTCTGCAACAAAACAACAGACATATCAGGTACAACGCTGAAACACTCAGGAAATGTTTCAATTTGATTATAACCTAATCATAAATTACAATGTACTGTAACACAGGATCATGGATGACATGGATCAAATTCAGATTAACACACAAGCGGTATTTCCTGCTGTCTTTCCAGAGTATGTCGAGAAACACTGGAGGGACGATGCCTTTTTTGGCTACCAGTATCTGAATGGTGTCAACCCCATCTTGATCCAACGTTGTACAGTCCTGCCCAAGAACTTCCCTGTCACTGATGACATGTTGTTTCTCTGCGGAGGAAAGTCCTTAACTAAAGAAATGCAGGTATTTATTTTTTCAAGACAGTATCCCAGCTAGATATTTTTGGTTCTAAAAACATTCTGAGAATGTTACCATTCACTGTTTTAGGAATGTTTTCAGCGGGAAGTTTTCTTTTGGTTCCCAGAATGTTCTTCTGAAAGGTAGGATAACGTTCTCTAAAAACATTCTTAAAATGTTTGGTGATAACCTTCTTAAGATGTTTTTGATAACATTCTTAAGATGTTTTGATAACATTGTTAGAACATTATGCTCTACTGTTCTTAGAACGGTTTCAGCTGGAAGTTTTATTTTGGTTCCCAGAATGTTCTTCTGAAAGGTAAAGTTCTCTAAAAACATTCTTAAAATGCTTGGTAATAACCTTTTTTAAATGTTTTTGATAACATTGTTAGAACATTATGCCCTACTATTCTTAAAACGTTTTCAGCTGCAAGTTAGATTTTTTTATGTTGCCAGAATGTTATTATTTTAGAGTAGGATAACGTGCTTTAACGTTCCGATTTATCAGAAGCATTTTTTTGTATGCGACCAGCAGCTAGTCACTGTCGGTGTCACATGTACTGGAGGGGACCCAGAATCAGACTCGGAATCAGCTGGTGAAAGTAACATTTGTTTATTAGAAAAGGGGAGCTGGGAGTGGAGGTTGGTTATGGCGGCAGTGGGAAACAGTTGTTCCAGGGCGGGTAGAGAGGCCTGGCTGGTCTTGGGAGTGTGGAAGGCCTTGGATTCCTCCTGGGAGAGACATACAAATGAGTGTGAGGCAAAAGCAGGAAAAGTTGTCAAAGAATATGCTGGCAAAAAGCTAGAGCGGCACGCAACAAACCGTTCACGGCAACAATCCAGCAGGGAATGAGTGCAGGCTGCAGGCTTTCATAGTGTGGCTGATGAGCAGGTTGCAGATGTGGTTGATTGGAGATTTGCTCCCAGCCGTGTAGAGCAGACCAGCAGGCAGGTGGAGGGGGGGGGGGGGGGAGGAGGAGAGAGAGACACACACAGTAGAAACAAACACATACAAACACTAACAGGGGTTTCAGGGACGGGCAGTGACAGTCGGTCCGTTCTTCTATATGTCTGTCGGTCTCAAATCTAAAGGGTGCAATAACGATTTTTATCCACTATGCATACACAGCGGACACTGTTTATACGCAGCCAGTGGCGGACTGGCCATCGGGACGTTCGGGACGAATCCCGATGGGCCGGTACTGAAGTGGGCCGGTCGGACAATGTGGGCCGGTCGGATAAGTCACTAGCACCCCCCGTTGACAATTTACTAGCGGTATTTACTTGCGGTACTGAAGTGGGCCGGTCGAGAGTCCCGGGCCAATTTTTAGTCCCAGTCCGCCCCTGTACGCAGCCCTCACAAACCACACACGGCCAGATAGCTTATCTAACAGTTAGAACCTACATACGAGACACAACCTTTATAGTCAGAAAAAAAGTGTGATTATTTTCTGATATTTCACACATATGATATTATGAATACTGTGGGCCTACATACCTTAGTGTGATTATAAGTGCATGTGAGTGAATAACAAATTCGTTTTTATACGTCCTATTCATTGTCTCAATGCGCTCATACATCTTAAGAAAGTTATCACCAAACATTTTAAGAATGTTTTTAGAGAACGTTATCCTACCTTTCAGAAGAACATTCTGGGAACCAAAATAAAACGTCCCGCTGAAAACGTTTTAAGAACAGTAGGGCATAATATTCTAACAATGTTATCAAAAACATCTTAAGAAGGTTATCACCAAACATTTCAAGAATGTTTTTAAAGAACGTTATCCTACCTTTCAGAAGAACATTCTGGGAACCAAACTAAAACTTCCCGCAGAAAACATTCCTAGAACAATGGATGGTAACATTCTCAGAATGTTTTTAGAACCAACAATGTCTAGCTGGGAACTCACACATGCCAAACTTTTTGGCTCGGGGGCCACTATGAGTTTTAAATTTGACAGACGGGCCGGGCCAGTAGCAGATCGGTAAAAAAATATTTAGCTGTCCACTCCTCATTATACACTCGGCACTCAATGTTGACTTTTCTTTTCTTTGGTCTACTCATTGTTACAGATGCAGGTTCAAAGGTGAATTAGGTTCAAAGGTGAATTATTGCATCATTGCGTCATCGTTTGCGTCATGACGTAACCGTTTACGTGCCTTCTTATGACCCACACAGCGTTTTACGTCGCTGATTTTCTCCGCAACACCGCTCACAACAACATCAATAGAGGACTGGTAGGACTGGTAGTTTTTAATCATACGAAGCCAGATTAAATTAAAGAACTACTTCTCCAACCTTGTACCTTTCTCCAGAGTGCCGTGGTGTATTGTTTATTAATGTGGTTCAGCTGCATTACTGCCTGCTGCAGTGCTGCTCGTCTACCGGAGTTTATTCTCCCGTTAACTCGCGGCAGCAGCCGCTGTTAAGTTTTCATTGTCTGACTGTCACACAAGCAGCTGATAAATGTCCCCCATCCCCATCAGTGAATGTGTTTTAGTCTGAACGCTGTTTGGCATCACAACGCTGTTATGAAAGTGTATCTGGCATTCTACAGGTGATGTTAGCATAGCAACCGAAGCTAATCAGACTATCTTGACTACTTGTTGCTATCATATTGTGACATAAGCCGTTTTCTACACGCATATTTTACCAGCGTAGTTTTCGTTATGATTTTACTTGTGATGGCCACATGTAGCCCATGTATTGATTCCATCCGATAGCTGAAATAATACAAAACAAAAGGAAAACGTCTGCCTCTTAACAATGGTCAATAACAGTGAACGGATGGTTAGTCACTTTGCTCAGCGCTACTGCTTGTTACAACTTGTATTCGCCGACCTTGCCGGGTTGCCGAGTGGGGCCAGCTGAGAGAATAGACCAGACTCCAGCAAAGGTCAATTGTGTCTAGAGTGCGCCATCTAGTGGGATCCACTGAAATGCCGGGTATTGCAGGAAAAAGGCAAAATGAATGCGGTCTTTACTACAATTTGGACAATTTTGTACCAATATTCGGCGGGCCGGATTCAAAAGCCCAACGGGCCGTATATGGCTCGCGGGCCTTAGTTTGCCCATGCCTGGTCTATAATATGTTACCTCAACAACGTCCCAAAAACATCCTCAGAATGTTGCAGGCAAAACGTTCCACCTTTGTTAACATATCACATTAAAGGAACGTTTTCTAAAAAACTTTCTGTCATCTCAGGCCTCAATAACATCCTCAAAACATCTTCTGAATGTTGCAGTTAAAACGTTATGTCTTAGTTAACCTTAAACCTTATAGGAACATTATTTGAAATAATAAACATCCTAAAAAGGTTCTTTGAACATCATGTTTCTTTAAAACATTATTAGAACCTGTAGGTAACGTTAGCAAAAGTTGTGAGAACGTTCCCTGCTAGCTGGGATGTTGGTTAAACCGATGAATAAGCTGACTTCAAACTGAAAGAGGTTCTGTAGCGCAGAAAAATAAAGCACTTTTTGAACATTGAAGTATGTAAACATGTCAGATGTTAGGATAATTTCTTACTATTTTGATATCTTAAAACTCAAATGTATAATTTGTACACAAAAGATCCCTTAATTAATTGTATTTCAAGATTAAATGTAAGGGGGGAAATCAGGGTTTAATCGATCAGAACCTGACATAAAACAAATTGTTATTGTGACGGTTAAAGTTCAAACCCTGTTATATTTGTGACTGTCATAAACAGGACGGCAACATCTTCCTGTGTGACTACAAGCGTTTGGATGGACTGAAGGCAAACGTCATCAATGGGAAGCAGCAGTACTTGATGGCTCCCCTTGTCCTGCTCCATAAAACCCCTGATGATAAGCTGATGCCGATTGCTATTCAGGTAAGATTGTATTGAGATTTACTGCTAGATAAGGTGGATTTGTACTTTGGACAGGTCATTGGGTTTATGACCAATTTTGAAACATTTTAAGTTTTTAACATTACACTATACATTTTGTAGCAACACTTACTGGATTTCTTCAGTAAAATTAAGTTTAAAACTTTTTAAGAAAGTATTTTCTACCCTATTGTGTTCCATCCATGAATCAACCTTTCTTTATTTAACGTTCTTCTCCTGCAGCTGAAGCAGACTCCAGCAGATGACAACCCCATCTTCTTTCCTACTGACTCTGAGTACGACTGGTTAACAGCCAAGATATTTGTGAGAAGTGCAGATTTCAGCGAGCATCAACTAAATGTTCACCTGCTGCGCACTCATCTGCTGGCTGAGGTTTTTGCTGTGTCACTGCTGCGCAACGTGCCCATGGTGCATCCACTCTACAAGGTAAGTGAAGGGGAGAAAACTGAACTTACTGTTGTTTTTTTAACTTGCTGATTTTTGTTTCTTCCAAAGCTGTTTGTGTTTAAGTTTTAGTGTTTGTGAATGCTACTTAATGTTATAGAAGTGTCCAGATTCTGACATTGTTAAATAGTGTTATTAACATTTTCCTTCTTTCCCTCAGCTCCTCATACCTCACACTCGCTACACTCTGCAGATCAACTTCTTAGCTCGACTTCTTCTCATATCTCCAAGTGGAGTTTTCACACAGGTACGAAAAGACCAACACACTTTGAGACCATTACCATCACAATATTTCATATATAGTGTTTTTCTCTAAATGTATTCCTTACATATTTGACTCTAGTTTGCATCATCTGGCGGCGAGGCTATGATCACAATCATGAAGAGATCCATGTCCTCAATGACCTACAGGTCTCTCTGCATGCCGGAAGACATTGCTGAGCGTGGGATGGAGGATGTGCCAAACTACTACTACAGGAATGACGGACTCATGGTTTGGGATATCATCAACAGGTACTGCTGGCACTGGCAATGTGATAATACAAAACAATCTAACTTAAAACTGCTATTTTAAACATGTTTAACTATATTTGCATGTTTAACTATATTTGCATTTTGCACAAGTGATGGTGTTTTAGATGAGCAACAGAAAAACTAAACAAAAACCTAAAATTACAATGTTAGTTTCCTGGTTTAGTTCAATTCATTACCCTATGTCAGGAGTAACGATGTCAGAAAGTCTTTCCAGTTCAAAGAAGTTGAAGAAGTGATGTGTTTTACATCTTAAAGAAAAACACACAAAATACTGAGCGAAGTGCTCTGGGCCTTTTAAAATGTAAGCAGGTCCTGACTTCTCTAACTTTACCAAATAATGTTTGGAAAGTCTAGGTGATAAGCAGCACAATAAACACGCTTACTTCAAAATATGGAAATAACTCAAAGAGGCAGCAGAAACTATTGTTTACATTTTAATAAGCAGAATAATAATTTAACCTCAACAAGCCCCCAGAAAAGAGAAAAATAAAAAGGTCTTGGGTGTTGTTTACAGTTTCTTCCTTGTTACATCTCATTGTTCAATGCATTTCATGCTTATTTGCTGTATTGCAGCAGCAGGGAGCATCTCCAGGAAGAGAAGTCAAACTGTTTTGCCATTTTCATTTGCTATGTGACATTATTGTTCCCAAAGGATCTCAAAGTAATGATATCAAATTGTATAAAAAGCCTAACAATATATTGGAAGCCCCAGAAAGGGCTGCAGTGGAGAAAAACCAAATTAGAATAAGCCACCGTTTCATTGTCTAAAGTTTTTTTATTTGGTTCTTCTTTCTTTCAGGTTTGTGAAAGGAGTGCTTGGTCACTACTACAAGAGTGATGCTGAGGTTAGCCAGGACTCTGAACTCCAACAGTGGATTCAAGACATTTTTGAACATGGATTCCTCTCCCAGGCAAACACAGGTGTGCTTAAATACAAGCTGATGTGTTATTATCCACCAAGTCCTCATTTCATATTATAATTACTCTACATTATATTAATATATTCAATTAATATGCATTCTCAGGAATCCCTCAAAGGCTTGCATCCGTGGCAGAGTTGGTCAAGTTTGTCACCATGGTGATTTTCACTGGCTCAGGACAGCACTCGGCTGTGAACTGTGGACAGGTGCATCATTGTTATCTTTATGTAATCTTTTTGTGGGATAGCATTTTACCTATGTTTTAACTCTGACACATAGCATGTTGTGTAGAGAGCTCCACAATCTGATTGCAAATACTATGATATGGTGTCATGGTCCATTTCTTTGTTAATCTGTTTCCTGTTTTATTTTGAAAATACTTCTCCCACAGTGTCATGTCTGTTTTTACTTCCTGTCTTTGTGTGTTTTCCCGCCTTTTTGGATTGCCTGGCCTTGCCTTCTTAGCTTTAAATGTTCCCCTTTACACCTGACTATCAGTTACAGTACATATGGTTTAAAGATAATGCTGGTTAATAGTTTTATAATCTTTGACAATGTATTTTGCTTTTATTGCAGTTTGACTATGGTGGCTGGATGCCCAACAATCCCATCTCCCTTCAACTTCCTCCACCATCCACAAAGGGGAAAACAAGCGAGGCCACGATGCTGAACACATTCCCTGACGTCAACACAACAGTCCAGGGCATGTCCACCATGTGGCTGCTCAGCAAGCAGTCCTCTGACTTCGTAAGTGTCCTAGACTTCAGAAAATATTATATCTATCAAGTTCCTATTTGGCTTTTTTAAACACCGCTGCAGCTTTAGTTAAATAAAATCAAAGAGAACATACAGTTTCATACCACAGGAGATACAACTGTTGAACTCCTGAGCTCACCACTCACATATGTCTATAATAGTTCATTTGTTTATTCCAAAATATCCTTATATCTGTATAGTACACAGTATTGATTCTATACTGTACATTATTTAAATATACATACTTTTTATCTCACTCTACCTTACATATACATTGCTTACTTATTCCTGCACTTTACTTGCACCATTGTTACACCAGCAGTATTTTTTTATTGGACTATTTAACTTCCTATTTCTTTATGGCTTAAGTATATTAGTATTTCAGTGTGTGCATATGACAATAAAACCGTTTGAATCTTCAAACTTATAATACATTTGTCAATTTGCATTCGCTTGAAACTTTTTCTTATTTTTTAAATTACAAAGTGCTGTAGAAATCTTAAAGTGGACCTATCATGCTATATTTGAATAATATAGTGTAGGACCATACCTATATAAGGCATATTTATACTTTTTTTTTTTCAAAATACCAAACAGATCATGCATTTTAGCCATGCCTCATTTCGCTCTATTTGACATTTTTTAGATCTGTTTTAGCAAGGGCTGATTCTGTGAGCAACAGCACCATCTAGAGGCCTGGCATATGTACTACAACGTCTCCAGCGCTTTCGAACGGCAATGCCGTGGTTGTCTCCTCCTGATTGGTGGAGTTGGCCCAATAGCCGTAGCGCCACTGTCCTGACGTCAGGACAGTGTTCAAATCTGGATCAGTTTTGATCAGATCCGTTGCAGCCCCTTTTTTAGAGATTTGGGTATGGAGGAAAATAGAGAGGGTTGTGTTTTCTGACACTTGGTGAGTTCCCTGGAACACCGGGGACACATATTCATGTATAAAAGACGTACAAAAGTGCATTTTGCATGATAGGTCCCCTTTAAGTTATAACAAAAAATGTACAATAGTAATGTTAGCTTTGTCTTGTTCTTCATATTGGTAACACTAATGTTGCATTTTCCCAGGTCTGTCTCGGCCTCTACCCAGAGGAGCATTTCTGTGAGGAAGTTCCCTGCAAGCTGATAAGCACCTTTCAAGGGGAACTTGAAATATTAAGCACAGTGATCAAAACCAGAAACAAGAGCCTGGAGGTCCCATACACTTACATGGACCCTGCTTTGGTGGAAAATAGTGTGGCCATTTGAATGTTGCAGTGAAAGAAGGTGTGGGCCCCTCCCTCAATCCGACATTGGATAGTTTCCTGATCTCTTTCTCGCTATAGGGTTGGTATCCTCATGAGAGAATCTTTATTAGCCTCATTAGTCTTCTACATTTTTTACTGATGATTTTTCAGTGTCTTGGTCATTTGATTGCTTATTTTAAAGCTCATTTAAAAATCTACTGATGGCAACTTTACCACTGGGCAAACTCAATACATTTCAAACATTTGCATGCAGAACACAACTCAGAGATCTGCTATATAAATACTGCTGTGTTAGCTGAGAGCAAATGTACAAATCTAAGCATTTTAGCATCAGTTCTGCTAGCTCAGTCGAGTTACATAAACAGAAAATGGACCAAACGATATATTCAGGAACAAAATATACTAATCTCAAACAATCGTGCAGTGACTAAATGTAACTCTGCCTGCAACAGATTAGTCTTGTCTTTGTATATTTATTGTTTATTCCGTTGATGTTTTGTTGCTGGTGATTTGTTGCTTATTGTATATGTTGTTGCTGATTTATTGTTTCTAGGATATTATATCATTCTGTACTCACACCTGTACTATCTTGCAATGAGTCGCTTGTCAATAATAAAACCAGATCTAAATGGATTATCTCTCTCTGGCATTTTTTAAGGCTTGTGCAAGTTGACTTTCATACTGTAGTATGAAAATATTATAGTAAAATATTTCAGTAAAAAATAAACTTAAACAGGTAATTTAGTAGAATAGATATAGTAGACAAAAAAAATGACTTATTATGATATGTCATAAATAAAAAAGGTTTTGAAAGGGTCAAAGTGTAGTATGTTGTTAAAATGTCATAAAAAAATTATGAAAAATTGCATAAAATGGTCATGGTATACTATGTCGTCAAAAGTGGCATTTAAAAAGCCTTATTTTGTTACTTCATGAAAAAAGTAATTAAAAGGTCATTAAGCTGTAAAAATGGCATTTAAAAAATATGATTTTCATAAATATGTCACAAAAAGTGTAATAAGGAAACGTCATAAAAAGGTAATATTTTAGTATATCCTAAAACATTTCATGAATAAGGCAGAGTATAGGATCTGGTCAAATGACTCTAAAAGCTCAGAATTTGTATAATTTCCCATCCAATCTCAATCACCAAGGAACCATTTCTGCAGAGTATCTTTCAAGCCGCCTCCACAGCGATCTCTGCCAACGAGATTTGTGAATCATCCACTACTGACTGCCATCCAGAGGGCAAGTCTGTCAAGTTCCTCACTGAAGAACTACCTTCAAACTCTATCCCCTATTTATTTCATCATCTTCCTCTTTGAGAACATGCAGCGGTCATTTCCTCTGACCTGTCAAGACTTTTCTGCTGAGTCAGCATTGCCAGTCTCATCTGGGAGACCTCTTCTTCGCCTCGGCAGATAACTGATTTCTGCTTGATAACTTGACAATGCCTGACACAAATCTCTGTTAGACGGCAGCGCTCTGTTAAATGAAATCAATCAGCGGAGTTTGCAGATCTTATGCCTGACTTCCGCATTATTAGGTGTAAAAATGTAATGTTCAGACAATGTAATGAATTCATCTTAGAACATAGAACAATTAATCTGTTGATCTTTCACCTGATACATCAAAAATAATTGCTGATAAACATCTCAACATAACATCTGAAAAGTGAACTGGGTAGTTATTAAAACTGCCTTTGAATAAATACAGTAAAAGACAGACAAAAGGTTGGCACACTCAACAGCTGAGAACTAAATATTCATTATCCATCTCTATCTCATGTAACACTGAGCACTTTAAATAATGAGATTATATTTAAAAGCAATACAGCAATACATTTGCAATTTAAAAATTCCTCACTATTGAGCTAAATAGCCAAATAGAGGTTTTAAAGTTAACCTTTGCCCGTCCTTTTTTGCCCAGCTCTTATTCATGATGCAGGTCATCACAGCTGTTTATCTCTGTTAACAATTCTTTATATTTCACTGTATCATTTAACTCTTCTTATGACTTTCATTAACATCACATTAGCACTGATAGAAGTCATGTTTCTGTGGAACGACCATAACAGATTTTGGTAAGGTCTTTTGCCTTAATTCATCCAGAGACTTCAAACTTTTTTTTACTGAAACTGAAAAGGTTTAACCCATAATTGTTTTTTATATCCTGTGGGATACAGGCTGTGTCCATGTTCAAATTGGTGTAATACTTGTGTTACATGGCTGAAATACAGTATGGGTATACTAACAGTGTAATATAGTTGTAATAACAATGTATCATGGGTATGATATGGGTGTAATACAGGTGTAATACTTGTGTTACATGGCTGAAATATGGGTCTACTATTATTGTAATATAGGTGTAATATCAATGTATCATGGGTATAATATGGGTGTAATACAGGTGTAATACTTGTGTTACATGGCTGAAATATGGGTCTACTATTATTGTAATATAGGTGTAATATCAATGTATCATGGGTATAATATGGGTGTAATACAGGTGTAATACTGGTGTAGGGTTGTATTAATTTGTAATGTGGATATAATGACAGTGTAATTACTTTGGAATATTGGTGTAATAACAGTGTTACATGGGTGTAATACGGCTGTAATAGGGGTGAATTAATGTGTGATATGGGTGTAATAACAGTGTTACATGGGTGTAATACGGCTGTAATAAGGGTGTAATAGGGGTGAATTAATGTGTGATATGGGTGTAATAACAATGTTGTATTGGTGTAATTTTGAAAATCGCAATCAAATTCATTTTCCTAAATATTTCTATGTGAGTGCCCATTTAAGGGTTAATATTGTATGCTCTTAATGTGGCGTCTGTCATTTTCTGTTTGTGTGCAATTAGTGTGAGAAGAGTTAAAAATGACCGACTTTGCTACCCACCAAAATACAACTGGAAAACCTCACATAAGAAACAGTACACACGCACAAAAACAGCGATACAGACAAATACACACATGTGTGTTATTTATTGCCTCTAGCCTTGGGATTTCTTCCTGCTATGCGGTGGTTTAATAAACGGACTGTTTGCTTGCCCTTGCTGTCCCAAAATAAGCTCCCCTAGGGGAAAATTATGATTCCTTTTATGGTTTTTCAGCAGGCCAGTAGCTGGACTTTAGGGAATCCTCTGTTTGAGAAGAGATCTAATATCGAAAATCCAAACCTTTTTTGAACAGCAATATTATTCATTTTCCGTGTGTGTGTGTGTGTGTGTGTGTGTGTGTGTGTGTGTGTGTGTGTGCGTGCGTGTGTGTGTGTGTGTGTGTGTGTGTGTTTTGTGAGAGAGAGAGAGAGAGAGAGAGAGAGAGAGAGAGAGAGAGAGAGAGAGAGAGAGAGAGAGAGAGAGAGAGAGACTATTGGCCAGTAGCAATCACACTCCTGATCTGAAATGAACTCATGAAAACCGTATGCAAGTTTAATTCACCGCTGCGAGCACATCCACTGATTTTAAGGTGTCCACTTTTGTGAAAAAACATAATGAGGTATCCTGAAATTAGAAAATGTACCCGACGAAAGGTGAAAACTCCACTGAGTGCTTCTTGTGCTTATACAATAACTGTATCATGGTCACCTATCATATACAACACAGGGATTGTGTGTGTTTGTTTCAAAGTGAATTGATGAATGATTATGTAAAGAGTCAACTAGAAATGAAGTTTGAATGAAATGCAGCCTACGAAATGATGATTATTTATCTTTGAATGTCTGTGAGGAATATGACATTTTTGATGAAAATATGCGTCCTTCTGCTATATAGCTCAGCAGAGTATAGTTTCTGTTTGTTTTGCAAAGAGAATATTCTTTCTTTGTTTTATTTTATGTGCTTTGAAAAACTATTGTTCTCTCCATGACATTTTTGTCCCATTTGGTTTCCCATGAAATTAAATGTTGGATTAATTCAGATATTCCTTTAATTTACATAGAATTTAACAAGGTGTTTTAAAGGACTTCTTAATCTCTGGTGCTGAAATAATTATTGTTTTGTTTCATAAAAATAATGTTAAATCCCTAGGTAAGGTATTTTAATATCAAATTGTGCTAAATAAAGCAAACTTTCCTGTAAAGGGCAGAGGAACTGATAAGAGATTAAAGTTATGTGAACTCACTTGTTGCGCTAAAAAACAGTAATTGGATTTTGTTGTGAAACTGTGGACGTATAAATCCATCACCTTCGTTTAACATAAATAAGAGAAATATCAGAATATGATACTTTGATCGTTGTACCCAGCCCAAATATAAAGAAAGCAATTTGACATCCTGGGACATCATTATATAAAGAATATCTTTGGAGTTTTTTACTCTACACAAACAGAACTTCGTTTGATCTTCATCTTCATACATTGGGTTCAAATTTAGAGTTAAACAAACAAATCATGTATTCATTTATTTACTAAGGTTGATGTTAACATAATTTATCTTCGTCGTAATGCCAAATTGCATCGTCTACTTTTGCTATTCTTGTGCTCTTACTGGCCTCAGACAGACATTACAGTTCAATTTAAAAGGCTCTCAATGTCAAAAAAAGGGAACAATAATTTGTGTGTACGCCCCATGATTCAGATTTGCTTGATGTGAACCAAAATGTAAGTTTCAGTGAAACATGCTGCACTCTTCCACCTAGTGTCATAGAAGTCAAGCCATTAGCTTTTCTGTAATCCTGCTGACATCAACTGAAAACAAACCTTTAATGGCATATGTAATAAAAGAGTACGGTGGCTGACAAGGGCCAACGCGCTACAAAGACTAAATTCATTTCTATTAGGAGAAACACGCTGCAGCTTCAGAAACATTGCAAATATAACGTTGACCTTTCGGGGATTATAAAATTGGCCAACTGTCACTGTCACTAAGAGCCTGTGTGTATTGTAAGTATTGTGTCAGTATATTTGAAATGACTAGGTTAGCCACGTTAGCTAGCAAGCTTACAGCAGATCTGCAATAAAATCAGAAGGAAGATCATGTTTAAATTAGCCAATAATATTAACATTTTAGGTTTATTTTATAGTGTAACTGTGTCCGTATGTTCAGTGTTTTGTTAATGTAGGGCTTTTAGTAAACACTGCGCATGTTTCGTCAAGTTGGTGAAGATGTTTTCCAAATGCCTCGTATGTATTGTCATGTTGGTGAAGATATTTTGAAACTGCATCACTTATCTCCTAATGGAAACGTTTTTAACCATTGTAGTGCCACCTTAAAGGTGGGGTAGGTAAGTTTGAGAAACCGGCTCGAGATCGCTAGAATTTGAAATTACACAACCGGAAAAAATCTGCCACTTCCTTACAGAGCCCCTCCTCCAACACACACGAACGCGCACATGACCAATGAGGGCACGAGATAAGTTTGTGCACAGATGGAAGGCTGACAGGCAGGTAGGCCATCCAGTTATTTTAGCCGGGCTGGCTAATCCATTTTTTTATGGATTTTTTGTCAAAGCACTTAAGATATTCATTGCTATCGGGATGTTAAGAGCATTCCATGGAATATAACAAAAAGTGTATCTCGAGCCGGTTTCTCAAACTTACCTACCCCACCTTTAATGGAGGAGCTGCTCATCAACAAATACTGTAGCTTGCCAGTGCCATAGAATTCAACAGCTCAAAAGGATACCTTTAAAAATACATTTTACTTCTCTATTAGACACTGTGTTGCTAGCGGGATTACAACAAAAATCATGCTTTGTTTCATAGCATATCAGTCAAATGTATTTTATTTACATACTGGTCTGGATAAATATGAATTTGGTGAATGCACCCATGCATACAGAAAACCTTAAAACTCCAGCCGATGCCCTTCATTGTCACAGCATACGATACGCAACTATGTGCTTTGCAAGTTACAGACAGAGCTTTATACCATAACACATGGACATACACATGTGTCCTTGTTAAACACAGCCTTGCACTACACAGGGTTTCCATCTGTATACATGTTCTTTGATTAAAAGTTGAAATACCAACCATTTTGAAATTCAATTAATGTCCATGTATGAATTAACATAACATATAAACCACACAACACATGGGATTGTAGATCTTTAGAGTATGTACACACAACTACATTTACAATAATACAATTTGTGAAAGCCTAAAAAGTTGTTGGTATCGTCTTTATAACAAACTGCACTTAATATAACAAAGCACATACTGTATAATAGAAAGTAAGTGTTGATTTGCAAGTGTCAGAAATCATACACTGATTCTGATCGACACTTTTTAAGTATCTGGAAAAAAAGATGACATGGAGTTTTCAGTCAGCTCGATAAAAGATCTGGGTATGGAAGGTGTTTAATTTGTAACCCCCTCTTTCACCAAACAGATTTTTGAAATAATATGACAAGGAAAGAAAGCTGCTTTGTTTCATTTCAAACTCAGATTAGACAATAAAAAGCGGAGGTAAATTGATCAAGTTTGGGTTATTCTTTTGCAAATTTTGAGTCAGCTGGATTTAAAACAAATGCTAACAATTACAATTTTCCTTTGATATATATTTTAAATCTATTTCCCTTAAAGAAACCGATACTACTTTGATATTTACCTGATAAAAACCGTTGCAAAATTCACCCTTGGCCACATGTTTTAACATCAAGCAAAAACGAAAAAGCAATGGCTTTTAGCTGAAGGATCAAAGTAAGGTAAAAGCAGACTCATAGGCGGGGGAACGATCCCTCTCCGGGAAGACATGGAGTGAACGTGGTCTCTCAGCGGTGTGGCTGGAGGCCGCCAGGGCTGTGTTAGGCGGAGGACATTTCCATGGTAAGTAGGTGCATGCAGGTTTCATAGTAACACGGTGATGGAGTGAGAGGGAGGCTGAGGAGAGGGGGAGGGGACTGCCGGGATCCACCCATGACATTTGGATTCAATCTTTTTATTCATGGACAGTCGAGAAAGAGAAACCCACTGTTCTGCAGACGCACAATTTCATGGATAACGTTCACTGAAGGGCTGTGAGGCGTGGCGTGTGAGTGTGTGTGTGTGTGTGTGTGTGTGTGTGTGTGTGTGTGTGTGTGTGTGTGTGTGTGTGTGTGTGTGTGTGTGTGTGTGTGTGTGTGTGTGTGTGTGTGTGTGTGTGTGTGTGTGTGTGTGGGTGTGGGTGGGTGTGTGTGGGTGTGTGTGTGTGTGTGCTCAGTGATAGCCCAGGCAGAGGGAGGGTATTTCACAACAGAGTCAGTTCTCTTTGAGATGACTTCCCCTCTCGCTCTGCCTCTTAGAGTCCTGTCAGTCAGAGTCTCCTCAGGTTGTGCTCCTCCGTGCAGGAGCCTTTCCTCAGAGTGATGTCGTCCACGGCCATCTCTCCGCTCCGGCCCCGCCCACGCTCCCCCTTCAGGATCACCTGGGGAACAGCACGAGTGAATATTGCAAAAAAACTAAAAACTAAAATACAAATTAAGTGCTGTTTTTTTTTATTACTATTATTAATATTGGAGCTAAAGCACTGAACATGTTTTCATCTTCTCCAGCAAAAAGCACTTATATACTAACAAAGCACTTACATACTAACAAAGCACTTATATACTAACAAAGGACTTATATACTAACAAAGCACTTACATACTAACAAAGGACTGGCTTATCTAAAGCCAGTTGAGTAGCACTTGAAATGTTTTGGCTCTTTGAAACCTGATGTACTTATATGATTCTGTTTTCTTCAAGTTTGTATCTTCTTGGTCGAATGCACTTATTGTAAGTCGATTTGGATAAAAGCGTCAGCTAAATGAAATGTAATGTAATGTAATGCAAAAAAATACAAATTAAATGCTCTTTTTTAATGACTATTATTAATATTGGGGCTAAAGCACTGAACGTGTTTTCCTCTTCTCCAGTGGATGCTGATTGTTTCAGTTATGCTGACTCGCTAAATGTTAGGCTGCACATGTATATGGATGTACATATGTATTAGTGTACAAGTAAGTGTGTATGTATGTTTTTGAACAGGGGTATTTAAGTGTGTATGAATGTATATTTGTGAAATCATCCTTATGTTTGTTGCTTTGTAATCAGCTTTAATTTAACTATAAATATATTACTGCTTAGATTTTTACAAACAGTAATATATTTCTTCCACATTTTTTTCTATTTGTTCTTGTTTCTTTGCTTGTTATGATTGTGAATCTCCATGGAAAAATATAAGATTAGATTCTGCATCTGTTTATGAAATAAGACGATACATTTAAAAAAGCAACTGCTACTAAGCATACATTTGAAGAACTTGTAACTTTTAATAATATGCTACCTTATATTTTTCCACGAACCTACAATTTGGAGGCAAATGTTGTACTCTTTAAAACACTACATTCATTTGACTGTATAAGCAACTCTGAAATCGACTATACTTTATAGAGTACTTTATAAAGTATAGTACTTTTTCATATTTTTCTTAGCTAATACTTTTGTACTTTTAGTTTAGTGCAGTACTTTGACTTGTAACAGAGTATTTTCAAAATGTAGTATGGCTACTTTTATTGAAGTACTTCTTCCACCACTGCTACAGAGAACATGCCACTTTATGATGAAAAGGGAGCTGCATGTGTTTATTCCCAAAGCAGATGTCAATCTTATATTTCACAGATCAATTTTTTTTAGTTCTACGTCTCAGATTTATTTTTCATAAACTGGGAAAAAAAACATTCGACATTCTGTCAAAAAAGTTGAAATAATCATTTAAAATTCTCCTTGTATGAGTGAACACTGAAATATTTATACTTACACTTTCCAAGCCGGTGCCCCATAAAGTGATTTGGGTGTGCCTCCAGCCATTCCCCCCCGTCCGGCCCCAGACTGCAGGGCTGTACTGCTTCCCTTTCTTCACGAACACTTGCAGCATGCCCACGTGATGGCCGGCCAGCTTGTGTCTGAACGACAGGCACAGGTTGCCATCGTTCCAGGGGGGGGTGAGGGGGAGCACCAGCCGCGCCCCCCGCCCTGTCCTCTTGTTGCCCACCTCGGGAATGGTGAGGTACCGTCCACCTGGAGAGAGAAGCAACAGATTTAAAGGTCACCTACAGTATTATGCAAAATCCACGTTTTCATGTCTTTTCTACATCAACATGTGTCCCCTCTGTGTAAAGAGATTCTGAAAGTTTCAGGAAAAAAGATTCTCTCACTTTTTGTCCTGATCCATTTATATAAAAACCTGTCTGAAAATGAGCTGATCAGATTGTGGCCACTTTATGATGTCATAACGATTTTTTTGGCTTGTGTAACCATCAGCCAATCACCAACCAAGGTAACCCCCCCCCCCCCACCTTATCACCTGAATCTCCTCCTAGAGCACCATTGTGTTCTTTTTAACCAAATATCTCTCAGAGGGGCGTGGGGAGGGGCTCCTTATTTTCATCTAAAGTAACAGACAGAGAATCAGCACTTTTGAAACAGGGCTGAAACAGAGGGGATTATGGGATGCTGCAATGATCTGTTTGGTGTTTGGAGCCAAACACTTCAGAGACATGTTTTGTATATATCTGAGACCTATAATATATTGATGAAAGACAGTATAATAGGAGACATTTAAACAAATGAATATACACAGAGTAAAATGGTTTAGTCAATAAGGTCAACACTGAATAAGTTGATGACACTGGCTCCTCTAAATGTAGCACTGAAACATTCCAGCCCTGATTGCACATATTTTTCTGAATTAACTATTATTATTTTGTAATACACACCAGTTTGTTCACATATGCCTAATGGATTGAGAACATTTCTAAATTGATTTTAATTGGTTTTTACTGATCCAAAAAATATTGACCTCAATTTGATACAAAATGAATTGAAAATGGAAAACAAATGACACCATGTCTCATTAACTAAAGGGCATTGGTTCACCCTAACAAACAAACAAACCAAAATAACATATTTTCTCCATTACCCAATGAAATCAAGCCATACAGAGAGTTGTGGTTTTATTTACAAAGGTTATCTGTGTGTTGTTTGTTGCTGCAAACCCAGCAGAAAGTAGTGAGTGAATTTGTATTTGTGATGTTTGTGGCATTACACAAATAAGTAGCTCTCCACAAACCCTATACTTATATTTGCTCTAGGATAATTGACAGATCTCAATATGAACAGTTTGGAGCTACTACCACTTCAGGGACAGTCCCAACACAAACTGTTGACGTCGAGGTCTGTGATCGCCCTGAATCAGTGAATATCGTTTCATGCTGTTGACTTTTATTGTGAACTTGCAGTATTTTATTTAATTATTTTAAAGATTTGCCTTTATTGTATAGACAGGGTTAATGGGGGGAGACAGAGGGGATGACATGCAGCGATGGTCCCGGGCCGGATTTAAAACCTGGATCCCCTTTTGGCTCAGGACATTTTTGTTGTATTGTTTGAGTGACAAATCCCTTTCACCTTATTGTATTTGGGTGCCAGCCAAACCAAAAAACGGAAAATAAAAATAAAATGTTTGTACTTTGGCGAATTTACCCTTTAACATGTATATTTAAAAAGGTAATTAGTTAGACAAGTCAGTCTGTCTAAAACACATAACATTATATTTCATCATTGACAGCCAAGTGTAAAAGACAATCTGTGAAAAAAACTGCATATTTTCAAAAAGACTTGACCCACTTGTGTTTCGTCACCTCAAAGTGGTGCCAGTTGCCAGTGGCACATTTATTTTGTTTTAAAATTAATTTATGCATTAGTTAGTAATAATGGTGCGATATAGTTCTGAAAAATGAAAGGCTAAAGTGCTCCTGGGAAACAGCTGATTAATGCTGATGCATTATGCTTATCTAGCAGATCCGTGTGGGGCTGCTGTTAACCACGGGGGGTTCGGTGTGTATCTGCAGGCCACAGAGGCTCTCTGCATACTTTATGAGCCCCTTCTGTATCTGTGCTAGTGGCTGTCTATCAAAAGGACTGTAAGTGAGGAACAGTACATGCACAACACAATGAAGATGTATTTAAAGCCATGTACAGGTTAGCCTAACCCTAACCCTAACTGTACACACAGAAACCCATAATTAAGACACTTAAAATGTTCTGTTTAAATGTATTCACTACATGTAACTCAAAACTGAAGTGTTGCCTCTAACATTTGGGATTACTCTTAATTAGGGCTTGGTTTACGATTTACTGTCAGTAATTTTCAAGTGAATGTAAATGTCTGGGCAAAAATCTTTATTTTCTGTAATGAGTGAGCGCAGTCTTGGCTGAAATGAGGCTTCAGTCTGAGTGTCTGAAAACACACGAGTAACTGCGAGACTACGCCAATTGGCGGAGAGAGCCAGATGTAGTTAGCGTCGCTTAAAGAGTGCCAGTACGCTGCACTGTTTAGTCTTCACACGCCGTCTACTGAGTCCGCTCAACATAATTTATCACGCTTTGTTCTTGTCTGAACCCCAAGAAAAACAGTGTTGTGTTTCTATTTAATGTGAGTCACAGGTATGGCTGACAGGTCACGTAATCCACTTCTCATTTGCATTGCTTTGTAGAGCAAAGCACTAATCCGCAGGAAAGACAAACTACTTCCCACAGGGAATTTTCATCTTGACCTTTAATTGAGTTGAACAGAATTGAGCTGCTTATATTGTCTGCATATATATATGCCTGTCAGTAAAGGAAAGCAGCTATTCTTATTTCCTATCACTGACTTAAAAAAAAATCTATTTTCCTTGTGAGAGTAGCCCTTCACTTACCGGACGGATCAGGCGTCGTCTCCCAGTGCAGGTCTCCGTCTTTGTCCCTGATCCAACCACAAAGACCATCATCAAAGGAGCAGCTCAGATACCCCGACTCTAAAGGGAATAAAACACAATTTTCAGAGAAGTGGAGGATGCACACGTATGCAAAGAGGCTTCATTGGGCTCTCTGTGATGCTTCACAGGAACCCTGCTGTGTGACTGTAACGTTACCGGGAGCAAGAGGACTGTTGAAGCTCCTTCTGTCGAGCATGATGAGACAGGAAAAAGTAAACATTTGCTGTGCTGTTGTTTTCATTAGGGAAAAATCAAGTGGAACTGCATAGATCACAAGTGGGAATGCATTCATCTAAAAAACACACATTTAATGTTGCATGAATTGATATTACTTTGTGTGTGTGTGTGTGTTTAGGAGAGAGAGTGTACTTTTACATATACAGCCTGTTGTATGGCTACCCTCCTCCACGATAAAATACACTACAGTTACAACACAGTGTTAATATTAAATGACTGATGTTTTCTTTCCCAGCGATGATGCCTAGAAGATAACATTAAGGGAATGCCGGCAAAACTGTTGCGGTATCATCCATGCATGGCTGTACAAATTGGTTTGGAGATAAGAAAAGCATCCATCATTTTATCCCTGAAAACAGCTACCGCAAAACACGTCTCAGTTCATTTTCTGAGCCAATGAAAATGCCTTTCACTTGACATAGCATAGCAAATGATGCACCGTGAACCAAAATAAACACGTGACTAAACCATTAGGCAATTTAATCTGCCTACCATTGACATCAATAAATCACAGATCGAGCAAATGTGACATAAAACGCTGTCTTTTCACAAAAGCGATTTTCTTGTTGTTTCTGAAGGAACTCTAAACTATGTACTATTGAGCTTATGAGTGGAGCTCTGATTTACTTCAAAAGGATCAATAATCTTTCAAGCAGTCAAGCAATCAAGCGAGCGTAATATGTAAAGTGGAGAAGGTTTGCAGTACGATCTGGGCTGTGAGCCATCATTTAAAAGGAAACTGCCAGATGTCATGTGTCACCTCCTGGTGAAAGGCCTATCAAAACACATCTGGTCACTGTAATATCGTCGCCTCGCGAGCAACCACTGCAGGCGTTGATTGTCAGTTTCATTTTCCCGTGGTAAATGTGGCTCGTCCATCATCATTTGAAGGCTGCCGTCTGCTATGAGCAGGGCTTTGGATGATTGTCTCTGTCGAACGTGTTGTGTTTACCTGGGTCGTCCTTGGCTTCTTCTGCCGTGTTCCCGAGCTCAATGTCAAAGTCCACGCCAAGGACGGTGTTGCGATCGTGGTTCCGAGGAACTGTGGAGAGAGGTGAGACACGCAGGTTTAGATAAAGGATTAACAAAGGTATTATATTTGCTCACTGGCATCCCTGCTTTTGACTTTTTTTTCATTACTATACAAGGACTCTGCAAGGATGAATCAATGTCACGGTTTAGTGCCTGCATATCTAGAGTTAAGCACGTTTAACCACACAGCACCTGGCCAGAATACCTGAGAAAAATCGGCAGAAGTCAAATGTGAGTCATAACAAGGAGAAGACAGATGGTTTACTGTGATGCAACGTCGGGGCAAATGTTGCCGCCACACAACATGGAGCTAAAGTCCATGCACATGAAAATACACAAACAGTACACCGCCCTGAAATAGCCTGTTTCCTTCTCCAATGGCATCACACTGCTCAAAATACTATAAGCCAAGCTCTCTTATTAAAGGTCGACTGACAAGGGAAGGACAGAAAGTAGTTGGTCCTGCTTTCACAGCGGCAAGCATTTTGGGGAAATAAAAGCTTTGGCTGTCTGAATGGTAAATAAACTGCATTTATAAAACACTTTTCCAGTCTTTGGGAACCCTGAAAGAGCTTTTACATTTACAAGACAACATTCACACACATTCATACGGAGACAGGGGCTGCCATACAAGGTGGGGATCTAACACTGTAGGACAACTATCTATTTCCTGGGCCACAGCCGCGCCTTTAGCTCTATTAGTAAGCAATAAATATCCCTTACTGGTTTTAAATTGCCTTTATGAAGAGGTTCTATATAAAGAAACGTGACAAACCTCATCAGTTTAGTATGTATTGCATTTGCAGATGAGATAAGTCAGTGGAATTGACTGAGACAACTATCAATAACACTATTCCCAGCATCCCCGGCAGATTCTTGCCCCTATGCTGTGAATGCGCTGTAACCTGCACTTGAACTGTCAATCCCCCAGACTCCCCAACATGTAATCCCCCCCCCCCCCCACCACCCAGCCTGAGCCTCTGAAACGGGCCACCCACCCCCAAGACGGGTCACAACCACCTGGCAGACTGAAATGCAGTCTGACAGTCGAAGGAATCTGACAGTGGGGAGGTCACACTCAGACCAGGCTCTCCAGATATCCCAGGCATCCAGGTTTCTGTGTGTGTGTGTGTGTGTGTGTGTGTGTGTGTGTGTGTGTGTGTGTGTGTGTGTGTGTGTGTGTGTGTGTGTGTGTGTGTGTGTGTGTCTGCTTTTAAGGAACGAGACCCCCATTGATTTCTTGTGTCCGCTCATAGAGGAGATATATAAAGAGTAAACACAACACAAGTTAGGGAAGCGGTAACTTGAACAGTGACACTGTGAGCATAACATAGCTGTGGGACAGGAGAGATACACTGTGCAACTTCACAAATTCTGGCCAAGGGAACTGTGTAATTGTATAAGTTATATTAATTGACTCTGATGCCATAAAGCATGGGGTTAACCAAATCTGAAATAATGTTGATTTTAAAACCTTTTTCTCAGAAACAAGGTCCTTAACACTTCCAAAGAACCAAGAAAGTGGGTAATTTTATATGAGAGATGTATTGACTTTGATGCTATTAAGAATCAGTTACTCACTCAGTAAGTACTAAACGGATATAGGTATGTCACATTGACTGAATATAAAATATACAACCAGACACAATCACATCGCCTAAAAATAGAATTATATTTGATTTGCACTGCTCAAATCTTAGAAAATATAGATTTGAAAACCTCAATAGCCATGTGTCTTGTCAAAAACAAGGGCCCTGTAATTGTATATGTTAGATTTATTTACTCTGATTCCATTAACTTGATCGGTTTAAGAACAAAACATCTTAGGTATAGGTGTGTCACATTGACTGGATAAAAAATACACAACCAGACTAAACCAAATCGCCTAAAAAAGGGAATTATATTTTATTTGCGCTGCTCAAAAAATGTCTACATCTTAAAAATGTAGATTTAAAAATGTCTACAGCCATATATTTTCTTAGAAACAAGGTCACTGATACCTTGTAAGATCCACAGACCTCATTGTTAACAGAAGTGATTTTTTTCTTAAGAAGAAATTAACTCAATTGAACTTTCCACAGCAAGGAACAGTGTATTTTCCGGGGCTGTGTTGGACAAGACCAGAGTTAAGTTTGGAAGTGACCCTGTTAACCTCTTATTTGTTGAACAACTTTGTTGAAACACCTTCTAAATGTCACTTCACTGGACACCCTTGTTTTTTGACCTTTTGTCGGTATTTCATCCACATTTCTGTCAGGTCAATAGAAGCTGCTTGAGGGGAATTCTTTTTTCTTCCAAAATGTTCAGCAACTTCAACTTTTTTGAGGTATGGATAAAAAGCCAAGCATGCACTGTCATAAGTGCATGTTAGTATTTTTTTTAAATACAACGTGACTAAACTTCCCTTTTAAGAGATGACACAAGTAATCATATTCATATGAAAACCTTGAATTCTTAGTAATTTTTTTGCATTTGTATTGCAATAGAGAGGAAGTTGTAAGGGTTTGATTAGCTTCTGATATTTGAGGGGGTTTTCTTTCACAGAGCAACATGTACTTCTTTAAGGAAAACATATTAAAATGTTGTTAAAATATGCTTATTTATTTTCTCGCTGAGATGTAGGTGAGATGACTGATAACACTCTCACGTGTTATCAATCTTCTAATTTAATCTTCCTGCAGGAAATTGAATTAGTAAATAAGTTGAAGAGAAACTAGTGCTGATTGTATAAGTCCAGCGTTCTTTACACACCTGCACTTGCAGCACAGCTGAGTGGTTCTTCATGTCCTGAGGATCTTATTCAAATTCATTCCTATTTCTGTGTAATTATTCGAGTAATCACTCAGCGGTGTCCCTCCTCTCATCTTATTCAAACCATCTTCAGGAAGCTCGGATTCCTAGAACTGCTCTGCCGTGGTGCGAACTATTAGATTGATGTCTCCTTCAAGCAGTGCAGACAGGTGCTAATGCAATCTTCTCTCTTCTGTCTTCTTTCTAATTTATGTGAAGCCATCTGGCAAGGTGAACCTCAGAATATCCACTCTTATCCTGTACTTTGTCGTTATATCACACCAGATATTTCTGTCTCAAAGGGTTTTGGATTTGCAGCGCATAATTGAGCATGACACCAAAAACAACACTTCTATCAATGTTCAAATACAAGTTTTTGTGCACAATTGACTATAAGTGCATCTGGAGTAAACTTTCTATGTTATTGAATTTCCCCTTGTTGCCTTTTCTGTATGGCTCTATCTATATCATAATAATGTGTACATTTACTGAAATTGCACATGTTCGAGAAGTTACTCGTTAAACTGTATGCTGTGAAATAAAATGGGGAATACAAGAAGTATAATGTGGGCAGTGTAAACAATTAAAATAATAAAACCCAAAGCCAACAATTATTTTAGTCTATTTTCTGTCTATGGCAGTCAGTGCTTTTAAATGAATGTATTCCTACTGAAAAAGTTAATCTTTAAATCTTTAAAAAGTCAATTTGTTTCCCATAAAAGATGGGCAGTTTAATATTTTACTCAAATGGTTAGTGGTGCATTCAATTGGTAACTATTTAATGCCATGCATGAATATGCATTTGGTGTTCTTCTGAACTTTTGGTCTTTTCAAAATGTAAATATTGTAATAAAAATGTTTTAACCTGTAGACAAATAGTCTAATAGATCAAAAGAAAGAGGAAGAAAAACTCTTTAAACATTTAGGTCACTACTTGAGCATTTTAAAATGAAAAAAAACAATATTCTTTGTTTATAGCTTGATTGAGATCATGTAAAGATGGTAAAGTATGACAGTGAGACAACTATGTGAAGGCAATAATGCACAGAGCTCTCATGCCCTTATATTAAATATGATATCAAGACCAACATTTTCTCCAGTTCACCATCTGCCTGGCTGGAGATAAACTGTGTACACATGGTTCCTGATATTTAGCTGCTCAGCAACATGTGTGCTCCATGTGTAATGATCCCCAGATGGTGACATGTGTCATAATAAACACATTGTTTCAGCATGCAGATGAAGAAATATGCTGACATGCTCCAATTTGGTTCGAGGAAACCTGTCTGGGAGCAGATGAAGATGAATTGTTGGACAACAACTGCCTTTGTGTGTCAGCCTGTGACTCAAATGTAAACAAGCAGGGATGAAACTTGCTAATGCAACGAGGTGTTAAGCTTTCTAAGCTGTTAAACCTTATTATGTGCCTGTATCACAGCTGAAGATAGACAGCAAGGAGGGAAATAGAGGATGACATGCAGCAAAGGATCATGGGTCAGACTGGCCTCAGTACACAGTGTGCTCTCCACCAGTTGAGCTACTGCGACTCCGTTATTTGTACTGGGTTATGTGAAAGGTGAGGCTCGTATTGACCAACGAGAATTAATCAGTCGACTCAGAGGGTTTTATCATCTCTCAGCTTGTTGTTTTGCTTCTACAGCCCAAATCTTTACATTATAAGTAAAATCTACCCACTCTTATTAGTATAATTTCAAGAAACAGCAGCTGTTATCAGTTAAACTCTAAATACCCATTGTACATTACCTGCTTAGTTAAAACAGCAGTCAGTAATAGTTAGTTGAAGCAGTGTGGAGCATCTAGTATCCAAAGAGCCAGATATCTCCCCCAGGAGTTGGTAGAGACCAAAAACAGAGCTAAAAGCAGGGTAAATATGACACTTATTTGTGTCAGGTGGCCTGAGATAGGAATCCAATAAATAAGAATAATGTTCATTACCTAATGTATGTGTAAAAAGGCAACTAATTGGTAGCTATTTAATTGGAAAAACTTTAGGAGGTATAATATGTCAATGTTGTGTTTATTCACTATTTTACTGCCCCCTAATGGCCAACAAAAATACATTTATGTAGTTTTAAACGTTTTCTTGCAATAATACGTTTCGTAAAGAGGTCTTATTTTCATGATTTCAAGTGTGATAAGTTAAAACAAGATCTGATTTCCACCTATCACTCAAACCCTTCAAGTATTATGAAACAACCGTTAGATTTCGAATGCAAGTGCAAGTTGTAATAAATGTAATCTATTCAAAACGAAAACAATGAAATATAAAACTAGTTCTTACTGTGGACGTCCCCTCTCTGTTTGGTGACCTCCTTCTGGATGGTGTTGTCCACAGGAGTGACTGGTGGGGGGGTTGGGGGGCGTCTGGTGGGAGGAACTGGTCTTATGGGTGGGATATAGGGCTTGCGTGTTGGTGCTGGTGGCTTCCTGGTCGGGATGAAGGGCTTCCTGGTCGGGATGAAGGGCTTCCTGGTCGGGATGAAGGGCTTCCTGGTCGGGATGAAGGGCTTCCGGGTCGGGATAAAGGGCTTCCGGGTGGGAAGGGCTGGTTTACGTGGAGGTGGGGTAACCCTCTTTGGAGGTGCTTTGGTTGTTGTCGTGGTTGTCGTAGTTGTGGGGGCGGCTGTTGTTGTTTTTGGGATTACGGGGAAGACTCTCCTTTGAGTCACTGGTGGGCGGACGGTGGTGGTGGTCCTCCTCTGATCTGTATCTGGGAGGCGGTTGTGATGATTTGGAGGCAGTTTGCCTGGCCTCGGAGGGTCAATAGCCACCTTAGGGATGGCTGGAATAAGAAGAGAATGTAGATTAAGTACTGAAATATGAGCACTTAAGAGTTAATGAGGCGGAGAATTGCAGACTAATTGCAATGATTAGTCTGACATTGGAAGTGAAGGCTTTCCTTTATCTACCGAGACTTTCTCCTTATTTCTATTAGCCAAATGTTAGCACCTAAAACAGATCGGGTGTTTCTAATCTCACTGATGCAAAAGCTCAAACAAGAAAGGCCTATAAAATCCTAATTTTGCACGTTCACATTCTTTCTTTTGTGCCTTTTAAAAAAAAAGAATTCTGTACAAATGTTCTCAGTGGGAAAGTTGAAAGAGGAGAAACAGTGTGCAGCATGACAAGGTGGCCTTCAATAACAAAACCCACAAAGACACCCCACGTTCAGTAAATGTCTGCTTTTGAGAAATCAATATTTCTCTCTGTCAGTGGCTTTTTTTCCATCCGTTTATATGCTTGTCCTAATTAGATATTCTTTGTGTGTTCATAGCCGGAGGCCTCTCAGCAGCTCTGTGTGTGTGGAACGATCTCTGCGCTCAAACAGGCCTTGGAGATCACCCTCGCTCTGCTGATGTCATCAACGTTACACCTCCTTTTCCTTTGTTACCCCTCTCATTCTTTCCATCAGGAGCATTGAATGGGGGGGGGGGGGGGGGGGGTGAGATGCAGGGCTTCATAAGGGGTTCATGAGTGAGGAATGAGAGTGGACAAAGAGTTTGAACTCAGTTATTGCCTTCTCAGGTTGCAGGCGACTTTGATATGTGATACACACGTAGGATATTGCAACTCGACTCCCAGAGCACTTGTGGCTCACACACCCTTGGGCAGGCGACAGGGTGAAATATTTGCAGCGTGCTACGCCATGAGGCATCCCCCCCGCCCTGCTCTATGGACTGTTACACCAGTTGTGTCTGCGCAATGATTAAATAACTCTGGAGAATATATTACTTCTTGCCCACTGAGCTGCTGTGAAAACTGCCGACGCACAGACTAATGAACTGTGTGTCGGCACGCAAAATGAAACAAACTAACCAGGGAAAGAAATAACTCATATTTCATGATGACATTAAAATGTCCAAATGTCAAAAAAGGAGTAAAGGCTCACTCTCCGCACACGTGATAAGGAAGCAGGGTGATTTAAGTGTTGACTGACAGCCATTACAAAGAAAGGAATTTCAGTCCCAGCTCTTCGCTTGGAGGCTATTCCTCCCTCTTTCTTACTTTTCTAGCTTTTTGAGAAACACCAGCAAAGAAAACAAAAAACGTGAGGCCCCGTTTGCAAAAGTGAGCATCGGGGGCCAGGGGTTTTGTTCTCAATTCTTACGTTTGCAGTCGTGGCCCATCCCCCGGTAGCCGTCTTTGCATTTGCACTTGTATGAGCCTGGCGTGTTGTAGCAGGAGGCGAAGCCGCTGCAGTGGCTCCGACCTAAAGAGCACTCATCCACGTCTGAAAGATAATGGAAACATAACAACATTCAGCTACCGGGTGCAAGCGCAAAAGCAAACTTTAGACATAACAGCAGAATATCCAAGGATAATTGCTTCACATCCTCTCCAACGGGGTTCAAAGTGTATATCATGCGCACTGCTAGCTAAAGCATTTCAGTGAATAACCCTTAGAGTTACAAAATCACTCTTGAGATGGAGATGCAAAGTCTTAGAATAGGAGCAACCTTTTCCTATTCTTTGGCTTTTGTTCTGAAAAATGAATAGATAAACATTGGAGATATGTTTTCAGATGTTGCCGAGATTTAAGGTTAACATTGATAGTTATTTAATCTGAACGTTGTTGACGTTGTGTCAGTTCCTGTTTATTACATTTTTTCCCCTATTTCAACTAGTGAGTACTTGGCAAACGTAAAACAATGAAATCAGTCATCCCACTTCATGAGACAGCCTCAAATGACTTTTTCGTTTATCTGTATTTATTTGAGATATATTTTCAACACACTAAACAGTGGTATCTTTAAATGGGGTACTGATGAATACAGCAACATCTTAAGAAGTAGTAAAAGAGTAATATGGGAGGTGTGTGGCGTTGGTGTTCGGATCAGGGGAGCACAGGTTCAAACCCCACTGCAGTCAGCATGTCGTTGTGTCCCTGGGCAAGACACTACACCCCAAATTGCTCCTGTGGGGATTGCCCACAGTATTGAGTATGTAAGTCGCTTTGGATAAAAGCGTCTAACAAGTAACATGTAATGTAATGTAATGTAATATAGCAATGAAAGTGAATTCTATAATCCTGCAAAATGGCTCTTTTGACTGTGTTGTATTAAATATATCATATTATCGGATTATTATTAGACATTATATGTAGACAAATTGTTTTAATATCTTTACAGGGTGTAAAAAACAAAACCTGCCTCACTGAAAATACCTTGGTCATAAATCATCACTGATCAGCACATTCATGACCTTTGTGTGTTTTATCTGTGAAAGCCTCACTGCAGCGACCTCCTGACCGTACCTATGCATTGGTATTTCCCGTTGATGTATTGCAGATCAAAGCCTTCGTGGCACTTGCAGATGTAGCTACCGAAAGTGTTTATGCATTTCCTGAACCGAGGACACACTGCTATCCCTGCAGCACACTCATCCACATCTGCAGGAGGAGCACAACAAATACAGGTCATTGCACAGAAGAAAATATTCAAAACAAAACATAATGTATTCATCGTTTTTCACTTAAGGTCTCGGAGTTGGTCCCATAAAGTTTTAAATGCATTCAAAAACCACAATGCAGTGAAAAACGTCAAGGTTAGAAAAAAGGAAATTAAATATGAAACTAGATAAACATCTCTATTCATACATGGAGACTTTTTTTTACCTTCCCTGGTTAGCATTCATTTATGAACGAAGCACATTAGCTATTCTGTTCAGTGAGCAGAATACAATGCACACTACGTTGTTTCATTATTTAAAGACCTATTCTCACTCTCTCTGTTGATCACCTTTCCCGGCATGTGGGCATTCATATTTAGAAACAGCGAGGCATTTGCTTTACAATCATTAATTTATATTCTGCACGATGCAGCTGAGGCCCCGCCGCGCTGCAGGGACTGTTGTTTGAAAGGACTTTAAAAACACAGAGACACCTGGAGCAGCTGGGAAAATAAGGAGAGAAGTAGGTGGGCGGGGCTCTCTTATCCCTTAAAGACTGCTGTTAGGCTTCTCATCAGCAGGGCGCTTAATCCCAAACTGATCCACTAGAGCTGCTTAATGGCCAACAGTTGAATTATTTAGCAACTCACAGAGCGGTGGTGAATTATCATGTTTTACAAAATACACACACGTACACATAAATTCAGCCCCTGTGTCAAAATGTGTAATAATATTGCCTACATAATGCCTGAGTGTTACATCCAGCATTGAAGACACATTTCTTTCAGAGCATCATATTAAACAGTTATTCATAGTTATATACAGGATAAATATTTGGCCAACATTACAATCTGCAATTGGGTTTTGTTTGACAACTCGTCTGATACATTAAGCAATTTCTATGAGAGGCAGCACTAAAATATATGAAGCCATCTCACAGCGAGCCTCTGCAACAATGCAGAAACATCAATACGCTCTGTCATTAATCAGCTTTCTGTCACAGTGCAAAACAAGTCAATACTTCCTTTGGATCATCAGACATCGTGCTCAAGAGATTTCTAGCCTATAGTGCACAATGTTTGAAATTGACTAAATAAATTCTGTTTATTATACATCTGCTACCGGCTGCAGAAATTACATGAATCCAGATTTATATATAATAATATAATTATAGATTGATTTGAATTTCACACTTAAATTGGTACTGGAGCTACTTTGCAGAGACTTTAGGTGTTATTCAGTAAAAGAACTGAATGTGAGATCATGCCTCATATTTGACTCGTATTTGATGAAAAGCAATGTGTGTGTGATCCCATAATATTGGGCCTGGTAATGGACAGGAAACTGTATTATTCTCAAAAGCACTTTAATGTTTACTTATAACTATACGGAGTAAAGATCACACAGGCACAGAGGGCAGCTCAGGGGTCCTTTTGGTGAAACCCACAAAAGTAAGCATCCCTCATTAGACCGTGCCGAGAGTATGCAGCCACTCTCTAAATAGTGAGCAGTGTATGTGTGTTGAATAGTGTCAGCTTATATGTTTATAGGGTTCATTCTAAGCAGACTCTTGGTATATGCGCAGGTATGACTCATTAGACCGTGCCGAGAGTATGCAGCCACTCTCTAAATAGTGAGCAGTGTATGTGTGTTGAATAGTGTCAGCTTATATGTTTATAGGGTTCATTCTAAGCAGACTCTTGGTATATGCGCAGGTATGACTCATTAGACCGTGCCGAGAGTATGCAGCCACATTGCAGTGACGTGCTTGTGTTATATATTTCAGAACGAGCGAACAACTCAATTATATTATTTATTTATAAGTCTATTTTATGTGCAACAGATGTACCTTTTTACTCTTAAAAAATATATAATTTAAGCATTATGAAGCATCTTTTCTAAAAGTTTGATAAACATCTGCCCAGGCCACACCTACGTTAGAAAGGTGTTGACATAATGAGTAAAGACATTTTAAACTCTCCAAGTCTCTGTTAAGGAAAAATCTTCCTAAATATGATGAGAAACTCTCCATAAAACATCTGCTTCTCTGGGAAACCAGAAAAATTCCATTTAACAGTTTTAACACCTGTGGCGGGCAACCTGTCCTTCCCCACCTCCATCATTTTTCATGATTGATGTTCGTTCTGTTTAAAAATCCGCCTCCCATCCGCCCACAGATAAGTGGGAATATAGGGCAGCATACTGTAGCAGGAAAAGTCCAGTCTGGAACAGCCTGTATTTAAACCGGACACAGGTTAACTGCCTCAACTGCCCCCTTCATCTGTGTCCTTCCCACTCGAGAAGCTGTTAATGAAGGAGGGGAGGAATGGAGGAGGGGGTGGGCTTCCCCTGATCACATTTCTGCTGTAAAAGCTGGAGGAAGTAAGTTGGATATAGTCACCATTTGGTTGACAAGGCTGGTTACATTTCCATGGTTTATTTATTTATTTGTATTATATATACTATGTTGTATGTTCTTTCCCACTATGACTATGTATGTCATTCAGTATGGTATTCCTGTCATGCTATGTTTTTTCTGTATTATTTCTTGTTGGCTGTTCGGTTTTTCTTATATGTTGAAAAAGGGAAGCATGATTCCCACCCCAAAGAAGTCTGTACTATTGCTTACACTTGTATGCTTCTTCTCAATACCAATATTTGAAACAAATTTCCATGGTCCTTGATCAAAGCAAAACGGATGTATTGGTAAATATGTTTTGGATGAATTTCAGCTTCGCTTGCAAAGAGGTATTATTTCCAAAATTGCCTTTTCACTGCCAAGATTTCCTTCTCGCTCAGCCAAAACGATGGCATTCATTATCACTCTGCTAATTTAAAGTCTGAGAAGAAGATATAAAAAAAAAGGCAATAAAATGCTTGTGATGCTTTACATGGGTAGCTTATGGAAGGGAGTGGTAGCACGAGGCTCGGTTTTCAGGCCTCTGGAGATATATATAAAGTCTGCCACGTACCCACACAGGTTCTTCCATCCGGAGCCAGCTGCAGCCCCGGTGACGGACACTGACATCGGACCTCTCCTTTCAGCACCTCGCAGCCGTACTGACAGTTGGCCATGCCACAAGTGCGAGCATCTGAAGGATACAAGGGAATCACAGCACATTATTAACACATGATGGTGCCACAAGGGAGGCTTTCTTTCTTTCTTCCTCACATCCACACTCACACTTTATCCTATCCACCAACTATAGACGGTATTAGTCGAGCTGACCCTGAGGCGCAGACAACAGAACAACACACAGTCGGCCATTATGAGATTCCTGTGCTGTGCACCTTAGCCCACGCAATCTTCCCCCACTTTCATATTTTCCTACACCTGAGGAATCATAATCCCCCTCCATCCTATTGAAGCGTGTGTAGTGTGCGTGCTGTTGTTGAGCCGTGCAGGGGCAGATCAAACCCCTCTAAAATAATAATATAATGGATCAGATTTTGTTCAGCCTCTTTCAATAACATCAGACCCTTAAAAGGAAATTAAAGAGTGAGCCTCATGCTGCTGCAGTCGCCACTTCAGCCGCCGCAGGCACCCAGGAGTACAGTTTGATGACGGAGGAAGGCTAGCCTGATTAAATGCTACAGCGATCTATTGATCAAAGCAGTAGCAGGGGAGAAAAGAGGAGTGGCACGGTGTTTAACACTATCATGCTATCAGCCCACATCAACACCTGGAATTCTTTGAGATTGCCTCAAGTGGGAAAAATCCAAGAGAGACATTTATTTTCCTCTGATAAAAAAAAAAGAACTACTGTAGCCTTATTAAAATGAGGCACCAGGAGTCACGCTATGCTCTAATGTATGTGGGGAGAAAATAGTTAGCCTATCAGGTGAGAAACATCATTTACAGGCAGACATGTACAGGCATTACTTCTTCGAATACCTCGGGCGAGCAATAAGAACTGCACCCGAGGGTTTAAAGATTGTGTTTCCCTCATACTTTTCATTGTAGGCCTCTTAGGGTTCTTCAGAGGGGTTCTTCAGCTGCTGTAATGAAGCGGATCAACGAGGGGCTTTAATCAAAACACTCTATCAAAGGATTGCTGTCAAAGCTACTCACACAAGTGGAAAACTGTCTTTGTTTAATAGAGAGCATATGTCATCAGGTTGCCAACTGCTGGCATTCAGATGAATACATTTGTCGTAAAAATAAACTTCACAGTATACAGGCTACAAAGCAAAAGAGAGATGGTGGAAAACACAAAGAATAACATAGATCAGGAACCACAATATCCACATTTCAGACATCAATACCAACAGAGATGTGTGTGTTTGTGTATTGGGGGGAAAGACTCACTTCCACATGTCCCGTCAAGCATCTGCATGTAGCCGTTCTGGCAGTAGCACTTGTAGCTTCCATAAGTGTTCATGCACCTGTGTTTACAGGGCCTGGGCTTCAGACCGCACTCATTCAGGTCTGCGGACACAGAGAGAGAGACAGCGTAAGTGGAAAGCAGGACAGAGAGACCCTGCACAGAGGTGAAATTAGTCAGAGGGCAAAGGTGCTGAGGTCAGTCATGTCAAACCTCACCCATCCATTTATGTATGGGTTTGTCTGTCTGTGCGTGCGTTAATGTGTGTGTTTTGGAAGAGGGTGGAGGTGTCTTCGAGGAAGTGTCATGTTCTGACAAGCCTGCAACTTCCCTCCTTGATGATTTAACAGGAAGCCAGTGTCAACTGTCAACCTACCCATTACCTGCAAGTGATAAAAGATGCTATTATACCCTCTGACTCACCACGACTTCACGTACTTAAAGCTGCAGCATCCTTTGATAGATGCATATAATTCCAGTGTTTTTCGTGCAGGCGTAAAAGTAGAGAAATCTCAGCCACAACAGACCGTGAAAATCAAATTAGAAAATGATGCTGTGACTTCGTAGCAGGGAGGGCTCCTGGGAGAAGGAAATATGCCCTGAGCTCAACACCTGTCAAATGCTTATGCAAATTAAAGTCATTATACCTTCCTCACAGCACAACATTTATATGTTTCTGTCGCAGGGCGCTGGCGTTGTTTATACTCCCTCGGTGGAATGACTTACTGACACCTCTAAATGGAACAGAGACACCATTAATGTGATTAGTTACACCTGGGAACTTTCTGCTATGACAAGTCAAAGTATCTTCATGGAGGGTTTGTACGCTGGCTGAATAAAATAAATATATTTATGTTAATTTATTCCCACTGTAGGTTTGACTGAAATCTTATTTTAAATACTGTGACTAAAGTTAAGAGTCATTCACAAGATTTAAAATGTTGAAAAACAAGGTAGTCACGTATGATGGATGACATATTTGACATTTTGGCAGAAAACACACAGGTGTAACTAAAAACATTAGTCATAGTTTCAGTTCCCCGGTGCATTTGCCTTCCTGGGATGACTTGCTGAGACTTCACTTCAAGACATCATAAATGTTATTAGTTATACCTGTATACTTCCTGCAATAACAAGTCCATGTGTCCTTTACTTAAAGGGGACCTATCATGCAGAATGCACTTTTTGCACTTTTATACATAAATATGTGTCCCCGGTGTGTCAGGGAACTCACGCAGCGTCAGAAAATAAAACCCTCTCTCTTTTCCTCCGTACCCAATTCTCTAAAAACGGGGCTACAACGGAGTTGATCCAGATTTGCGTCCGATATGACGTAATATCGGAAATGTGGACCCACGGCACTATCAGAAATCGGAAACAATGCCCGACTGTTTTGGACGTAATATGGTCGGTGTTTACATTAGCATCGCTAACACTCAGAGCTAACCTGTACTGGAGAGCATGTGTGTGAAGAAGCAGCAAATAAAAAGGAACTCACCTTGTGGTATAACCGGCAAGAGAGAAAGCCTTTGAGCTCCATACTGTTTCAGAAATAATCCTTGATAATCCATGATATGGCGTTTCATCACGGCAGTATTTAGTTTAGACAGTAGCTGCCGGGTCCCGCATGAGCTCAGCCCCCTCCTTTTTTTTTTTTTAAAGCTTTATACCCTAAATCAGCACTTTTGAAACAGGAAGTGAAATAGAGGGATATGAGGCATGGCTAGAATGGGTGATCTGTTTGGTATTTTGAGCAAAACACTTCATAGACATGTTTTTTATATATTTTTATATATCTGAGACCTATGCTATTGCCTAAAAATAGCATGATAGGTGACCTTTAAAATGGTTATAGCGGCTGAGATAAAGAACGGTTATTTCTTACTATGGACTCCACTGAACACTCATTTTAAAGATTGAAATTAAAGTAAAGTAGCATTGTCAAAATTCAAATTGTAGCAAACCAACTAATAAGAACCTCATAGCTCTATAGAGCAGATATTGTTTTGACATCAAATGCATTAAAGGGCCCTATTAGGCTCATTTTCAGTTTCATATAGGTATTTTGTCCTGGCAGGCTATGTTGTGATTGGTCAACAGCTTAGAGATGTCCTGCCTCTTAGACTATCGTGTACAATTTGTTGGTGCCCTATAGCCAATAGAAAAGCGAGTGTTACATAGGGATGTCACTATCTTACGGAAGTAAACAATGGAGTCTAATGGAGGTGTTTCAGGCAGGGGGGGAGTATGGGAGAGAAACTACCTTGGGAGGGAACTTCGGGATTTCAGCCTTTGCAGACCATTTACATGCACACAAACCTATACACACTACAAGAAAGGGAAAACTCCAAAAAGCATAAAAGGGCCTCTTTAATGGCGGCCATATTCAATGTAGGTGTTCCATGTAAGATCCTTGGTATAACTTTAGTTACACCTGTGTGAGAGGTCTATTGGGTCTTTTTTTAAATGTTTAAATATTGGATTTAAGAAGAAAACTCTAATCACATAAATAACAAAAAATAGATTATAATAATAATAATAATAATAATAATAATAATAATACATTTGATTTATATAGCACACTTTAAAAACAGATTGATTCCTCTTTTGTCTTTTTTTCACAGCAGTCAGTTTACTACGCTGGTGTAATAAATTACATTTGATCAATTAATGTCTGTACTCACTTAAGTGGCATACTGGGACATTTAAATGAAAAAGAGCCATCCCTAATGTATGAGTGAGTCTCCGGACTAAAATGTTATTATTTAAACCTGTGCTTTTTCTATTAGCAAAAGTTAAAATGCCTGCTGTGAAAGAGGCTTTTATTCATTTCTAGATGCATATTGCTTTTAATAGAATATTGATCGTGCTGCCATCAGCTGTGGTGGAAGTAACTAATTGCTCTCATTACTGTAATTGAGAATCTTTGTTGTATAATTGTTGAGTACACTCGTGTTTCTCAATGCACTTTTCAAATAGAGAGGGATTTTAGTACAGTCGGGTATTTTGCTGCTCTGACAGAAAGAAAGAATATGTTTCATTCCAGTTTTCCCCTTACCTCTGTTTCCTCCTGAAGCTATTCTTTAGATTAGGTTTTCTCAAAAGAAATAGTGTCACTACTCTTACAGAGCATCACTCACTTGAGGAGGGTAGCTATCAAATCTTACTTCTTCTTCCTTTTGCTAATATTTAGTTAAAGTGACAGTTCTTTCATTTTGGTAGTTTTTCCAGCCCCAAATGTGGCGTCTGTTTGAGGCCCAAAAGGGGAAAATACAACAGGAATCCATCACAGTGGAATGATAACACATGCTCCAAGAAGTCCACAAATTAAACTATAAATATCACCCCCTGTTTCTGGGATACAGCACAAACAGATTTCAGTGCACTGTACCGCACATGAGGGGTTGCTTTCATCTTGGCCGGCCGCTTTATGAACGGCGCTGTGTTCAGCCGCGGGGACACATGCAGGGCACATTCTTAGAGTGCCACATACCTCCCACATTTAACAGATACCAAAGATTGATTTGGATGAATGACGCAGCAGATGCCCAGTTTGTATATCAGAGCCATCGTCTATTAATGGTCGCTTAAGTTAAGCCATGTTAGCTGATTCAAAAGGCGCGGCTGGAATTTGACCGTCAGCTTGTTGAATGCCACACAGTGCCACCAAGCTTAAGTAGTGCTTCATGACTATAAACTGTTGAGGATATATAGGGGTCAGTTTGTGAATGCAGTTGTTACTTGAGGGCCGGTATAGTGAAACATTAATAGAGTTACTTCCACTCATGAGCAAGGCTAACAAGGGGCATTTAAGGAGTAGCAATATTGATTTTTCCACTATACGTGAACATGTGTGACACGCACGTTTAATTGTATCTGATTAAGGATAGAGTTTTCTAATATAATTTAAATGTATCAGTAGATATAAAAAGTCTAGAATAAAATAACATTGTACTGTAGGTTAAATGTTTTAGTTTGCACGCAAAGAAGATTTCTAGGCAGGTAGAAACTCAGGTCTAATGTCATGGCAAAATGAATCTGTTCTCCCACAACATAATATCCACATCCCTTAATTCTGCAGACACATACACACATTTCAATGTTTTAATTAGTGCTGTCAACCTTATTTTCTCCCTGGTTTTCACAGTAAACAACTTGCATTCTCATTCCTGCAATAACAAAAAACCATAGCAACACTTTGTCCACTGTCAGAGAAAACAGGTCTTAACTTGCCGAAACAGCTTAAAAATGTAAATGAGGGATTATTGAAATGGTCACATTCTCAGACAGAGGCAGCTCTGTGAGCATCAGCACATGCCAGACGCAGCCAGGGCCTCCTCGCGAAGAAAGAAACAGACAAGATGGAGCGAGGACACAGAGTGGTGGAAAAACGGAGAGATAGCAGACAGACCAGCGACTGACAGCTCGACGAGGCCTCAGGACTGAAGAAAGCTGAGCGATAGCGGAGGTGGAGAGCCCCTCTGGGGTGTTCACTGTACGGTAAATGAACTTCTGAGGCACATCTGAAGTGATGCAAAGTGGAGTGATTTATTGGGTCAACTCCATTGAGGTATGCTACATTCCTGACACGCCTCTATCACTGACAGAGAGATTAGCAGAAGGCTTTTTTCTTGGGGATATGCTTGACTCAAGGGAAGATAACACTGGGTAAAATTCGAAGCCCTTTTTTTCTAGCAGGAGCAGTTCTATGTCTCTTTTTAAAAGGAAAGGATGAGCTCTTTGTTCCGGGTGCGGAGGAGAGGAAAATTAGAGAGAAGAAGGGGGCAGAGCATAAAGGAAAATCATAATGGCTCTTTGCTATTGAGAAAGGTTTCTTAGGTGACAGAAAAAGGAGGTGGTGAAGACTGTGACATGCTTGGCATTCATGCTGGCATGTCTGGGAGGTGTCAAAGAAACTGGTGGCTTTCACTCCTCCGCAGTTTGCACAGTGGAGCTCCATGCATGTTGCTAAGATAGGGAGGAAGAGGAGCGGGGGGGGAAAGTCGATTGTCGAAATCTCACCCTCCATCACTACCCGCACCGGCTGATGGTCCACAGGACGGAAGATAGGGAGGTGACTGGCCCACACTGGTGGGGTTAAATAGTCGAGCACTTCTTCTTTAGATAAAGGAAATGGGTTAGAGGGGATGGGGGGGAAGTGGGAGGAAAGGGGGTTTGATCCAAGATAAGGATAGAAGGAGACACAGAGAGAGAGAGAGAGAGAGAGAGAGAGAGAGAGAGAGAGAGAGAGAGAGAGAGAGAGAGAGAGAGAGAGAGAGAGAGAGAGAAAGGGACCAACCAATGGATTAGTAACACCTCTGACCACACCACATTCCTGGAAAGTAAAGAGGAACATTATGCAGTAAGGAGGATTACACTTGTGGGAATTGGACATGAGGGCCCATGGGAGAAACAGTGAAAGTGTCCCTTCTCCTCCTACCCGCTTCGGTATTCTTATTTTGTCCTGAGGGTGAAATAAGATCTGAGAGAATTACATTATCACACGGATTCAGAGGATCCTTTCTCAATTTGTTTCTGGAGGTTAAACGATAGACAGCAAAAAGGCAAATCACTGCTTGACTACAAACAGCCTGGAGACGTTCAGCCCCCCCCCCCTCTGTGAAGATCCATCCATCCATCCTGCAACCTTTCCTCCGGCAGTCATCAAACAACACCTATTGTTAAGTGACTGGAAGATGATACAGCTACCTTTGACTGCTTCGCACGCTTCAAATCATTCAAGCGTCTCCCTATTGAGGGAAGCGGTAACTTAGACTGGGAGGTTTTGAAAGCTTACTGCATTTCTGCCAACTCTACCCAACACTTGTCAAAGGCCTTATCTGCAAAAAGGCTCCATTGATATTGGTATGAAACGTTTTAGTAGCTAAGAACAATAATTCACTGAGAGAATGATTTAACAAGGGCAGCGTTGTCTTATAAGAGTGGTTATTTTTCTTGAAGACATTGTTTGGACAAAAGCTAAACCTGAACAATATCCCATGAAATTGGAAAACAGAGCAGTTACTGGAACAAGAGGCTATAGTGGGTATCGTACCACAAATCTCCCCCAGGGACACACTCTGCATGGTTATCTTATCTGAGAGTGATACCCGTGGGACGCAATAAATGCTCGTCAAATGCCAGAAAGTGCATCATGTGGTATAAAACAAACAAACAGGCTGTGCTGTGTCTATTGTACGCTGTTGGTCATTTAACGGAGTGAGATGTTTGCTCTGAGGTAAAACGAAATTACATGAAATGATTTGCAAGAGCTCGATGATTGATATGACTTCAATTATCACTTTATTTTATAGCATCATTATTATCGCCACCCAACGGTTAGATGAGATCATTTCTATCAATTTTATTCCAGGTCCATCGTCCTGCTAATGGAGGTTAAGGTCAAATATGACTTCATACTGTAGCCCACTTGATATTTAATGATCTTCTGAAAGAGAACATTGATAAAACAAATATAATTTAGGGTGATTAGCTGATAATTGAGGGAAAATACAGTAGACTTGCAGCTGTTAGATTATTAACAGCTGCAAGCCAGGAAGACAAACAGTGACAGAGAGCGATCGGTTTCCTAAAGTACCTTTCTACACCTACACTGAAATATACAATATTTTCAGAGACAGCAATGTGCCGTCGCCAAGAAAAGCAGAGAAAGGTCCAGATATGACATAATCTGTCTGAAATAGAGAGTTTCTGTCTGTATGTATGTAATGTATGTCTGTCTGTCCTTTGATTTTCTTGCATACTTCACATCCTATTGGCATGCCAGGTACAGCTTGCACAGAGATCCAAGAGAGACATATATTAGTAAATGTATTGGCAACCGCTCATACCATCAAGAATATATCTGGGGCTTATCCATAGACATTGAATGAAGCTTTGACTTAATTGAGCTCACTCAGCATGTTGAGTGGGAAGTTGTTTGGATGAGCGATTCTTGAGAAGCTGCAATAGCAGAATACCACAGGCGAAGCAATCGTCCCTTTTTAAAACTGGCATTGCAATAGTGTTCCAAAAACAGCCACAGGAACAAATTGCTCACTAACTTTAACCATGGCTCAAGACTATTATACTTGTGGTATTAATTATATAGTTGCCTGACAGAAAAAGAGGGATAAGAATAAAGCAGCATCCGGAGGCGCCGCAGATATATTGCTTCTGAAGTAATTCCTCCAGGAAAGTCTTTTTAAAGCCTCTTAACAGCAGGTCAACTACACCTAATTAAATCCACCTGTATGCAATAATTATCTTATTAAAATGATTGGTTCAGAAAGGGGAGTATGCTGCCAAACAGATTATCCCTATAATGAGTTTATTTGTGTAGAGACAGCGTGTTCATCTATCCTCACCATGCGGCATGACAGATCCAATTCTCATCAACACAGATGAAGCACTTTCTAAAAAAATGATAGATTCTCGAAGTGTTGATTATTATTTTTGACAGATGAGCACTTGTTAATTTAATGATGAGCACAATCTGATTCAAATGATGTCACCTGCAGGTGTTAAGATTCTCTGTATCGGAAAAGCTATTAAAGTGATATAAACACTTTGGTGAAATGATCTGGCAGGTGAAGAGAGCTGGCAGTAAAACAGACATGTAGTCCTTGAAGTATAAATATCTCATAACAGTACAGGGTCATAAAACTTTGACAGAGGAAAATACGGCTTTGAATCTGAGAGTGATGAAATCAATACAGTAGCTGCCATGCTTTGTGTTTGCTGTAAACACTCATGTTTCCTCTGAGGTTTGTTTATGCTCCTGGTGTTCCTAAGGTGATAAACACTTTAGTTAATCAGATCGCCTCCAGGGTCACACATCTGTCCGAACCCCCCCCCCCCCCAAAAAGTCAGGGAATGTTTGGCCATGCATGCAAAACAACTATCTGCCAATGCAGGTTTACTAATGGCGCATTTCCACTACACGGCCTCGCTCGGCCTCGCTCGGTATGGCTAGGCCTCGTTAGGACTGGCTCACTTTATGGCGCATTTCCATTACAGTTTAGGAACTGGGGTAGTATCTATAGTAACGCAGTGTAGGCGGAGCCGTGACGTCATCTTCAATGAGAACCCCAGAAAAACAACACAGCCGTTAGCTGTTAGCACTCAGAGCTCACAGCTCCTCATATCTGTTCAGAAACTAGACAAAAGTTAAACAAGTACAAACCACAGACTGCCTGTGTCATGGTGAATACAGTCGCTGCTTTATTTATGTCTGTATAGGCCGTTGTTGTGAGTGTGGACGGTCGGAGCATATACTGCGTTAGCTTAGCCAATCTCCATTTAGAAAACACGCATTTTAAAAGGTTTTTCGCCTGCCGTCTGTCTGCAGACTTGTCAAAGCATTAATTCATGGTTTTTACTAACCGGTATCAGTATGTTGTTACTTCGGCATCATTTTGAAACGTGTATTACAATTAAATCACGGTCAAATATGTCCATCTTGTTGTAGTTGTAGCCCCCTTGCCAGCGATTCTCTCTCTAGTTTAGCATACTCAGCCCGACTCAGCCTCGTTGTCTCTGGCCCTCGACCCACGATTTTATGAGGCCAGAAAAACTGTGAATTAGGACCCACCGGCCGGTACTAGGCCAAGTGGAAACGCAACCAAAAACGGGCCGCTGACGTCACAGCCCTCTTAAACCGTGCTCCGCGCTGTAGTGGAAACGCGCCATTAGTCTAACCCTACTAACCCTAACCCTAACCCTCTTAGCTTAAAAATGGATGGATCTTTGGGGATATCATCATGCCATAAATACCGGTGAGCTTGCTGAAGTAAGTTTGGATACTTCATCAAAAGTAGGGAACTAAACTGTCCAAACATCCTACTTCGTATTTCAAAATGTTTTCATTATTATAAGAATAACCAACTTATATTACAAGTACACACTTTCATTTTTCTGTCGTTATTCTTCAGTGTGCTCAAGGTTTCCATTAAATAGATGTTAAGTTAAGTTATGAACTATTGGCAAATGAACACAATGGTAGTTGATGCCATAGATCACATTTCCTGGACAAATCCCAAGCCGTGGGTTTTAATCTCCATAACTGTGGGCGGTTTGCCGGAGATCGTTGGCAGAGCTAACGAAACAAACTTTAATTGACTTTATAATATGGAAAAGAAAAGAAAAGATAAATGACCACAGTTGATTCATAAACAAGTGAAATCCAAAACTACAGCTGCTACTACTTTTTCCAAAGATAATAAAACAGAGATATTTAAGATTAAACGTTGTATAGCAGTGCATGCTGGGAAGTCTTCTAATGCATGTTATCATTATGCTGAAAACATGCATAATGCCAGTGAACTTTCAGCAGTACAATCATTTAAAAACAGTAGGCTCGAAAGGCATTAACTGAATAAAACATACATCAAAGTCAGCCTTCAGGCATGTTTTGAAGTATATAAAGCACCATGCTATGATATTATTTTCTTTAAATTCTGTTTCCGACAATGAAAGAAACACGTTTATCTTGCTCATAAGAAATCATGGATCCGTCCTCGTCTAAAACCGCTGCTAGCGTAAGCTTGAGGTTAAGGTCAAAACAGCATTACTGGATGTAAAATATACAATTAATTCTAGTTAGAGTTTTTGGTAGGTAATGGAAGGAAGCCTCAAGTCCATTTTACATCCAAAAAACTGCACACTGCCATTTTTGTCATCAAAACGTTCACCGTGCTGATGCACTCTCTTGCTCTCTGTGAATCTGTAAAGGAGGTTTCAGGTTGCTTCACCGGTGTTACCGCTGTTGACATGTGTCACCATTTACGGATTAGACAGCGATTGACTGTTTGTTCCGAACTTAATCTTACTTAAATCCACAGAATGCAAAACATCTCTAGTGACAGACTCAACAAGTCAGTGTAGTCGCGGTCAGACTTTTTGGGGGACATAAACTTAAGAAAAACATATTTTTGGGTGGAGGCGACCTTTAAGTTAATTATAAAGGATCAGTTTATTCCACATAATCGCTGAATGAAAACAGCCCTGGGCAACTCATTTCTCTCCTCCAGTTGGCGCTGAAGATGAATGCATTGCTCCGGATATGAGACTGCTGCGAAACACTGGTCAATAGTAAACCTCAAATCAATGTTTCATGGAGGGCTGCATTTAGATGAGAAGATCTAATCTATAGTTTGAGAATAATTAAATTGGTCTCCATAGCGTGTGCCAGCTCCAAACTGAATCCAAGGTTATCTCCACCTAAATAGTCTGAAAGGGCAAGTGTGCCACTCAACGCTGAGTAAAACGGATAGTTCAGTGATACGTCCAGAGCTTATTGGACAAATGGGGCTTCGATGGACACTTGAAAGTACAGTTTCATCTTGAAAGGGCTTGGAATTACATTTGTCAGATAAATCTGTCTGAATGTTTGGCAGCAGAGTCTATTGTAGTTGGATACGGGACGCTGATCCTTTTTCCTCTCCCCTTTGTTGCAGATTAAGACAAAGTGCAGCCGTCTGGCCGGGCAGACAGGAGCCACCTATAGCCTCCAAACGCAGGATGAGTCATTGGAAACATACCAGAGAGGATTTCGACACCTCCACCTCCTTAACACCACCTCAACCCTTGTTTTTAATTGCACACTATACCTATTCCTGTCTCAGGGCGTGAATTCCACAAGTGCTTTCAAGTTGCTTAGATCCACGTCAATTTACTTACTAACTGGGATGCTTTAACGCTTTTCAACATGTCTGATCTGTCAGTGATGAAAAAAAAGTCCCACACACACTTTCAGCAGCATTGGGCTCACTCAGCAGAGTGGAGTTATCTCAGGTCAGTAATTGAGATGTTATCTTCACAGAGAGGATGCTCCCAGGGGATCATTCAACATGGCCTCTACTTATTTCCATTTGAGCTGAATCAGCTTTTCTTTTTCTGGTGGCAGAAACAGCTTCCGCTCCGTGATAAAGTGGCATCTCTAGGAGGAATCCGGCCACAATACACAATGATTAACCTGCAATTACTCAGGGCGCCTTTTGTTTTCATGTGATAAATGTGGATGTCAGCATCGAGTTGTAAGGACCATGTTTTACTGACTTTCTCTGTGGTGTACGTTTCAACCTCAGTGCCCTTTGACACATAAAAAATCACAGCTGTGTTTTCATACTGTGTACAGGTTCCAGACTCACCTTGATTGCAGGTCTTTCCGGTGAAGCCTGGATGGCACTTGCACTTATTGGGTCCCACGCAGTCTCCATGCTTACAGCCGGGCTGGCACACAGCTGTTCAGGGAGGATTCAAAGAGGGACAGACAGATCAGTGCAGCGCCTTGGCACACTACTTGTTTCAGATCAGGTTGACAAAGCACTTAATCCTACTGCTCCTTGACTTGTCTGTAAATTGCCTTTTAACTCCGTGATACAGCATTAAGACAGCATGAAGCCTCATTCATGAAGAAAATGCTTCTTTCTCCTTGCTTGACAGCCTTATTATCATTGACTAATGGTAATAGAGCAGCCATTCAGAGCTAATCACATCATTTACACATTGTACAGAGCTGGAAAAGTTTCATCGTCCTTACTGATACTAAATAACTTCACACTGTGTGAAATAAATAGGGAGTTTGACCTTTTATACTGAGCAAAGTTTTGATTTTCCATGTTTTTAAATACAGCACATTGATATTTCTATTGGCACCCAGTCAACGAGGGTAACCTAGGCCATTAAAATCCACGCTTAGACTGAAGCTGGAACAATTAGAGCACCAAAACTGTAACTTATAATGAGCGCTTCGAGTTTCTTGCAGATGGTACACAGTGCGTGGATGGAGATATTTTGAGTTGTGGTAGCTGCTGCGCATCTTCCTGTTCTGTCTCAGTGCGCTGTGAGCTTATCTGACTGTGCTTACTGCAGCTTGCTGCTAAGCATGTCTGATACACGGGGCCTCAGCCAAGTGTTACTAATTTTCATTAAAAGCTTCATTAATTCTGTCATAATACAGCGCAATCAGAGGACTTAATTACCACTGTGCTGGAAGAGGTAGTACATATGCTTACGAACGTGTGTGAAGAGGTTTTGGGTGAGAGTGCTTATCACACCAGCCAGTTTGTTGTGTCTCTGGAAAGGTGTGATAGTGTAGTTATATTGTGAGAACACTGGTATTTAATCTGTTGTTGTGTCTGTAATGCTATACATATTACTCCAAAAACATCCTTATTTTTACATAACCTCAACTGACAGGATTTAGCTTTTGGTTTACTAGGTTTGTCACCATTCAACTATTATGGGGAAAGCTCAAAAACTACCTCACAGATGTTTGTTAAATTGGGTGGAAACATTATACATGAGCAGATAAGCAGACTTTCAGAAAGAAAACAGAACGGCATTTTAAAAAAAAGGCAAAGGTGTGTTTTTAATGTTTCAAATACCAGAGAAGTTGAAAGATTATCCAAAATATCTATCTTGTTTATAAAGTTTTAAAAAGTTTCTTAAAGGCTGTCCTCTGCCCTTTAAGTTAAGTTCAACTTTTCAGCTGACACTGCGTCTATTAGTCACACCAACATTTACATATTATACAATATGCATATATCAACTCAGCAGTTCTGCATAATTTAATGCTATTTAATGGCGTGATATGTTTGCATTGCAATGTGCAACTTTGGTTAAGATATTCACGTTTGAAGTGCCTTCTTTTATTCATGATTTTAATAAAATCTGGAAATAAAGTTAAAGCTGTTTTAACACATACTGAGGGAGACCCTATAGAACTGATGAAGAATGGGCTTAATAATGCACTCTTTAAATGAAATGCACACTTTCAGAGTTGAGTTACAATCTCAGAAATATCCATTCATACCCATGCAGCTTGCAGGGTGGCAGCTCAGGTTTCTGTCTGTAACATTGTTCAAAGTGAATTCAAAGGCACAAAGGTATGTGATGAATCCGAGTCGATAACATCTCCAGGCTCATTGCACTTTATTTGCCTGTGTAATCAAATAGAAAGATAGTATTGTTAGCACACTTGGTAGAGCCTGTGATATGATATGATGTGAGTTTGCTAGCACACCAAGCAGCCAAAGTCCACAACTACAAATAAAAAAGTCGCCTAATTTGTTGGAGGAAAAAGAAAAGAGTGGAACTTTTCTACGCGTAGGAGTTTATTAGACTTGTTGCTGGTCAGCAGATAAAATGAAATATGGTTGTGGTGTTGTTGGAGAGAATTTGAGTGCTTTTTTGTCTTTCTCCTACATGGGGGAGGATTTGATTTGCAGGATCTAGCATCAGCAGGATTTGCCTCGGAGGGTATTTTTAAGCCTCGGGCCTGGCAGAAAGATCAGGGGAACGGCCCGTGTTCATTAACCACAGCAGAGGATACGGGGGGCTAAAAATGGTGGCACCAGCTGGAAGGCCAAACATAGCATACCCTCCATCTATGAACAGTATCAAAACACGCCGGGTGATGACATACTTTCACTCCCGTTTACATCAGCCGTTCCTCGGGACAGCACACTGCTGCCGGCTACAGACGCAGAGTCTTTTGATTTATCGACTGCTAATGGGCGCCTGATGGTGAACACAAGGGGAGAGTATTCATTTTTAATTGAGACCAATAATGCGTAAGAATGTTTAAACTGGTGAAATTAATGACTTAATCAAAGTGAGATGAAAAAACGATTACTTCATCAAACGCAAGTTGCACCCTTTTGCAATCAACTGAGTAATTATCTAAGACTGTTCGTAATCATTATTTCATCAGCCGTTGATTTTGTGTCTGTTTTTTGTTTTTTTATCCATCATTGAATTGTTTAAAAAGTTCTCAAAGACCAAGGTAACATCTTAAAACTACTTATTTGTCAGATTAAGACCCAAACCCATTTTTACAATTATATTAAACAGAGAAAAGCCGTATATTCTAACATTTTAAGATAATATTTTGCATTTTTGCTTGATAAACGACATATCATTTATTTCTTTTAAAATATTCAGCTGATTACCCGTCCATAAATAAATCATTTGAGGATTAATGTCAGCATACATGCTATATGGATGACATGTAATCTGTCCGGGGTGCGTTTCTATGCGGTGGAAATGTCATTGATTGACCTCGTAATGTCACGGGGAATATTTCATTTACCTAAGTGATGAATTATGATAGCATTGGCATTCTCCACCTCACTGATTTCTATATATTTAGGTATGCAGAAAACTCACCACATTAATATGCTCAGTTTCTACCGTCCCTACAGATATTACTAATATATAAAATAAAAAAACATTATGGATTTCACCTTTGAGGGTTTCATTAGTATTCTAAGGGGCGCTGAATCTTAATGAATCATTGAATCTTAATGAATCATTGAATCATTCCAGTATAACTCATGTTAAGATACGGCTTCAGGTGGAATCAGGTCTGCAGAGCGGAGGCTGTTTGCATAGATCTGATGCCTGGAGGAAGCAAGATGGCCGCTACCAAAGGGGGTGTGAGGTGTTAGTGGAGGGGTGGGCTCAGCTCTATAAATAAGTGAGCGAGCCCAGGATTCAGAGGATGTGCCCCCAGCAAAAATGTCGAGCAAGATTATTTCAAGAAACATGTGGAGCTAACCTTGGGGCTGGCACCTTATCCCGGCTACTCTGTGAGTTAAGGCGAGGAGAGCTGCAAAACAAATAGCCAAACAAACAAAGGATGCGGGCAATGTTTAGTCAAGAGAGCGAAAAAATAAACATGATGTTAGAGGTCAGAGCGTGGTCATTTCGACAAGCAAACATTCCTGCAAAAAAAAGAAAACACACACACAGTCTGGAGTTTTGGAGTCACACATATTCCCAGTTGCCTGTAGGCACGTTTTGAATGCATTTACAATTTAGTTTTTCAGATGTCTTTCTGAATAAAACCACCATCTCCTGGGATTATCTAGTATTTATGAAGAATGTGAACTATATTCCCTATCACTCACATCTAAATGGAAGAGAGTCGTTTTCTCTCGCACACTGTGAAATACTTAAATTATTATTCACTCTTTTTTAGAAACAGTGCGTTGAAAGTCGAAAACGCTATCCATATCACTCAATGAGATCCTGGTTCCTTTAATATGAAATTAAATGCTGCAGGTACCTGACTGTGAGGAGGCAGATTTTTAATAGGCTCGGTTTCAAAGTGCTTTTAAAGCCAGAATTGTGTCAAGTAATTTGCAACATGTGCCAATTATACCTGCATAAATGCACTCTAATTTTTATGTGCAAACCTTGCCGTTTTGTTTTCACTCTGGTACCCCAAGCAGATGAAAAGGCACACTTTTAGACGATAGCTTTACAGCCCAGTGATCATGAAAGAAAGTGGAGCAGGCAAGGAAACTGCTCAGAAAATCACCATAAAGTGAATTACTTAAATGGAGATATCACTTTTCTGCTTTCAGCGCGCACTTGTTAGCTCAAATTACCAATTCAAAAGTCCTGCCTTAATCCTGGCCGTAGAATTTGTAGAAACAAAGGCGGCACTCAATCAAACTAAATCCCGGTCTCAGTGGATTTGTAACATCCACCAGGACTGGTCTGAGGAAATTGTAATGTGTGATCTATTTAATATGGAGGTGATATTCAACCTAGTTCTTTTACAATCAGAGAATATAACTGTAAGTCTTTCTGCCAGGGTTTTTTTGATCAAGTCTTTTGGAAGAAGTTAAGTCAAGCCCTTCAGGACATTAAGGTCTGCTGGTTACTGCCTTATTAATGTTTAAACCTGATTTGAGCGTTAACTTTAAAGTTTTTGTTGATTTAAAGTCCATGTTTAGTTTTCAGTTACCCAGAATTTTGTGACACAACAACAATACCTCTGGATGTTAATATTATACGATTCTAAAACTATATTCAGTGCAATGTTTTGCCAATCTGTTTATAACAAGCCCCCCGATATATCTCAATCTGAGTATTGAAATGTTATGCGAGGCAACTATGATGGGTATAGTAGCTTCATTATCGTTAAGGTAAAGTATAGTTAAGGTTTAGCAGCAAAATCACTCGGTTAAGGTTAGAAAATGATTGTAGTTCAGGTCAAATATAATACAAAAAAACATGAATTGCAGGCTTTTGAACAGACACGGCATACTGTCTCCATAACACAGTGTGCAGTAAGGATTTGTTTTAGTTTATCTGTAACATTTGAGATAATAATAATAGTCATAGTAATTACATAAATTACCATTTCACGCCCATCCCCCTCTGCTATATATGGGTGCATTACTGCCTGCATATTAAATGTTGATTTATATGAATAAAGGGAAGTATAATCATGAGTTCTTTGTTCAATTCCTTTTTTAATTTTCACAGTAAAAGCCCATCTCATATCGATCAAATTAGTTTCAAATCACCAACCTCACAGGTCTGATATCACCTGACATCACACGTATTAAACGCTCCTGCTGCTGCTCCCTGAGTACACCATTTAAATGCAAACAGTGGGATCAACTTGTTGATTCAACTGTTTCCATCTTCATTAAGAGAGATGAAAAGTACTTTTAGTATAATTACTGTTAGCTGTATTACACTGGAAAGGCAAATGACCAAATGCTCCCACAGGCAGTAAAATGTCCATGTTGGCAGCTGGTTACAATAAGTATCTTCAAGTGTGGCTCTGCCTGCCGGATGGCCTGTCAGAAAATTATAAGTGGAGCTTCTTCTCCCATAAATCTAAAGCTCCTCTCTCTCTTTCCCCATCTGCCTGACTTTCTCACTTGTCTCCCTCTCCTGACGCCTGCACTCCAGCAGCAGTCGTCTCCTACTCCTTACCTCTGAACCATTTCCCTTACACCTCAGGATTTTCATTTTCTCCAACTTTTAGTCTTTTCTCTCCTCTCTCCCTGACGACCGAACGTTGATCCATTAAGTTTCTTATTCTTTGCGAGAAGTCTCACAAACCAATCGCTGAGAAAACTACAATCCTACCTCCAATCTAATCCCTGCTATCGCCACAAAAAACGTACCGAGACCTGAAATCTGTACTGACTGCATCCTCTCCCTCACTGGCACACACTCATGATTACACTTCCTCTCATTCTCAAACCTTCCACCTCTAAGGTTTAAATCAGCACCTTACTGACTCGATGGAATACTGATTGTAGTCTCGAGTGAATGGATTTGAGCTGTGCAACCGGGGCAGCAGCATTTTAAAGAATTAAGGCAAGAACTCAAGGATTGATTTAACTCACAGAAGAGATTTAGTTTGGGTGAAAATAAAAAGTGGTGAAGTAAAAGTGCTCTAACAGCTTGATACAGTGCATATAAACGGAAACAAAATCATATTTTTGGGCTCAAAATGGAACATGTGGGACTCCAGAACAACAAAGAAAACTTGTTCACACACCGCAAACATGAATTTCTAAATGTTACTCTGCTTGATGTATTATAAAGTATATGTGAGCTATGATGTATCATTGCCCTTAGGACAAATAATGAATGTTTTGTCTTTTGGAACAGTCATTACTGTTTTCATTGGGTAAAATATGAGCACATGAATCATGTCTTGCCCACTAAATCTAAGCTTCTTCCATAATAAAGTCCTCCTTTTTTTTTCTCTTCCCATCTAAAACCCACATCTATTAATTAATTTCCTGAGCATGGGAAGCTGTAAAGAGCCCGGTGCAGATGCACAGCGAGGTTTTGGGCATTGAGAGAGCCGACTCGTGCCAGGATTACTGCTGAGTCTGGCCCCATGTTCAAACAGACCCTATCAAATGATACAATTGAGTTGTTTGAATAAAACAGTGCTGCTTTCGCCTCAGTCATTCCAGCACAGATTGAAAAGTTCAAGTGTCAAGGTTTTCCCAACCATGAAATCAACCTATCCAAGATACGATGGGAGGGAGGCGTGTGGTGCAGTGGGTTGTTCAAACCCCACTGCAGTCAGCATGTCGTTCACCCCAAATTGCTCCTGTGGGGATTGCCCACAGTCTTGAGTATGTAAGTCGCTTTGGATAAAAGCGTCTAACAAGTGACATGTAATGTAATGTAATGTAATGTAATGTAATGTAATAATGTAATACAAGTCTCAGTCTGTCCCATAAACCATTACTTTTATTTGTTTTTCTGATCTCTAGAATTATACTATCTTATTTGTCCGTAAAAGAGATGAGGCGAGAAATGGATAAAAGCATATTTTGGGTTAATCTAGCTGAGCTAAAAGGAGATACAAAATACTGAGTGAACTCCAAGTAATACTGTTTGTACTCTGGAACAAAAAATAAATCTTGCAATGAATTCCAGCACCAAGTGAAAAATGGCAGTCTGCCACTTTAACATGAAGCTGCTAAACCAAGAAAATAAAGAACCTAACCTTTGGACCCAACAAGCAGTTTGTTACATATTTCCCACGGAAAACATTTAAAATACAACAAATAAACAAAAGCTTAAGGATGGTATGATGAGCTTAAAACAATGGGAACATAATTATAATGTGGTTATTGCAGCAATGAAAAACACAAAGTTAATATTTTAACAAGCTAGTAAGTAAGCCCCAAGAACCAGACATGCAGTTATGAACGTTTTTTGTCTTTTCCACAGCAGAAACTTGACAACCTGCAACATGAACCTTTAAATAACCATTTTTTTTAAAAAACTCATTAGGCTTTGGTGCGAAGTTCGGCTTAATGTTTCCACTGTTTTGTAAATCTCAACATTTTAGATATGCTTAGCTGAAAAGGCAACAGCAACTTTGAACATTGATTATAAAGGGAATAGATGCCATTTTGATGCACTGTGTGATAGGCAATAATAGAAGAAGCCCAATTTAATTCAACATTTCTTTTGGGTTATTTGTGAATTTGAGGTGGAAAATTGTATGCCACCATAGACAGAACATATTCCAAAACAGGAAAGAAAACATCATGAAGTAGAGAGATTTATAAATCAGGTCTATGGGAGGATAATGAGCCTCTAGTGCACATGTGTCAAACTCAAGGCCCGGGGGCCAAATCAGGCCCTTGGTGGATTTAATTTCGGCCCGCAAAATAATTTTTAATTACTATTAGATCTGGCCCGCCGGTATATTGCACGCACACCTTCACTCAATCCTGAGGGTTTCCTCAGCTCAGAGCCTGACCCCAAACATTGATGAACTTGCACCCAAGATGAGATGCCAAGTATCTGGCTTGAACTAGCATCACAGAGCAGCACACTGAGTTTACATGGATGTTTCCTCTTGCTCTTTTTTTCTTGAGACAACAAGACACGTTTGGTTTGTTCTTTGAGGGAAATAGTTTTTTTGAAGCTGTTGTTGGCCTGTGGAAAAATGTAATCATAAGAAATGACTCCGGAAAAGCTGCAGATAGAGCCATAAGAAATGAATGCAACTGATTATTTAATGTTTAATGTTGTTTTTATAGGCAATAATTTAAGCTTTGTTCCAGGTTCAATATGTGCAACAAGTTAATTTCAATAAGTTTTGCAATAAACATTGAACCAGTCCGGCCCTGGACGAGTACCGATTTTTTTATTTTGGCCCACTGTGTATTTGAGTTCGACACCCCTGCTCTAGTGCAACAACAATACCCACTTCGCTGTGTTGGTGCAACAAGTGATTTCAGTAGTTAAATGCTCAGGTTACTGCTCTGTTTGTTGACACACGACACTTGCTTGACTAATCACAAATGAAAGCACTGCCTTCACCCCGTGACAGTAGCTGGAAATTGGAATAAGTATATACTCCTGAAAACTAGAGCTACATTTTAGTTTCGGGAATGAGGAGACGAGCGGAACCTGTGACAAGCAATAGTTTCATAAGAAATACTTAATCGCCTTATAGCAAATTAGCTTAGCTTAGCATAAATAGGGTATTGTAAAAGGGGGTATCAACAGCTAGCCTGGTTCTGTCAGGTTGAAAACATGTTCCCAACTAGCACCTGCTTTGGACAGAGTTGTTTACTGTCTTTAAGCCACTCTAATCGACTTCTAGCTGCAGCTTCATGTAACAGACAGATAAGAGTCAGAGTGTTTTACTTTTGGCAACAAGGCAGAACAAGTTAAACCTATGACAAGCAATAGTTTTACAAGAAAAACATGAACTTTCTTGCCAAGGGATGAGAAGATGAATACCTCTCTATCTGTAAATATCAAGAAACACCTAGCAGCCAAATAGCTCAGCTAAGCATAAATACTTAAAAAATGGGAAAACAGCTAGTCTGGCTCTGTCTGTAAGTTGAAGAATCTACGTTGGAGTGAACCATGTCCTGTTTACTGTCTTTATGCTAAGCTAATCGACTGCTAGCTGTTGCTTCATTTAACTGACAGATATAAGACTCAGTGGTATTGATTTTCTCTTCCAACTCTTAGTAACGATTCAATACCTATTTCCTAAAGGTCTATTCCTTCAAGTTGCTTGTTGCTGAGTTCCTGCTGTAGGAAAAGTCTTTTTAAGTGTTAACCTTTATATATACAGTCTATGGTGTTAACCCCTTCTTGATTAAAGCTCCACAGCAAAGCAGCAGCTACACCGTAGGCACCAAGCCATGCAGAGGATTTGACATTTGTAAGGCAAGTGGCCGGATCTAAAGCCCATGTTAGTATGTATATTCACACCTCCCTGGGTTACAGGAGGATCCTCACACAATGTAAACATGTCGGAAATGTGATGCGTTAATATTTCATGCAGTTCATGTGACACAGGACACATCCTCTGAATCCTCTCAATTCTCTCAAGTGGTTTTGCTGAATACAAATTGAGTTGAGGTGAATGTGTTCATGTGGCTTGTTTTGGAAGATTTTTGCACAGTAGTAATCTGTAATAAATCTCCCATCTTGATCCACCTGCAGCTACAGTCCCTCATTATGTCCACCTGCAGAGCGAATATAAATGTCAGCCTTTTTCCCTGGTTCATCCAGCCATTCAACACAGTCTCACGGCATTTCGTGTTATAGTCACGAAATTAATCTATTGATTCGTGTTCACCAACATGATTTCGCCATTTTTTTCGTGTCACACTGAACGATTTTAAAAGCAATGTAAATAATAACAAATTAGAAGGAAAAAGACATTTAAAAAAATACAGATTTAAGTATTCTGACACAGAACGATTTTAGAAGCAATGTATTTATATTGGTAGTATGTTTCGTGCCTGCACCAAATAATAACAAATTATAAAGAAAAAAAGATGACATAAAATACAGATTTCAGTATTCTGAGGCTCTGAGCCCCATTTCTTTTCCTCACTGACGGCAAAAAAACTCAGACATTATACAATTTAAAATAAAAGGGATAGGGTTAGGCTTAGGGTAAGATATTGAGTAAGAACATGTTTTTATGAACCACACAGCTTCTGGTCTTCCAAGACCCGACCGGACAAAAAGACGTGTTGCAGGCACGAAACATACTACCAATAGAAATACATTGCATTTAAAATCGTTCTGTGTGACACGAAAAAAATGTGAAAATCGTGTTGGTGAACACGAATCAATAGATTAAATTAATTTCGTGACTAATAACACGAAATGCCGTGAGACTGGGTTGAGCCATTACCATCAGTCTTCACCCAAAGATTCTCCATTAGCAGAGGTGGGAAGTAGTGGAGTACAAATACTTTGTTACTGTACTTAAGTACATTTTTTTGGTATCATTACTTTACTCCACTACTTATTTTTCTGACGACTTTTTACTTTTACTTCTTACATTTTGAACCCTAACACCTGTACTTTCTACTTCTTACATTTTCCAAACAGGCTGGTTACTTTAGTTTGAATGTGTGTTTGGTGGCGTGATCATTATTATTTAGAGTCATTGCGTGCCTATTGATTTGAACACGATCCGTGTATCCATCATTTCCTGGTCTTCTCTAAAGAAGAGGGACCAATGAAAACGTTGTCATGTTGCCGTTGTTCAGCATGGAAACATTCATTAGCTAACAATGACATTATTGTTCTATTAATATAAAGGGAGGTCAGGTACTCTTTAAAACAGCTGCTAGTTATGGGTACTTTTTACTTAAGTGCATTTCAAAGCCCATACTTCTTTACTTTTACTTGAGTAAAGAAGTTTAGTCAGCACTTTTACCAGAGTATTTTTAAACACGAGTCTCTATACTTCTACTTGAGTGTACTTTTGCCATCTCTATCCATTAGCAGTAGGCGATGTGTTGTGACAACGTGCATGTCTGTGTGTTTCCCCCGAGCCTCATGGTTACTGTGGCAATGTCGCAGCCTCTCCTGTGTCTAATTGCATCTTTGACCCCAGCTTGAAACCTAGCAACCTTGTTAGCCCTGTTTCCCCCTGGCAGCAGCAGAAGCAGGCGTGATGGCACTCACGCTGGCAGTGACCCCAGGAGCGGCGCGTCCACCCCCAGCAGCAGTCCACTCTGGCCCCGTACCGACACAGGCCACTGGACGAGGCCATCTGCCGCGGCCACCTGTGTGGGGATGACAGTATTAGTTCACAGCCAATTAAAATGTCTTGATGAAAAGCAGGTTGTGTTGTTTGGAAGGTTTCAAAGCAGATTCATGTTCCTGCTGTTCAAGGATTCAAGGCTTTAATTGTCATGTGTACATAGCTACAGTGTAGTTATGACAATGAAATGCTTAGGTCACAGGCTCCTCCAACAGTGCAACACAATAAAACAGATAAAATAGTGCAAGTAAATAAAATAAAATATAATATAATAGAAATAGTGCAGAATAGTCTATTTACAAGTAATTGGAATATTGATATATTTAAGATGCAAACAGATGAATGTTGCAAACAGCTGTAGAGAGAACATTTTGTTTTGTTTGGAAGGTCTCAAAGCAGACTCATGTTCCTGCTGTAGAGAGAACATTTCGTTTTCGCATAAATAAGAGTCTTTTTTTCTGATTTAAGAGTCTGACGATAATAAGTGTCACACATTTTTAAAGCCATAATTGATTATAAAGCCCTTAAAGGTAGGGTAGGTAAGCATGGAGAAACCAGCTCGAGTGCGCTAGAATTTGAAAGTACGTAACCGAAGACTTCCTTACAGAGCCCCTCCTCCAACACACACGAACGCGCACATGACCAATGAGGGCACAAGATAAGTTTGTGCACAGATGGAAAGCTGACAGGCAGGTAGGCCATCCAGTTATTTTAGCCGGGCCGGCTCAGATGATTGGTCGTGCTTTTTACAGTACTACGGCTTCCACAGATGAAATACTTGTATATATTTATTGTCAAAGCATTTAATGTATTCATTGCTATCGGGATGTTAAGAGCATTCCATGGAATATAACAAAAAGTGTTTCTGAAGTGAATTACCTACCCCACCTTTAAGCAAATGTGTGTTTGGGTCACATTTCATTATATGATAACACCTAGTCTTTGTCAATGTTTTAAAATATTTAATATCTCTTCGATGGCAGCAAAAAAACTACAATGATGTCGAATGTACTGTACTTCTGATGTGAGCAATAATTAAAATGTCTTGAAGCAGGGCTCTTTCAGAGTTGTTTGGAAGGTTTCAAAGCAGATTCATGTTCCTGCTGTAGAGAGAACATTTAGTTTTCGTATTAATAAGAGTCTTTTTTTCTGATTTAAGGGTCTGAGGATAGTAAGTGTCGCACATTTTATAGATTACAAAGCCCTGAGGCAAATGTGTGTTTGGGTTACATTTCATTATATGATAAAACCTCATCTTTGTCAATGTTTTAACATATTTAGTATCTCTTCAATAGCAGCAAAATTAGGTCAAATGTACTGTACTTCTGTTGTAAGCAAGAATGAAGATGTCTTGGTTAAAAGCAGGGCTCTTTCAATGTTGTTTGGAAGGAGACTTCAAAGAGTTCAAATCATTTATTCAATGTTCCTGCTGTAGAGAGAACAAACTCTATTACGCTTTTTCATCTTTTTCCTGTTCCTAAGGAAAAATGTGTCACATGATTTACCGATGGTAACGCCCTTTGAGGGAAAAATGTGTCATTTATGATTGTGAGTTACATACAGACTAAATCTAATCTGTGTCAAAAAAATGTCTAAATACATAATATCTCTTCAATAGCAATGAATAGCCAAAAGTCACATATAATGTTCTTTAGTTGTAAGTAAGAATTATAAATGTCTCAATGAAAAGCAGGGGTCTTTCAATCCTGGAGGAAGGCTTTGAAGCCGATTCATTTCATTTTCCTGCGAGAACAGACCATTATGGTTTCTTTTCTTTTTGTGTCTGAATCTTGAGTTTAGGGATAGAAGGTGTCACATGTTGAACAGACTGCATAGTCAATAGGCAATTCAGTTTTTTTGTGATTTCGGGTTACATAAAAATAAAACAGACACAATCTAATATGTGTCAATGTTCCTTTAAGATGTCTTCAATAGCAATAAAGATAAAAAATACTGTCACACATCAGTAAAATATTGAAAAATGACTATAACACTCTCCGAGATCCCAAGGTGACTTATTCAGATGTCTTTTTATTCAAAAGGAAACAGATATTCAGTTTACTATCATATAAGAAAGAACAGAAACAAATGGTCACACATAAAAGGATTGGACCAGGACATATATGCTTGAAAACTGAATAAAATATAAAACTAAATTGTTGGCTGGCTGTCATCTCACTGCTTCCCTTTAGCAGATTTCCTCTGCAGAATGGGAAATATAACTGATAGCACGTCAGATTGTGTTGGTTTGTGCGATGTCAAACTGGAGACCCTTGTTGAAAGCATGCCAGACCCGATTTGAATTCAGCCTTCAACGAGTATCAGTGCACCGCTGACACTTACATCTGAGAAGACCACATTACTGTTGCGTTCATCATAAGGCTTATGAAACAGAATACAAGCTATGTGCCGCCTGATGCCCTTGAAAAGATCCAGCAGCCTCGGTTTCCTATCTCCATCTATTATAGTAACATGTGATTAGAGCATGTGTCACTTCGCTATATGTGTTTTATCAGGCAATTTCATGACAAGATAATATCATTCCTGCTACAGGGAGAACATGCAGGTGTAAGTGTTTGTAGAAATATATGTTATTTTCCAAAGCACTGCAATTCCTCCTAGACAAATTACAGCCGGATGTTTTTGTTACACCATGTCCTATTCTGCTCAGAGCAAGAAATAGCTTCTTGGCAGACCGTGCATGTGGATTACCTTTTCATCTGTAGCAAGGCTCACCACATATTTATGGAGAGAATAGGGCAAAGGAATGAGTCCATTTAAGGAAACTGATGAAATTCAAAGCAGCCTGTTTTTAGAGGCTGGCTCTGAGGAGATGGTATCTACAATCTAGAGAATAGTGAATACATCAGAGGCATGTAGATCATTGAATACGTTGGATATTTAAAGGTCACCTATTATGCAAAATCCACTTTTTCACGTCTTTTCTACATCAACATGTGTCCCCTTTGTGTAAAGAGATTCTGAAAGTTTCAGGAAAAAAGATTCTCTCTCTTTTTGTCCTGATCCATTTATATAAAAACCTGTCTGAAAATGAGCTGATCAGATTTTGGCCACTTCATGATGTCATAACGATTTTTTGGCTTGTGTAACCATTAGCCAATCACCAACCAAGGTAACACCCCCCCACCTTATCACCTGAATCTCCTCCTAGAGCACCATTGTGTTCTTTTTAACCAAATATCTCTCAGAGGGGCGTGGGGAGGGGCTCCTTATTTTCATCTAAAGTAACAGACAGAGAATCAGCACTTTTGAAACAGGGCTGAAACAGAGGGGATTATGGGATGCTGCAATGATCTGTTTGGTGTTTGGAGACAAACACTTCAGAGACATGTTTTGTATATATCTGAGACCTATAATATATTGATGAAAAACAGTATAATAGGGGACATTTAAAAGGACCTAACCAGACAATGCAGGAAAGTATGAGTAACAATGTGATCCAAAACAAAATAAATTATCTTGATTTACTTCCTTTGCCCAGGATATTCTTTATTTAGTGATAGTGAGGTTGGTGTTCAGTATTCATGGCACATTCTTTGCCACTATCCCTGCGTGTTAGTGTCTCTGTGCCAAGATGAGGAAATGCTAATGCTTGCCCCTGCTGCCAATCACCTCATTGGAAAAAACCTCCTGATGGATACTAAGTGAGAGTGGCAGATCCAGGGAAAATGTTTTTCTGCACCCTGGAAAGCAGACAGGGAGGGAACAACTCCAACATAGTATGGGAGAGGAGAAGTACGGAAGAGAATACGGAGCGAGGGGAGACAAAGGAAAACAAAAAAAGGATATTAAAGAGAATTAAAGGAAACAAAAAGGGAGATTAAGGAGAGGAAAGGAAATGAAAAAGAAACTAAAGGAGAGGGAAAGGTCTGGACAGCAGCCATATTAAGATGCCACTATCTTTGCAAGTGACATGCAGCCACCCACACACACGCCAACCCACCCACCCACCCACACCCACACACACACACACACACACACACACACACAACACACACACACACACACACACACACACACACACACACACACACACACACACACACACACACACACACACACACACACACACACACACACACACACGGCAGCTGCTGTCCCTCCATACTGTAAATGTGTAACATACAACAGGACTATCCCTGACTCTGGCAAACTTCACATCATTTCAAGGATGGTGGCACTTAAAAAACAAAAACACTGCCCACCCCCTGCTTCTGACGTTCGTGTACACATGCCGTTTTAAATGTATTCCTCAGTCTCCATAAGGTAATTATCATTATAGAATATGGAGGCATAATGTAGAAAGAGTTTATGCCTCTATGGCTGCACCTGGCTCTTTATTACCTCATTTCCTTTGCAGTTATATGATAATATCAAGTTATGATTGCACTAGATGACTCCCAGTATAGCAGAAATCGTATAAAGGCTATATGAAGCTGAAGCTAATTGGCTGCATATCTTTGTAAATAAACAACATCTGGCAATCAACACTGTTTCACAAAAGGCTCTGTTGTGTTGAATATATATTTTTGAATTACAGAGCTCCATCAAAATGTGAAAAGCAGTCAAGCGTCCAGGTTTTGTCTTCTTTACACAATCTTTGTACCGTAATGATCTTAACTAAATAAGTGCTTACCACAGCACTAATCTTGTTTCTTGATCTTTTAATCTAGGATTGATTTTGTTTTCATTTTGCAACGTCGAAAACAAATCAGCAGATTCTCTCTTCCTCCTCTCCAGAAGTTTCTTTGAAACAGTGTTGATTGCCAGATGGTATTCAGTGAGCTGATACAGAGATATGCAGCCAATTAGCTTCGACTTCACATCAAAGCAAATCTAGTCGCCTTGTGTGACTTTGCTACTTGAAAGTTATGTGATGGAAATGTCCTCATTATTTTTATTTCATTGTATTCGAGTGAAGAGCCAAAAATGTGTTTTCTATGGCTCAAATGTGAATATGTGTCCTCTATGAGACTACATTAAATAGATGTATTGTTTGGACTGTTGCTTTAACAAATCAAGTAATTTGTGAATGTCAACACAAGCTCTGGGAAACTGTGACTCTTCTGACATTTAGAAAAACTAAAATCATAAATCACACAAGTGAAAAACAGGTTGATACATTTTGAAAACAACCATGCATGGCAGGCAGCCTTCATATTTTTGATTGTATATTAAAAGGAGATCAAGCTCAATGAAATGTAAAACCATCATCATATTGGAATTAGGGCTGTCAGTCGATTAAAATATTTAATCGCATGATGTCCATAGTTAATCGCAAATTAATCGCACATTTTATATCCCAGTGGATTGTGGGTGAAAAAGGTGTCTGAGATTAGCTTGAAGCTGAAAGAGCGATAAGGAGACAAGAATATCAAGAGATGCAAAAAAGGTCCTACATTACTGAATCAAATACTTCACTCAAATGCTTTCTCCTACACACTCCCATATTAACACACACACACACTGAAGTGAATATGGAATCCCAGTGCTGTCTCTATGCTGAGTTCAGCCAGAGGCATTGTAACATGCTCTGAACTTGAACTGAGAATGTAATACAATGCAACAGCTCACCCATTCATACCACTGCAGCAAATGTCAAACACACATTTTCTCAGAACATTTTAGAACAAAATTGCGATGAATCACAAAAAAATCGAATTGAACAGATAAGAAAAGCGTTCTTTCAGATACATTTTGTCGCCAGTGATATTTTCCTGAGCCGAAAGCTGGCATATCAAATGGACTTGAGCATAATACCTGTATTTATTATCTTAGAGCTCTGAATAATGATCCTCAAATTACACTAAGCCTTGAAGGAACTGAAGCAGATAATTATTACCCTTCACACATGCCGTGTGACACCTCTTCTCAAACTCACACTGTCTGACAAGGTTCTTCCAGGAGAACCTGAGAGGGTGATTCTCATTTCCATCCTTCGTCCATTGTTTTACTAATGGATACAGAGCAGTGAAGAGCAGTCAGTCCATCGCTCGGAGCAGCAGTGTGATAATCAGGACCATGAAGGTGTATCATTTAATCTATCCATCTAATCCATCCATGAATTCATGCCAAAGCATTGCAAAGCGTGACTGTTGAATGGATTCCTCTCACAAACACCCACAGATGTTGATTGCTGCATTTGTAACACCCGGGTGTGAAAGACCTGCTCGGACCTGCCAGAGTTTGTGGAGTCAGAAGGTGTCTGGCGTCTTAATGAAGCTCGCGCTGCCAGACCTGCAGCAGACTGCCAATTCTATCGCGTCAACACACATCACCATGTGGGATGTTGACAAATATCTGAGGTAACGATTTAAAGGGAGAAATAACCCGTTCAAAAATGTGTTTCTGTACAAAGGAGAAAAAGTGGAAGGTGTTCACAGAGTGGCCGGTAATATAAAAGACCTTTATGATGTAATGCAATGAAACACAGTTGTCGTGCATTAACAGCTTTTCTTTGGAGACAGCTGTGAAGTTGGAATAGGCGTTTTGAACTCAATTATGTGGCACTTATCAGTCTGTGTGCACTTTAAAAGAGACCTTTTTTGACAGATGTCCACCTCCTTCTCATCGGAGAGAAATGTTGAAACTTCCAACGATATTCTGAAATGCAATATATAGCTTTTTTCTTTATTTTTTTCTACATTATGTTAGATTGTTTTGGCAGACCTTTTTTCTTAGTGATTTACGATAAGTGCATTCAACCTTTGAAAGATAAAGAGGAGGGTCTTGTCAACATTTTTAAGTGCACTCTTTCCAAACCAATGGCTAAAAGCATGTTCAGTGCTGCAATACAAGTAATTACAGGATGTTTTCTCGTAAATTGAATAAAACGTTTGCTTTGTCTGGATGTAGCCTGAAAAGGTTTTGTGAGAAGAAAGAGGGACAGTGACTCGGATTCAACACCAACGATTTCAGCATACAAAGAAATGTCCTCAGAATCAACGCTGGCAAAGAGGTAAACACAGTATTCAGGACTGTAAAATTGCATTACAATTTACACATGTCTGGGATAGCTAGGCAGGCAACAAGCCACTTAACCCTCCTGAAGTTTTTTTTAATAATAAGGACTGAGCAATATGTAAATGTTAATTGGTATAGTGAAATTAAACAAAGTACTTCACATGAAATGACTAAAAGTACACTGTCATGGGTACAAATGGTAGTAGGTTTCCTTGTTCATGTTGCACTTCTTTTTAATATAACGTTAGGTGTCTTAATTGATATCCACTTATTCCCAAACAGTCCTATTTGATGAGTTCAATTGAAAACATAGCAGAGGGGAAAGAAGTTGAATTGATGTTTTCTATCGGGGCCTGAGAAAGTTGTTTTGTGAGGTACATCCCTTAAGACAAAACTGAAGCATCAGTCATCAGAGTCTGACGTCACGTATTGTTCACTGTCAGAAAAACATATGGCAAGGTTACGCTTGAAATCTCCTCCATGGCTCATAAGAAAGATGTCGGCACATTCATCATTAATTCCCCACTCACATTCGCTATAGATGATGAACAAAGAGAACACTATAAATGTATTGTGTTCTTCTTCTTACTGCCTGTTAAACAACCCATAAAATGTGCTTTGACACTATTTCCGCACTCATTCTCAACCCCTGAAAGCCCAAATGTGGGGCTGATAGTACAAGGCCAACATTAACCTGGCACAAGTCCACGGCTTCAGATTATTACTGAGGAGGTCTGGTATGTGCTGCTTGGCTGCAAAGGCCTTAACAACGTAACGACTTCACTAGAGAAGAATATCTTTACTGTATGTGTTGCAGTTGATTTAAGCTTCTTTGTAATATGACATTTATTGGCTGTTTGAAACCGTAGCTGGAATGAAGATGGTAACAATAACAGCGCAATGTTTTAGCAACAGATTTGCAGGTAAGCATATTATGTGCAGCCATGAGAGAACAAAATGATCTCGGCAATGATGGCCGTGAAGGACCCTTCAGGATTGGATGGATAAGCCTGTTAGGAGCGCTCTCTAAAAGGCAATAAGGGAGAGACCAGGTAATAAATGTTTTTTTCGCTTCTGCTCAGTCTCTGGGGATATTTTCTCAATGAATTCATATCGAGGCGGAGGCTCAGGCCCGGGCAAGTTTATCCCCATAGAAATTGGCAAATTATGACCGTGGTGACAAGCCACTCCATCAGCAGGGATGTTAATAATGTACAATATGCTGCTGTTAGGTTAAAGCAAATGATCATTACACAAAGGCAATGCGTGAAATAAAAGTCAAAGCCCTGCACATCTCAGCTCATCTCAGCCTTTCACACAGACATTATCCAAGGTTAGGGAAGAAAATAAGTCCTAATTAACAAATCATATTGTGTGCTTTCAAATGCTCAACTCTAGTTCTCTGTTATATTTCTGCCCTCTCCTTGATTCCCTCTCCCACTTCTTGCTGAAACCTTTGAAATCAAAAACGTTCCTTCTGAACTGCTTTTGAACACGGCAGCAGAAAAGTGAACTGAAAGAAGAAAAAAGGGAAGAAACCTCCAGATGTCAAAATCTATCATCAAGCAGGTGGAATAGCAGATAGTCTTGAAAGAGCTTTTTGAAATGTGTGCACACGATTTAAATAACAATTACCTCCAATCATTTTCAAAAGGGTTTCATTCATTTGAAGAAATGTAAAGCATGAGAGCTGATACTGCTTTGGTGCTGAGCCTCCTGACAGAGATACATGAGGGAAATAATAAAGTACAACACTTGGCTGCATCACTGTTAGACATTTGGCAGTAGGACTATTTGTGTAACTTTCTCATTGTTTAGATGGTCCTCAGTCCAACTTTATTCTGAGCTCTAGAAATCCATGTAAACATGAAACACAATGGATCACAGTTTCGATTCTACACATACTTTATCTGTAAACACAAACTTAACACATAGTCTCATCAGCATCCTGCCAAAAACCACAAATGGTGCAATTACTTTCCCACAAACTATTTATAAAGATGCCATAACATACTTGTTTCCAAGGGAATGAGCCGGGGTTATACCTAGATAACAACTTGGTTTTATGATGCAGGATGTAAAAAAACAAAAAAGCATCCATCATGTTAATTAACTCAGATGAAGAGCACCTATAGGCAGATGGAAATCTCGGACACGTGCATTCTTCGGGGTCTGGCGCGTCTCCACACCTCTGCCTTCACATACTTCATCAGATTCGTGTTTGAACATGAAGCGCCGGGCAACGTGCTGTCACATCACTTAATAATCAGCCTGATGTCTGCACAAGACAAGAGCCGCGCGGTGGGATTTTGGCACATGGAAACACTGCTTCACTCATAACAGAGTATCTGATCCCGGGCGCAGAAACAACCGGTTTGGATGCACTTGGATTATTGTAAAATAAAAGTTAAATTGATTCGCCACGAAACAACATTCATACAATCTCAGTTTTTACGCACATCATTTCCCAGGAGCAACATGTTTTAACTCACATCTAAATTAAGCTCCCCAGTTTGGAGATCTTAAAATAATTGTGTGTACAAGCACTGGCATGGTCTATCTTTAGCCAAATGCGCAGTTTTTGCAGAAACAGCCTATACAAGGATTGAACTGTGATGTAAACTCTTAATCAAAATCAATGTTATCTCACTAAACAATCGGCTTCCGCAGAACAATGTGAACCATGTGCCCTTACCTGCCATCAAAGTCTGCACTTGCTCCAAAGCAGCAGCTGCACAACAACACCAACTTTATCCATAAATCCATGATTTCAGCTGCTCCGCGCCCACGCTGCTTGTTATCCTCCGTAATCCAAAATCACCGGGTCTAGGAAGCCGCGGAGGAAACAATTAAGACGAAGAAACGGCGGAGTTTCCGTGACGCACGCTGAAGGCGCACAGGTAGGAAATGACTGCGGACGTTCTTCCCTCTTCATGTGTGCGATATGCAGGAGGAGTGGAAAGCAGTCCGCCGCCTGGAAGTGGAGTGACCCCGGTGTGTGTGTGTGTGTGTGTGTGTGTGTGTGTGTGTGTGTGTGTGTGTGTGTGTGTATATATATGTGTGTGTGGAGCACTCTGTCGGGAGGAAAGCGCACAGCTCCCTCTCTCTCTCCTCACAAGTTCAGTTCGCGGGCACTTCAACCAACAGCACCCACTGCAGTCAGTCCCCCGTCTTTTAAATAGCCAGCGGTCAAAACACAGCGAAGATCGAGCCCAATGCTCCTCACATGTAAAGTCATGACCTGCAGCCACAGAGGAGAGGAAGAGGCTCCAGATGCAGTAGCTCGGAGCCGCGCATGCTTTCATTAATTGCGCAGCCTGCTGAGGCACGCAGGTGCATCGCCCGCCCAGGTAGATGTTGTTGCTCACACAGTAAAGAAGACAATGCAGTGGAAATTACTGGGGGGTGATTTGGGAGAGGGACAAAAACATAAGCAGCACAAAATGCAAAATGAGTGGTTTGACACTGTTTCAGGGTATTGGATAAATAGAGAAGGCTTTTGTTGAACTTGGACCTGTAATTATTGTAAATAAAAACACCAGGGATGTGACTTCTGATTGAAATATTGTTTTGGCATAATGAATCCAGATAAAGAGAGAATCTGTTTTGCGTCACATGGTTAATTCTTTGCGTAACTGTAAAAAAAGAGAAGAGGGAAGAGGTGAAATGTGCTTTTCCTGCATGCATTTTCCCAGCATACTTTGCACAACATCTTGAACATTGCATGCACCCTATATGAAATAGCTTGGCCTTTAATATTCTCATTATTCAACAGAAGGTTAATTATGCTGTTTAGGATAATTATCTGCTGCCTGACTCAAAGGCAGTACTTCATATTCAAAAGCTGGTGAATTGCACTTCCCGTCTGGGGGCAGAAAGGTCTTCCTCATTTTCTGACTTCTGCCTCGAGAAACCGAGAAGTCAGTCAATAAAATAATCTCCAGTAAGGACTCATTGAAATGGAAGGGGAGGGGGCAGCATGGAGAAATGACAGGGTTACTGAACGCCATTATTTTCAGCAATGGCGCAGGAGATGGATGAGATGAAGGTTTGCTGTGATTACTGCTGGTTGTTCACAGTCACCGCAGCCTTTTGATGCATGGCACTGCTGCCTTGTTACGCCCTGTCACCGATCTGATAATAAATCTATACGGTGGCACAGAGGTTTTACATCTCCAGAAGCATGAGAATGGAGAAATGCCAGTTGCGTATAATTACACTATTAATCATATTATGTTCATGACTGTAATGTAAGAGTGTAATACTGTGATGATTTATTACATTTGAAAACTTATGGGGTATGCAGATGCTCAGAATAATGCCTTAATACCAATATTGTTGGTATGTTGTGGACATTTTGCAAGGTGAGTTCACCTAAAAAAAATCATATTGTCTCCAGAGTGGTACTGCCATGCAAAGCTTCAAAGTGTGGACTCCAATACAAAGTTATTTTATGATAAAGTTGAATTTAGAAGCAGTTTTTTTGTATTCTATGTTTTTAGACCCACATTTTTAATATGGTCTTTTATTATAGGCCACACAACCTCCAATTCTGGCTGCTGAATTGCATGCATATACTTTTACACTTGCTGTGAACTGTGGACTCTTTGTTAGAATGAAATTAAGTCATTGGAAGAAAACATTGATGTACCTTTTCAAAAACATGAATGGGGCGGGGGAAAGAAATGGCATCCTGTGTAGCACTGGAATGACTCACTTACAGCTAAAGGAAGGAAAGCACAGTTGGTATCCCTTACTCACCTTTCTTCAACACCATACGAACCCCCGTTGAAATTGTTGAAACGCTAACTGCTTTTTCAATTTTGATTTGCTCCCTAGTCTTGTTACTGGATGTTTTATTTATTTTTTATTTTTTTGTAAATCAAGTGTGTTGAGCAAGTGGAACTTTTATCTATTATACATGAACCACTGACTAATTTGTCTCATTTAATTATTGTCACCATCTGTATGTTTAGATGTCAGTATTTGTGGACAATATGTAAAACAATTATTGGAAGAAGCACCAATTATTGAAAAACCAAACATGATATTAATGTCTAAACTACCCTGGATCTTCCAGAAAAAGGCGGCCAATTGTGCGGTAAATAAAAAAATAAAAAGGTATTTTTGAGATTTGAATGAAGTCGCTTTTTAATGAACTCTGTTGGGAAAGTGAGTCCTTACATGAGATCAGACAATGCTACAGCAGACTAAAGTAAATAATTGCAAGAATAGGAAATAAGCAGGGGAATCCCAAACTGGGGATATATAAGGTGAAGGCAGAATTGATAAGTAGGGGGAGAAGCATCGGGGAATAGATTACTACATGATTAGGCTGAGCACAATAACAGAAGCTGAGTCCTGCATGAAAGAGGAAATGTGAGCTTAATTATTTGTTGTTATTCCAGAGTTCTATAATTATGCCCTATGTTGTTCATTAGGAAAAAATACAAGTGAAATGAAAAAAACACATCACTGGTGGTAAGGCATATTTAACAGCATATAAAACATGATATTTAAGATAATTGAAAGGGCAGCACAGGCTCCTTGTAACAATTAAACGTGGGCTTGTATATTTGATCAGTGCCTGTTAAAGTAACAAAAGACTACCGTTTGTCAAAAGAGAAATTCATACCAAGGGAGGAACCCTAAATATGGTGCGATGAACTGCTGCAGACGAACGGCCATAAATGCAGAGTAACGATGTGGAAAACCAAGACCAGATGTGTTTTTATCACAAGTAATAATTGGCGTTAATACAATAATGAAAGTGCCGTTATTTCCTATAGTTAAGATGTTCTGCTGCAAAACGGTTCAGTGAGGATCTGCTTTTGAAAACCTAAACGAACGACGACGAGTGAGTTTCCCAGAGAAGATTCCACATCAAAGTGTTAACCCAAGATTAATTTAAAGCTGATTATTAGCGCATACATTTAGACTACTGCAGATTAAATCTACTATGCATATAAATTGTGTTAAATCGCAGAATTTCCTCAAAAAAAGATTCAGCTACAGCTCACATATAGTCAACTTTTGATGTTAACGAGATTTACAAAACACAAATGCATCCAGTTCAATATGTGACTCTTCTCTGTACTTATTGAAAGGCTTCATGTGACTGATCAGTGGAGAGAAAACATTGAAATAAGCTCAGATATCTCGCCTATTTTGTCTACAGAGAGAATCTTGTTTAGTCGCCTTCCAGCGCCAAGTGTTTGGATTGAATCGACCCATTTCACACCTCAATATTCTCCCATCTTTCATGCAAGCTCGAGCCACCTATACTTTCTTTCCTCTTTTGTGCCTGTATGAATTTCTGTAATGTGCACTTGTGCAGAGCCACAAACACGAACAGGGAGTGAGACGACTCCTTTTGAAATAATTCCAGTCCTTGGAAGAAGCCGTGTCTGGCCATTCACCTCCAGATAGATTGAGTCCGCAGACTGAATTCAGATGAGCTCCACGCTGGAAAAGCCTGCGCCTCTGTTCGCTTTCCTTCAGTGTGAGCAGGAAAACTGTCTCTCCTGCTACCTCCACTGATTCCTCAAGCAGCCACAATACACTGTCACAGAACACAGGAGTTTTCAGAGGAACAGATTAAACAGTTTTACCTCATGAATGAAAGCTTGAGGAAGTATAGTATGCATAAAGTATACTGGTTCAGCTTCTAGGCTCCGAACAGTGCGCATACAATCAAGAACACAGACCTTTTTTGCCGGCGTCATAAAATATTCATTCCTGTTCCACACATCTCTGCATGGATACCATATTCACATACATTTTTTATAAGGAATAATCAGTTTTCTGTAGTACAATGACAAATGCTTTATTTTACCTGTAGTGATACGAGATCAGTCCATTTCTCTCAATTTATTCGCCTTTCTGTCTGACACACACACACACACACACACACACACACACACACACACACACACACACACACACACACACACACACAACACACACAACACACACACACACACACACACACACACACACACATCACAACACACACACACACACACACACACACACACACACACACACACCCACACACACACACACACACACACACACACCCACCACCCCACACATCACACACACCACACACACACACACCACACACACCACACACCACACACCGGTAGATAATGGTAATTCTCTATCTGATCTTTAGGCGCAGATTACTTCATAGCACTGCATTTCTCCTGCTTGTGTTAAAGCCTGGCAGCATACTGTAGAGAGCAGACTGCTGAGTTTTAACACAGAAGGTGGTATACAGACTAAACAGCATGTTGAAAGTATGGCGGGTTTAATTCACAATGTGTGTGTGTGTAATTCCTGCTGCTTCTGTTTGCGTTGACAGCTTGATCACACGGTTTAGGCAAAGACACGAACGTTGATGAAAGAATGGAGCTCTCACCACTACAAAGCGTCCAGCAATTTAGCATTTAACAAGGGAGAGGAGCAGTTGTCAAACAGCTCTCTGTTTCATCGCTTTAAAAAAAACACAAAATGATTGCTTTAAGTCAGAGGAAGATTTTAAAAGTAGTAACTTTTGGTAGTCCAGGTGTAATGAGAAATAACTTCCTTTATTTTCCAAGTCTGTTTCTCACAAAAATGGCTTGTAAAAAATAAGTTAAGATAAAATCAAGAGTGTGGATAAAAACATAGTGGTACTCTGAGTGAGCACACAGCCAGGAGCCACGGTACTTAATTAAACCCTGACCGAGCTGAACTGAAGACTCCGAGCTGCTCGCAGTCCTAATTATGCAGCGCTGCTTCCTGTTGGCCAGCATCGACTTCCTGTCCACTCTTGTGCGGAGGCTTTCCCAGCAGCATGTTGTTCTTTGGGGAACAGCTATCAGGCTCCATAGTCATCACCTGCAACGAGTACCCATGAGCCTCTGCTGCCCAGGAGCGGTCCAAGTCCACGAGGCCCATGCACTGCTTTCCTGCAACGGTAAAAAAAAAAGGTAGTTTTAATCATTGTAAGGGACATTGTTAGAATCGAGTCCACACTTATATTTTAAATAGGCAAACATGAACCTTATGAAGGACTAAAACACAAAAAACTGAATGACATGACTTTATGTTTATTGGTATAAAAACTTTCTTGATTTCATACAGCCTTACAGTTTTGTGTTGTTTTCCTTTATTTTAAATCGTATTTATTGTTTAGGACAGTAAAATAAAATGCAACAGATCCCACAGTCTTAGCCACAAAGACAACGTTTTCACCAGACGTGCCGCGTTACGGCTCAGAAGCGTCCCAGAAGCGTCTCGGCGATGGGCTCCGCTAAAAATAGGCGGCTGGTCTATTTTCGACGTGTCGCGAGGCGTTGCATAGCGCCGGCAGGAAGTGGACCGGTCAGAGCATCCAGTCAATCCCCAAAATAAACTAATTTTACAGACCCTATCCCTCCGTAGTTTTTCAAGTAGGAGGAGAAATGCCAGCGTTCTCCTCCGGTTTACAGGCACTGTGTACATTATATATATAGAATAATTACGATGATGAATGCATTTTTTTACCACTAAAATACAGCAAAACATCTTTGATTCATGTCGTTTGTAACTGGAATATTACAATTATTATTAACTTTGTCTGTATGAAGTAGCCTGTCCAGGAAATATGCCCAAATCAACAAAAACTGCGAGCCGACACGCAAGACGCTCCGCTTCTGAAACGCGCCCGGTAGGGTTTGACGCTGTAGGACAGGGGTGTCAAACTCAAGGCCCGGGGGCCAAATCCGGCCCGCGACTTCATTCCATGTGGCCCGCCAGAGCTTGCAAAGAATATAATATGTTTATTATACGGTTACATGCCACTTTACAGAGGCACGTTGCCCATACACTACATGTCCCACAATGCATCTCGTTTTGTGACATGCGCACTGAAGAGACTTGCAATTATTTGCCCTGGACTTCTGCTTTCAGACGTAGTTAATTACGAAGTTATTACCCCATCCGATAATAATCTAATTCAGAGGCAATAATGTAATATAATACATTATATATATTATTTATTTATATAGTTACAACCGGCCCTTTGAGTGCAGCCATAATGTTAATGTGGCCCGCGATGAAAAAATATAAAACACAAGTCTCTCCATTTTAAGACATTTTAGTGAGTAAACCTTTTAGAAGCATTCATTATAGTGCTACTGTATTATTGTAGGTATTCCTGTATGTTCTTAAGATTGCCCCTACAGAACATTCTCTATTATCAACATTTTCTCACTGATTATCACACTTGTCTCTCAGTATTTCCTTTAGACAGACTTCAATTGTGTTTGCCACCTGTTACACCAGTGCCTGACAGTAAATGTGAGCTTTGGTCTGCCATGCTGCTCACAGTCACACTGGTATGCTCTGGAGAAATTGGATCAAACATGGTGAGAAAATGTTGGGAGAGGTTGGGCCCTGTTAGCTGGTATAAAGCAGAAACGCCGTGACAGGTGGTGTCAGGTACGTATGAAAGAGCTTCAGACTGACGAGGCATCTGGGAGCCTCCTCAGATTCAGAGGGGAAGCTTTGATAAGCTGGAGAACGATCAGGCAGAGAATGTTCTCCACATAATGAAATACTGTACAGTGGAGCTCCAGCACAGGCCTGAAGGTCTGACAAAATACTTTGAATCCGACATCGTATACTGTAGCAGCTGTTCACCGCAGCTGTTTCGTCACACTGAACAAATCCAGCATTGACATTTTTGACACTTCTCAAACGTCTAGACCGTTTGTAAGAGTAGAGAAGAAGCTCACACTGTAACAACAAATCTTAAAAACAAAACATCAGCATGTACCAAGTTACAGGGTTCATACACTTTTTCACCAATGACTTCTCCATGACCTTTACCTAATTTTCCATGACCAAAAAAATTACTCTTTCTCAGCGGTACCACTGAAAATGGTTTATTTTAACATGGAACAGGAAAATAAGGTCTGCATATGAAACATGTTGTGCCTATCTAAAACAAATCCAATAGTAGGCTTAATAGCTTCTACACGCTAAAGCAACTAAAATCTCTCACCAGCAAAATACCTCGTCAGTTAAATGCCATTTTACGTTTCATTACTATACGATACAGTATTTATTATCATTATAATATTACTATTTTGGCAATTAGATAAAATATAAATTATATTTGATGCAACTTTAGTTACATTTCCATGACTTTTCCAAAACTTTGGGAAAAATATTGTTTTCCATAACTTTTCCAGGGCCTGGAATCAGCATTTTCAATTTCCATGACTTTTCCAGGTTTTTAATGACCGTAAGAACCCTGAAGTTAACGGTTTAGGGTTTTTTGGTTGTTTTTTTGCCATGCTGGTGTCCATCACGCCGAACTATATAATAAACAAAGACTAACTTTAGGTGTGATTGTTTGATTTGACTTTAAACAATGAAATTAAGCATTTAAATGTACATTTTCAACACAGCAGCCAAAGAAGAATGCATCTGTAAAGAGTATCCATGTCTATTGTCAGCATTATGGAAAGGTCAATCCATTCAAATCATGTCTATTTGTCACATACACATCACAGATACAGAGTACAACGTGTACTGCAATTCTTTTGTAGCATAGCTTGAGAAAAATAAATAGTATGGAAGAGTAAAAGAGTGTAAACCGTACCTACGAGTCTCCTCTCAGGATGGAGCTGGACAGCAGTTTGGTCTGCGAAGCGACAGAGGATCATGTGTTCCTGAAACAAGAAGAAACGTTAGTTCAAGAACTGTTTATTAATTAATTCTACCACAATAGCTTTGGATGGTATCTGTCAAGTCGCTCTGCCATGGAGATAACCAGCAATTGGATCGAGCAGCAATTTGTAACCAATACAACCGAGATAAGCCATATACAGTGAAACGAACAGGGTTATACATGCACATGCACACAAGAATGCATGTTTTTTTTCCATCTAGTCATCTTAGCAGCTTATCCTGTGGAGCTGAGAGGTAAGTCTTCAGCAGATTACTAGTCCATCACATGACCTTCAAATTCCATGTAAGAACTCACACCTAAAGTATTTGAAACCAAACTATGGTCCAGACAAGTCCTTGGGTGAATTGCAATAATATTTTGTACAGACATTCATACTCTATAAAGGATGACTTTTTTGATCCCTTAACTTTTCCTCCAGAGAATCCTGATTTTTAAGCTTTTTAAGCAATTTCAAAATATAACAACATATCTGAATATAATACAAATACATTTGTTTTGGTGACCAAATCAAATATTTTTGTTTTTTTCACCCATTCTCATTCCAAGGTTTGCATTTCCAATTCGGTTTATGATCTGCAACTAATGGCTGTGGTTTTTTGTTTTAGTGCTAATTAGCTAACTTTATTATGGCAATAGGCTAAACTTAAAAGGTGAACCTGGCGAACATTACAGCATATTACATCAGCATTTTAGCATTGTCACTGTGAGAATGATAGCATGCTGATATTAGCATACAGCTGCACAGAGACACTAGCATGAATGCAGACTCTCAGCCTTGTTTTAGTGCGTTGTCTCTCCAGATTGATTTCCCTCTATTGTGTGCATCATTTGTAAACAAGCCGACTAGTTGTAGGACGTGAAAGTGATCAAGAAGGAAACCAAAACAGGAACGATTTCCATGCTTGTTAACCACATTGTAAACTTCTAAGATTCTTAGACAAGAAACATCCCTGTAAAGTTTCCGAAAAGGCCAGATCAACTTGTGTTTTAGTTTCAAACAGAAGGAAAAATGTTTCTGTCCTGTTTTTAGCTCGCCATGGTTTGTTCAGTTCATGGACAAAGAGTATCGGGTGAGCGCTTCATCAGTTCTACCTCGCGTCTACATTAATTGATTTGATTTCTCACTCCACAGGGTCGATGCTGAACGCAAGGCCACGGTATAGGTGCTTAAAGTTAGCTCTCAGCACCAATATCGCACACCATTAGCCCTTTGTTCCAGCGATACACCATTCGTCATTGTGCTGTCATTCTGTTTAACAACTTTTGTTCAGGAAGGACAACTATGGTTCTGCTTTAAAACAAAGTAATGCTGCTTTTATTTCTGCGAGTGTCGGCTGAGGGTTCAGTAGCATAGACAGGAAACAGTGGGGTCCTGGACACTCAGCCTGAATGAATAGCAAATACCAAACATGGTTGTTGGAAGCAAAACCATGAGGAGAGGCAGGGGAGATTTACAGCTCAGGTTTAAAGTGGCAGATAATGTGTCTGCCGGTTTAAATAGCATATACTGATTTCTCCTGCTGTGTGATGGGCTACGTACATGTTAAGCTTGTAATTTCCAGACCGAAAATATGGCAATTCTGGTTTATTTAGCTCACTGTGCTTTTGGAGAAAGGGTGAAAACAAGTCAAAACAATTTCCCACCGTCTTGTAAATAACATATCATTTGCTGTCCCTCTCAAGCCACGTCTGTCAAAGTCTGTTTCTTCTAGTGCACAACAGAAAAGGAGTTAAAGGTGGTCCAATGTTGTGACATGTCGGCTCTTGAGGTTTCCATGGACCTGCAGCAACTTCTGCAGAGATTCTCCCCGGGGGCTCTGACAGGTCCCATACATCATCGTGGGACGGGCCAGAGTACAGTGTGGTGTCTGTGCTGAGCGATAAGGGGCTGAGAGACTGAACTGCCTGTAGTATCTTTGTGGCTAAGATGATCTAATGCATTTTATTTTTACTGTGCTTAACAATACATATGATCAAATAAATGAAAAACTACACAAAACAGTAAGGCTGTATGAAAACAAGAACGTTTTAATACCTATAAATATGAAGTCGTGTCATTCAGTGTTTAGTGTTTTAGCTCTTGATAAGGTTCATGTTTGCCTATTTCAAACATGAGTGTAGACTCATTTCTAAATAGAGATGAACAAATCCCTTAATTAATACATTAAAAAAATGAGTTGTTATTCAATGTTTACATGTAAAGCGCCTGGAGGCACGTAGCTAACGGAAGCTAATGTTAGCATGCTAATATAAAGGGCCTGCTTCGCTAGACAAATGGAAGCAAAACATTTTGATATGTTTGCCCTGAGCCAAAACATGACAAAATGCTGGTTTGAACTGGAAAGATTTGAGATGAATACCTACAATTATTAAGGAAGTTAAGAACGTTATGCCCAAATGTAATAGTGGATTTACGGAACAGCTAATGGAGGCTAATTAAGGTACGTCTGAACATTTTTTCATGTGGTTTCTTTGTGTGCTGGGTGGTGACAATTGTGGTATGCCACATTTTACTGGGTAATTTCCCTCTGTTGTAGATATGTAAAACTATAACCTTTTAAAATAGTTTTCTGTGATTCCATTGTACTACTGAATTAATAAGCAATTAGCAACGAGAAAAACGCATCTCATTTTGTAGCTGACGACATAAGGCTGTTTTAAGGCAAGTCATGACCCAGGGAGAATCTCAAACACAATCCTTGTAAAAACCGAGTTGCTGTATTTGAGTATTCTGAACTTCACAGAGTGCAAAGTAATAATACATGCAATAGAGGGATAAAATGACATTTAAAAGCATACCTTAGAAGTCAGAGTCTCCTGGAACCTCTTGCTGTAAAAGGGAAAACAAATATTTGAACATCTTTGGGCAGTGATCAAACTGGGGGAGTAAAATGTGTTTATTACATTTATAAGTCGTATGTTTACTTGCTAAGCTCTAGGGTGTAGACTTTATTCTCTGTGGGAAATCACTTTCCACAAACAACATGCACTAACCTCTAAAACAAACCACTTTCTTTCTGGGAAGGAAAAATGAAATGAAAAAAGGGCTTTTGAAATGACATGGGAAAAGAGTTTGTTTGTTGGCAAGATGTAGTCACATAATCACCAAAGATAATTAAAAGTCAACATGAGGAGGGTCAGGGGTTAGGGGCCAGTCGGGTCACATGGAACGAAGTGTTCGGTTTAACTTGAACTGTTCAGGCGTTAATGAAACGGAGAGTTTAGTTTTACCGCTCATAAAAACCTGTGAACTGCCAGGAATGTGTACACCTGCACAGTATTCGCCTGAGTACCTGGAACATGACCTGAGGGTAAAACACTAAAAGTGGCAGGATGAAGATTGACACAGTCAGGTGCGTACTGTAGGCCCCTCACACACACACTGCACAACTGCCCTGCAGACACACAGCTTCTTATTGTCAATTACAGCTGCAAAGTCCTTTTTTTTTTAACATTCTTTAATATTTTATGAGGAGTCAGGAGGGGTGAAGTGTCAAGTTTGCAAAAAAAATGAGGAAAGGATAAGTAAGTATGTGAAAACTCTTAAATATGTGTACAGTACACTGAGCCCTCCTACAGGCACAATGGTCCCTGAAGAATATTAGAAAAACTGAATCATAGTAACAGTACACAGTTTGACCACTGTCAAAAAAAGTATTGGCAACCGTAACAAAAATATCTATGATTTATGCTAACTTATTTTAGAGGGGAGATTAGCCTAAACATTATAACTGAAACAAACTGGCACATTTGTTGGTGGTATTTTGGTGGAGATTCTGCAATAAACTAGTCAATAAGGTTATCCTTCTTTAATCATTTTGATTACAAGGTTAAGTCCAATCAGAATACTCGATTCTGATTGGTCAAATTTGACATTCCGGAAGGTTCATTCTCGCTAACAGACCGCTGCTTCGGATAACATGACCGTTGCTAAGGAGGATCAAGGGACTATTTGCAGTCATATCAATCCTCAGAATGAAGTCCGGTCGATTGAACCTCAGCTGTTTTTAAGCTTAAGGTATGGATTCAATGGTCTAACAATCCAATGTCATTGAGCTTTTAAGGTTCTTTGTATAGTTAAATGTAAATGTTGTGTAAATATTCCTTTTGCTAAATAATGCTAAATTGTTTCTAAAAATACTTACCTTATATACTTCTTTTTTTACCTACTATTGTAATTATTTTTCTTAGATTATGTATGTTCACACCACCAGATACCAAAGCAAATTCCTGTATGTGTAAACGTACCTGGCAATAAACTTGATTCTGACATGTTTTTAAAGACCTCATTACCCATGAAGGTATATTTTGTCGTATATAAACATTGTTCAATAGATGTATTATGCCAATTGGTTGTATGTATTTTGGACTGATGGTATGTTACTGTTGTTTGACCACCACATGTAAACAGAAACAGTAAAGCCCTCCTCCTCCTCCACTGTCACGTACCTCTCCCAACAGGCTTACCATGATTCCTTTCTGGCATATCACTGCTGCTGAGTGCCACATGAAACAGGCCACTACTGCTATACTCAAAACATCTACAGGGTTCAATTTGAGTGTATTACCTACCACACTTACAACTATTACAGCAGTACTTTAAATATTGAGAAAAAGAGGCATTTGTTGAGATTATCTGAGTACAACAGGCTGTTTGTGACTAAAGTTACAACCTGTGAAACCTTGCAGGAACTCAAATCAAATCCTGAGTAGTGGATGGAGAGATGAAGACAAGGGAAATGAAGAGAGAGCTGGATTTTACTTGGATTGACACTTGATAACTTGATTGTTAAATAATTATATGACCAATTTCTCAGCATTTCTTGATAAAAAAAAAAACATTTCTGGGAAGACTGATAGCTCAGTGGTTAGAGATGTTAGCCCATTATTGGTGTCTGTTGCCGCACAGTACGCGGAAAAAAATTCACGTCATCCCAAATATCTCCCACTTTCACCTCTGGATCTATAATAAAAAGGCACTTCTGCCCCAAAAATATCTTTAAAAAACTAACAGAAATCAAAAAGATTCCCCTAAGTTTAGGTGTCCCTACTCACATTTTAAATAATCATAAGAGAACAATAGGCAGCGACTAGATCAGAACACAAAATCTGTCAAAACACGATATTATTTTCCCAGACAAGAAACTTGGTGTAATTAGTCTAAAAGACAAAATCACAACTATAATCAGCTCAACAATTTAAATGGGTATCTCCATTTGAACATTCTTGTGATCAAAGTCTCCCAGTTGCTACAAAAAGCAATTCTTCACAGCAACATTTTGTTTTGAAGCCTGCATTGAGTGGTTTCAGCAGCATAATACCTTGTGATGACTCTGGAGCCATTACAGTGCCATTAGTCAACACAGCGCTGCTACAACAGCAGGATCAACACATTTAACTATTGCCTCTTGCTTTTCTGTCATTAGTTTTTTTCTAAACAACCTTCCTAAAACTGAAAATGAACTTCATTCTGTGTAACACTGCATGCGATGAAGTCATTTCCACCAGAGTTGCATTTCGTGTCTGTGCCTCCAACTGGCTTTTCTTTTCACTCTTTAATATCCAAGACAGCGTTGATACTGCTACTATAACGGGGGTTGAGATTGAAAAAGGATGAGGGGAGGATCTAGTTGGCGATATGACACCGTTGCCTGGTGCTGTCAGTGGTGGTGCTAAGAGACAGGAGGTGAACAAAAAAGCAATGACGAGAGTTATACGGATATTGTGTGTACGTGTGAGAGTGAGTTGGAGAATAAGTGTGAAAATGATGGAGAGCAAGAGCCCCTAAAGACAAAATAAATCACTAAGAGAGAAGGGAAGCATGGGAGCCAACAGAAGAAAACAACAAGGTCAGAAACAAACAGAAGAGTGCAAACCTCTTGGGAAATGAGAACTTGATTGCGTTCTGGATGAAGCCGTAGCAACATGGACTGATGACGAAGGCCGCTGCCGCCTTGATGCAATGCTCCATCACCATGTCCGTTGCAACGCCGCATGCATGGAGGGCAACCTGAAGTGAAATGGACAAAGAAACCAAACGTTTATCACGAGTAAATCCTAAGCTTTCCTAAAAAAAACCTCTTTGTCCTACAGCAAGGTAAAAACAGGAGAGCACTTGAGAGCATCCACTCAATCCCATTGATTACTTCATAATGGATGCTGCTATTAAATACATCTATACTCTCAGAGGTGCAGTCTGGGGTGTTAGAGCAAACAAAATATATTAGTGCTTCAGGGGCAGAGGCACGAATGCATCAGGATTCCCATTGAGTTGGTAAACAGTGCGTGGGGCTGCACACCTAGCTATGCATTAGTAATGGTGTGGTTATATATTAGATAGCAAAAAGAGACAATATTAAAGCCTGCATGCATTCCAGCCTGCAAAAACACATTATCATTCATTAGATGCAATGGATATAATATCCAAAGTATAGTGGAAAAACAGATGATTTCCTCCCAAGCGTGCATTAGCTAAATAGATTCTCTGCTAATGGGCCACATAAAATGAGTCATATACAGTCTGATGTGACAATAGCTGAACAGGCTCATTGAAATTAACCCCATCCAACTCGAGCAGCCGTCTTAAATTTCTATTCTTTGTCTTCCAAGAAGTTGTCACTTGGCGTCCGGGAGTCTGATTCCTACACGTTGCCTTGACAGCGGTGCCACAGAGCAGAAGTTAAAGCTCGGTCAGGACGGGGCTAAGCAGAGATTGGCAGCAGCTACAAAAGATTAGAGAAGATACAGATAGTCTAAACGTGGCCAAACACTCTCATAAAGTCACTGAAATGTCTGGGCCGGTGTGCATTTCTCAGACATGCTTAAGCGCTCCCTGGAAATTGGGAAGCTGTAGCAATCCTTCAGCTCACAAATACACAACAAGGTGCGTATTGAAAACATGGAATGCTTTTTATATGTCATTTCACAGTCTGAAGTAGACACCAAGTCTTCTCATCTGCGTTAACAGCTCCACAAGATGAGTTTGGTCTCTGAATGTTGATCATCAAAGAAGCATTTATTCCACTTCAGAAAGATGTGCACTGATTCGAAGATGAAGGTAAACAAGGAGAATCTGCTCATGAAAGATTTTACAAAAACTGGGAAATTGTTATCAATTACCTGCACGGCCGTGTATCTATTTGACACCTAATTTCATATTCTGCATATATTCACGGCATCAGGGAAAAGACAGGCTTGTGTTCTCTCAACAGCTTGTTTCTGACGGCTGATGAGGAGTCCCTATCAGAGATTGCATGATGTTACATCCTCTCACATCTAAAGAAAAAATAATTAACAAAGTAACACCATTACTCTTACCCAGCTACTTAATGCTGTGCATTAGTCATGCTGGGGTAAATCCTAATTACATTTTATGGCCTTTAGCCTTGAATTTAACACACACACAAAACCACTCAACCAAAATAAGGCACACAACTTGAAAAAAAAAACATTCTGATATGTTTTGATAAATAATTCTGCATTTCCAATTCATGATTTAAAAAGCATTGCTTAATCAATGACTCAGATTGTCTTTTGTCTCAGTCTAATTAAGCAATTTCCGTGACTAAAATGTTATGCTGGATATAATTAAAAACTTGTTAATGGAAGATTAAAATATAAACAAGGCTGATTTAAAGTATTCCAATAGACATACAGTATTTTATACATGCCCGGATAATCACATTTGTACACAACTATTGCAATAAAAAGTCAATATGCAACAACCAACGGTCATTTATTAAACTGTGTTCCTTTATAAATGAGTCTTTGGGGGAGAGGAAAAGCTGTTTCCATCTGTATATTCCTCTCAATATTCACAACACAGACATAATAAGGCTTCATTATTCACTCTTATACGAGTAATTACATCTCTGCCCTGTCCCATCAGACCCTCGTGCAGTACAGCTAAGTAAAACGTTTATTAATCAACAATGCATTCTTCCACAGTGCAATACTGTAGCAGGAAGGTGTGACGCAACAGTTACTGAAGAGGCCATGTTATGCCCTTTGGGGTTTTCCTTCTCCTGCAGTGTGTTCTATAGGTTTGTGTGCATGTAAATGGTCTGCAAAGGCTAAAATCCCTGTGTTTTTCTCCTACACCCCCCTCTGCCTGAAACACCTCAATTGGACTCCTTTGTTAACTTACGTAACATAGTGACATCAACATGTTATCACATCACTCGTGCTTCTATTGGCTAGTGCTCCAACACATTGTATGTGATGGGCTAAGGGGCGGGACATCTCAAAACCAATCTCAGCTAACCAATCAGTGCAAACTGGGCTCTGGTTTCAGACACAGGGTGAAAAGAGGTGCTGCAGCACAGGCAGTATGAGAAAAATAAAGAGCTTTTTGAACATTAAAGCTTGGAGACATGTCACAGGAGAGGCAGAAAATACAATTATGAACCTGAAAAATAGCATAATAGGGCCCCATTAAATTGTTCAGAGTCTTGCTTTGCTTTGTTGGAGTTTTACATGTTCAGTTCATTCATCCTTCGGGATAAATAAAGTCTTATTTTAAGATAATCTTGCAAAACTAGGTGTGCTTTGTTTTGTTCCTCTCAAAAGGTAGATGGGATTATAGATTTGACTGGAAAAAAACATAATAATAAAAAGAACCAGGAAGAAAATGGAATGACATTAGCTGATAAAATCTTATTGAAATTGATCACATACAAAAGTCTTAAAGTCTTAACGACAAGTACATTTTTCTCCACACAAGCATAACGAAGTTTACAGGAAAAATCAATAGCAGACAATCACACCCTTAAGCCGAACCGATAATGGATCTGGATGCAGGAACAATCTACAACTTTACCTGCCTCCGAGGCTCAATGTTATCTGACAAGAGAAAGAATAAAAGCAATATACGCTGTATGTGGACGCTCCACTCGTCTTACACCTGGGACATTTAACTGCAGACAGGACGAGCAGACAGTGACTAAGAATAGGGAATTTAATTAGCCTGATTTAATGAGCGTGACTAAAAATGGAGCCATGTTTAATACATAACCCAGTGTGATGGTTGGCTCCTTCAGGTAGAAATATCTGTGTCACGCAAGAAGAAGCTTGGCCACAGCAACAGTTAAGGATGCACAGAGTTTGAGGTATGAATGTCAAGCAGTGCAGAAAAGAATAAACTTAACCTGTTAAGCCCCGAGCCTGTTTTTCAGGTTTCAGGCTCGAAAATGACATGCCCAAAACAAATGACTACAACTTCACTTCTAAAAGGGTTATATGAAAAAAGGGTTATATGAATAATTTCTTTTATCAAAGCAAGGTTACATCTGTGAGTTGGATGTAGAAGTGTCAGAATCAATATAGATTTTTCTCAGTCAGAGTAAATTCAGATGGAACATAGTAAAAAAAGGTAAATTCTTACCTCCGCCTACAAAGAACCCATTACTTATAATGAAAACCACCCGCCCGAAAAAAAGACCCGCCGAGGGGGGCTTTGGGGCTTAACAGGTTTTAAGCACCCGTTTTATACATAATTCTAAACACTCATTTAAAATCCATGTGTGCGCGTGATTGTAGAAATGAATGATCTGTTTGTTTCTTGCCAAGTGGAGCGGGTCTCAGTGGAGTGACGACGCTGGAACAATAGCTTCTAATTACTGCAGGTATAAATAGAGAGTTAAGATTGAGGCTAGTAGAACATCTGGCTTTTGTGAAACTGGGCTGTGACACGGGGCAGGAAGATGGATCTCCTCAACATGTTTGTGAAGACACTGACCTGAGACGTATAAATAACAACACGGAGGAAGATTGATGATGATGATGGAGAATGTACGGGAGAGGGAAATGTCGCCTGTGCGGAAACAGGACCAGAAACTCTTCATAAGGGCATAGGAAGACCTTTTAGTGTGGCAGCCAGATTCAAGCACCGAGTGAACAATCACAGTTAAGGAACTATTCGCTTTAAATAGATGGTAATTATCAGTTCGAGAAGTCAAGCGCTGAGTGGAAGGTGGTGGGTGTTTTAAAAAGGACCAGCAACCGTTTTGACATGCAGTGGGAGAGTTCTACCTAAAGCCGCCTTTTAGACCCATTAAGCATAGAGCTAGTGAAATATGTATTATGTTGTCACACTTAGCTGAGGAGACTTTAAAAATATTCACTAAGTTGGATCTTAAGCTTAAACGCAAACAGGCAGAACTGCGTTGCTGGCTGCCAGCAGCTGGCAGATTCTGTTGCTGTAAATGTGTGTGATGAATTAAGATGTAAAAGCGTGACATGGTCAAGGTAACTAAGACACTTCAAACAGCTGGCAACCATTACTTTAGCTTTGCCCGTCAATTTCTGTGTAAAACTACCTTTTGGCTTTGCGATAATGAGAGGTAACGCGTGACACACACCGCTCGACTGAAGTGCAGAACACTAAAAGGCTTCTGATTAAAAGCTACCCTTCAGAAAATAGAAAGCCACCTTAGCTTAACTGACACAAATAATTGAACGTTGGCATTTACAGTTTCCGGAAAAAGCTCAGGGGATTAAATGTTACTTCTTATATGGTCATTATATCACAGTTAAGGGGCGTGGTTCGGCCCGACGGCCTGAAGTGAGCTATTGCTTTTATAAAACGGTTACCATATGTGGCAATATGAAAGAAAAATACACACTCTAATTTAAATAGTTTTTATTAGTAAATAATGATGTTCAAAATAAAATAGTCCCTCTGTTGCCTTCTGCACAAAACATAGTGCGAGGTGGTTGCTATGCAACAACACTAACAGCTAGCGAACATATTAGACAGAGAGCGTTGATCCATTATTTGGCTATTTATTTACATTAATTTGTATGTTGCCGTTTATTGTGCACCCACTGAAAAACTGTCCAGCATCAGTAGCATGGCTAACGTGGTTACTTGTATAGGTTGAGGTTGTTCTAGGCTGTTGCTTGGCGTGGCGAGAATATTGCTCCACTTTCTCCGGTCCCCGAGATTCGGCTTCCAGTAGCTCTGGAGAGAGCTTTCGCACCGGCGGCCACTAACGGTCATAATGTCTCTGCTTTGTTTCAAGAACCGCATCAGAAAGCTTTTGAATGGTGATACTTTTCCAGTTGGTCTACCTGCTCTTCACGTAGCTCTACATGTCGTCGTTTAGGTGCTTTCTGGAGATAGGCACTGCTCAATCCACTCCTCCATAGTAAGGCCACCCCGGAGGTTGAAGTTAACCTTAAATGTTTCCATCTTAAGCTTTGTTAGTTAGTTAGTTTCGTAACGGACGTAATGTAACAGCTGTAACGGTTGTAGCTTTTCTCAGACGCGGAGGGATACTGATTTGTGAAAAGTAACTGCAATTCTACCCGTGATATACGCTCATTATATCACGGCTAAGAACCAATCAGATTGCTTGATTTGACTTGTCCGTTTTATAAGACTAGATATACAATGATCAGAAACATTGCAGTGACATTGTGATTGTGGCAGAGTTTATGAAGTGTAAATCAAACATCTTGAAATTGATCAACAGAAATATGAAGAACCGGGTCTTGGCGAAATAATCATTATTAACCTTTTTAAATAAAATATAATGTTGCTCATGTCAGATAATGGGAGCTGATTTGACAATGATGCCTACAAACATCATCCTAACTTTTAGATAAACTGTAGCAACATGGAACTGGATGACTGCCACGTTGATAAGGTTATTACAGAAATGTATTGCAGCACATTTTTGACATTAACATGTAGTCTTTGCCATGTAACTCAATAATACGAGCACAATGACCATATAGTATAATGGGGTACACTTTTAGTATATACACACTGTACATAATGGGACTACAGTGGATTGTTTTTCTGTATTGTAATGGATTAAATAAATTGTGCGTCTTAAGCTTTAGAGTTTGCACACTCCATGTTGTCGCTAATAGCATTTCCTTTGTGTCCGAACAATATTTTCACTGGTCTTTTAGAGAGCTACTGTGAGTGTGGAAAAGCAATGTGATTTGCATTAAAAATATAATATAATGTGGTGATTGCAAATTGGGTTGTGATTACAGTTTAACAATGCAAACGACATTGAACACAAAGGACTTAAATCAGTGCTGCTATTTAATACTGATTGAAATAGGGGAAAAACAGGGTGCAGTTCAGATAATATTGTGACTACCCAATGATCTTATTTTCCAGTTATGGCTATGGTTTAATTTTACCATCACAAACAAGTTTCACACTGCATTTGAGTGCAGTGCTTTAAATTAATATTAAAGGTCACCTATTATGCAAAATCCACTTTTTCATGTCTTTTCTACATCAACATGTGTCCCCTCTGTGCAAAGAGATTCTGAAACTTTCAGGGAAAAAGATTCTCTCACTTTTTGTCCTGATCCATTTATATAAAAACCTGTCTGAAAATTAGCTGATCAGATTTTGGCCTCTTTATGATGTCATAACGATTTCTTGGCTTGACGATCTTTCTATGTGTAACCATTAGCCAATCAGCAACCAAGGTAACCCCCCCCCCCCCCCACACCTTATCACCTGAATCTCCTCCTAGAGCACTATCGAGTTCTTTTTAACCAAATATCTCTCAGAGGGGCGTGGGGAGGGGCTCCTTATTTTCATCTAAAGTCACAGACAGAGAATCAGCACTTTTGAAACAGGGCTGAAACAGAGGGGTTTATGGGATGCTGCAATGATCTGTTTGGTGTTTCAGCCAAACACTTCAGAGACATGTTTTGTATATATCTGAGACCTATAATATATTGATGAAAAACTGTATAATAGGGGACCTTTAACAAATTAGCCAAATCACTTTAAATGGTTACCTGCCTATAGAACCTGTGGATCATCAATCAAATAGAGACACAATTGATGCAAAGGCATCTTTGTATAGTGTTAATAGCAACACTTTGCTCACCCCAATCTCAAAGGGTCCGGTGAAGTAGTCCAGATTCGCCTGAATGAAGCCGATGTTTTTCAGACCGAGCTCAGCGCCACGACGCTGGGCTCGGACCAAGGATTCCTCTTTGTTCTCTATGAGGATCACCTTGAATAAAAACAGAAACAACACAGCTGCATGTGATTGCAACTTTTTCATACAACCTGGAATAGGATACAATACATTTTTAATACATGGCAACATAAAAACACAGCTTTATGGAAAAATAATGAATGAATACACCTCTCAAAAATGAAAAATAGACTAGAATAAGATGACAAACATAAAATAAAAGGATTTATTTGTACAATTAATAAAGAAACATTATTTATATGACCAGTTCAACTCTCATCACCTTATCATTAAAAAATACATCTAATAATTTACCTACTAATCTCTTTTTAAATGTCAAAAATAATGATAAATGCCATTTAAAGGTTACCAGTCTAGAGTCACGAGTCCCAGCACACACACACACACACACACACACACACACACACACACACACACACACACACACACACACACACACACACACACACACACACACACACACACACACACACACACACACACACACACACACACACACACACACACACACACACACACACACACACACACACACACACACACACACACGTTACCTGGCAATCTGGAAGTGTGTGAGCCAGAACAATGCCAAGGTGGCCCTGAGAAACGGCACGAAGAAAGAGAAAACAAATGAAAATGCACAATGTGAAAACAGCAACCATCAAAGGGGTCATGAATGGAATTATGATTAGTGCTACCCTTTCCAACTAAGTATTGACCCTCTCGCCATGCAGCACTATCGCTCTGAGCGTGCATTTATATGAGGGTAATTACCAGTGCGTCTGTGTTCAACGGCCAACAACACAAGTCATTTAAGGAAAACACGAGGGAAGTTGAGACTTCGCTCCCTTCAGCTGGCTGCTAATGGATCAGCCGTATAATGGATCCATCAGTTGGAGCGGTGATAAATGCGCATGCATAGCTTCACTGATGGATGAATCCACGTACCGTCCCACTGCAGAAATCCACCACCGTGTACCCAGGCCTGGCTATCTCCGTAACCATGGCAACCAAGTTATTCAGCTGTTGCCTCTTCCTGACGGCACGGATGTTTGACATTTTCCCTGCAAAAGAGCACAAAGCGGAAAGCAACAGGTGTTTTTTTTAAGAGGAAAGTTCAAATGAAAAGTCCATTAGAAGTAAGAAAAAAAAAAACTCTGCCATGAAAGAAAACTATTTTCTTATAAATATGCCTGAGGATATAAGTCCTGCTAAATCTTTTTAAGACACTTTTATAAACAGACTTTTCTGTTAAACCCAAAACATATGAGCTTTTCTTCATAGCATCTTTGTTTATTGGTGTGTTTGGTTGTATCTGTTTTCCCACTGTATTGCTTTTTTAACTGTTGCTTCCTTTGGTTTTTTTGTATGTATTGGTAGCTTGGTTGAGTTCAGTCAATGAACAACATAACACGTCAGAATACGTGTCAAATGAAATCTCTCTATGCCCCCCCATTTACAAAATCTCTTACGAAAAGGCAATATTCAACATAGGGGAGAGCAGCGCTTAGTCACTCCCGGACGTGGTGCTTTCATCTATAGGCTCGAAACACCTACACAAATATACTATAAACGGTGCTAATCTTTGACCATTTAAAATCTATTAATACACACTACCTTTTTTTCTACCTCTTTTCCTTTTCCGTCAGCGGGCAAAAGTTCCCTCCACACAACTGCTCAGATTAGGATTTAACAAGCAGCCATTTCAGGTAATGTTTACACCGCACAGATAAAAAAAACCTCCACTCCGTCATCAGCAAGTTTTCCAGGCAATTGCCAACCAGGGAGAGCATACAATCATTCAACATAATCAAAAGCGTGCCTCAGGGCCAGAAAGTGTCCTCTTTGTTTGTGGCAGAACTTTCTGTTGCTATGCGATCAGTGTGTACCCCATTAACTCGGAGCACATTTCAGTCTCTGGCATCTTCATCACCCTTCTTCTAGCACGGTGCATCGGCAGTGAGCCGGTGACACGCTGCGCAGATGCTATCTCCGGTCCATAAATCTAGAGTGGTGAGTGTTTCATTTACCCCATACTCATTCCCTCACTGAAGTATCAGACAAAATATTATTCCTACACGCTCTCGCTCACTCTGCTTTGTATACGACACCAGGGGAGGTAGAGAGCGGAAGAAGGACTTTTCATTCTGCAGACAACAATAGGATATTTTATAGGGTCATTATTCAGGTTCTCATGCTGGCTGTTATTGAACTGATCCCAGTTGTAGGGAGAGCACAATAAAGAAAGTGAGGGATGAATTTAAATACAGAAAAACAGCAGGAAGGAAATGGAGAAGACTACGCGCTTGATTTGTATTAGTAATTCACACAGGCGCAGGCACTTCTATGTATCCGTGGCTCCAGAGGGGCTTCAGTGTGAAGGCTTTTTGATGCATCCGAACACATTTAGATTTTAATTGCAGTGGGCAGAAATAGAAATGGGAATCAAAGACAAAGCTTAGTGAGGAAGAATAGAACAGCCAGACAAAGTAAGAGCGCAAATTATCCATTTAAGACTCAAACTTCTGATGTGAAATAGAAAACTTTAAAACTTTCCATAAAAGACATTCAGAGCATTATTAAACCAGTAAAACTATTCGTATAGAGTGAAGTACTGTTGTCCTGAGCAGAGAATAAAGTCATACTGCCTCCAAGTGTGTACTTTTAAACTAGCAACTTTTAGCTCGGTTTTAAACTCCTTTGTTTACTTCTGGAACATATTGATGTAACAGCCGCACTCCTATTGGACATTACATTACATTACATGTTACTTGTCAGACGCTTTTATCCAAAGCGACTTACATACTCAATACTGTGGACAATCACCACAGGAGCAATTTGGGGTGAAGTGTCTTGCCACACGCCTCCACTCGCTCTAACACAGTGTCCCGATAGAGATGTCCCGCCCCTTAGCCTATGCTGTTGACAAAACACAACAGAGCCGGCCAGCTAACCAATCAGAGCAGACTGGGCTCTGGTTTCAGACAGAGGGTGAAAAGAGGTGCTGCAGAACAGGCAGTATGAGAAAAGTAAAGAGCTTTTTGAACATTAAAGCATGTCACAGTAAAGACACAAAATACTAATATGAACTTGAACATTTGCATAATATGTCTCCTTTAATGCGCGACAATTTAAACTGTGTGTCAATTGGCTTGGGCAAGCAGCACCAATTAAATTCTTCAAGCTTTCATTGCTGATTATAGTCGTCTTTAAGGTCAAGCACATTTTAAGCGATGAAACACACTTCTTGTTACTTGTGCCATTATATTGAAGTGTGAAGTATTCTCTCAATTGTTCTATCTGTTATCTGAGTGAATTCAAAGCAATTACACACACCCACTCTCAAGACCTCTCTCACTTTTTATCTTTTCCTTGAAAGCACATCAGAAAATGAAATTGAAAACAAAGGAAGAGGTCAACTGTAGGTTTGCTTGTCTGCGCCCACCCACTCAGCATTAGGTATCTGATGCGTTTGACCTTTAGCTGTGGTGACCTTTCTCCAAAACAAAGTCTTGTTTGAGTAGAAGTTCACAGAGTCGATCACACCCACACACACAGACTTTGTATTCAACAAAGGATAATCCACACACCTGTTGCACTATAAGTGGGCATTGATCCTACATCTACATCTTGCAAACATACATTTGTTCATAATTTACTTTTTATTTTACATTAACATAGCTCAAAGTGGCTTGCCTTACAACAGGGGTGTCAAACTCAATTTCATCGCGGGCCACATTAGAATGATGGTTGCACTCAAAGGGCCGGTTGTAACTTTAAGACTATATAAATATACATAGATAAATATATATAATATATATAAAATAATGTATTATTTTACAATATTTCCTCTGCATTGGATTATTATCGGATACTTTCAAATTCTAGCGCACTCAAGCTGGTTTCTCCATTCTTACCTACCCTACCTTTAACTGTGACATGTTTCCATGCTTTAATGTTCAGGTGTGTGGGAGAGAAACTCTCTCTGGAGGGAACTTTTATTTACATGCACAAAAACCTATTTAACCATAGAGCAAAGGGAAAAACTCAAAAACAATCGTAAGGCCTCTGTAAAATTCACATTCTGCGACAGTCTGCTGGCCATAATCCCTAAATTGAAAACCACTGGCCTTGTCAGATTTGAAAACAGCTCTAATCAATATCTTTGTTTTAACAATGGATCAAATGATAATGTGATCTGCAGCTTCCCCTCAGCTCTGTGGAGCTTTTTAGCTGATGGAAATAGTGGAGAGTTTAGTGCAGGGGTGTCAAACTCAATTTCATCGTGGGCCACATTAGCATTATGGTTGCACTCAAAGGGCCGGTTGTAACTATATAAATATACATATATAAATACATAATATATATGAAATAATGTATTATATTATTGCCTCTGCATTGGATTATTATTGGATAGGGTAATAACTTCATAATTAACTACGTCTGAAAGCAGAAGTCTAGGGCAAATAATTGCAAGTCTCTTCAGTGCGCATCTCACAAAATGAGATGCATTGTGGGACATGTAGTTTATGGGCAACGTGCTCCTGTAAAGCAGCACGTAACCTTATAATAAACTTATTATATTCTTTGTAAGCTCTTGTGGGGCCACATAAAATGAAGTGGCGGGCCGGATTTGGCCCCCGGGCCTTGAGTTTGACACCCCTGCCTTAGAATGTGTATGTTGATTTTGTTGTTATTATTATTATTTTTTTTTATTTCAATGTTATTTTTTGTGGTTACGGTCTGTTTGTTTGTTTGTTTGTTTTCTTTGGTATTGTTGACCCTGGTAGAATGGTCTCTTTTACTCCCTTTATTGTACATGTGAGGGTCTATTTATGTATGCTTTCTGTGTTTGACAATGTCACAAATAAATCATATATTAAAAAAAAAGAAAACGCAGCTCAAAGTGAGGATAAACTGATTGTTAAAAATCTAAAGCTTAACTATCATGTTGATCTTAACTTGCTGTCACGTGTGCCTGTACCTGTAAAAGCCAAAAGTATTTGACTGTATTACTCTAACATGGTATAACATCTGGATGTTGTGTTACTTTTTCAAAGTCGCTAGAGGATGGGTCAGAAAGATGCTGCTACCTGTGAACTGAATTCATTCACTTCTCAATGAATAATGCTGTATGAGATGTATGAAGTTCCAGAGTAGATGTATTAATTGACCCAGTCCCTTGCCTAACAGGCAGTGGATTCAGGTAATGAGCCCAAGAGGTAATGCTCCTACATGTCTTTTTTGCAAAGAAGGTCACAGAGACACGACTCGCAGAAAAGCACCTCCCCCAGGGTCCTCATGAGACTTCATCAACATGCGTCTCAGGAGGATCTCTGCACTGAATTGCAATCCTCTCGCCAGACAGAAAGCTGAGAGAGGATGATTACATTCATTGATGAGATTTCTGAATGCATTTTTCAACAGCTCTTCCCACTATTTCACATAGCAGTCTGTTTGTGGCACGATCTAGTTTAACATATGCTTTTGAAAAATAGATTGTCCTCAAGGTATTGAAGCTAAAACGCACATAGATATTGCTCAATTATAACATGTTGACAGCTGGCAGCTAAAATGTTAACCATTTTCACCATCTTAGTTCAGCTTGTTAGCATGCCATTATTTGCTAATTAGCACTAAACACATAATGGACACAGTGCATTTGTCTTCCTCACGATGCTGCTGGATGGGGCATGAATGTCTGTACCAAATTTGATGGCAAGTCTTCCAAGTGTTTCTGAGTTATTAGGCTCAAAACCACACATGTGAACATCATGGTGGCACTAAAGGAAAAGTCAGAGGATCGCCAACGTGTTAAGGAATCCTCTTCTTGGATCTCTGAAATGTTTGTACACAATTGTGAGCTAATCCATAGAATAGTCGTAAAGGGATTTCAAGTAAATGTCAAATCCTAATGAAGGCACAAAAGGAACATCCATAAGTGGCTTGTTTGTGAGGGTTTGTGTAATTGAACCTTTGCTGTGTACATCTGCAGATAGCGGCTGTGACCGATCAATAGGAAATCAATTCAATGCAGCTGTAATGTCTCTCTGTCACAGTTATC